CTGTCCGACATACACGTTACTCCCCGCATCACAGATGTCATTCGCGCGCTGGTCGAGCACGGTACATGCTTGGATCCTCGACACCACGTGGCTAAGTACTATCGCCTAGGTCGCGTGTGCCGGGACCGGCTTTTGTTGAGTCAAGCGCTCTACAACCTCTGCGTCACCAAGTCCAACCGCGTCAAAGTGATTGCGTTCTCTGACGTGTTTGAAATCCTCAACCGGTTGATTCTCTCAGCCACCGACGCGGTGGTGCGCTCGACCGCGCTCAGCTGCGTGCACTGCCTCGCCGAGACCGAGAGCTGCCGAAAACCACTCATCGTCAACGGCACCGTGCGCGCGGCCGTGACAGTGCTCCGGTCGACGACCGACCCCAACGACCTCCGCTGCCTCTTTTCGATTTTGGACCTTTTGGCGCTCGAGAGCTTGGGCTGCGAAGAAATGGCCAACGTCGGCGCACTGAGCTCGCTCGCGCAGCTCTCGCACCTCATCTCGGACCCGTCGCTGGTGACGAGTGTCTACAAGACCATTTCGCAGCTCGTGAGCAGCGAAGCCAACTTTGGACACGTCGACGCCGTGTTTTTCGAGTTTATCATTGGATACAGCCACACGCAGGCGCGGGACGAGAAGCACATTTCTCACTACGTGCTGCATGCGCTCGGGTGCATCGTCGGCTGGCACAGCACGTTGGACGCGGGCGACTTTGTCGAGTCGCCCATGTACTTTAGTAAACTCATGTACCATGTGCTCTACGCGCTCTTTGAGGAGCAGAGCGTCGAAGAGTACCTCCAAGCGGTCCTCTTGTACAACATGAGCTTCACCTTTGACGCGCTCGACCTTGCGCACGAAGCCATGCACCGGCTTCTCTACTTTGGCCTCCAAAGCCCGCGCGACGACGTCCACGCGCTCGCGTGCAGCACGCTCTTCAACCTCTGTGCCGAGCCGCGCTTGCATGCGCGCCTTCACGACAGCGGCGTCCTCGAGGTGCTCGTGCGGCTCTTGCCGAAACCTAGTAGCACCTGCATGTGCCTCGAGATCCTCTGCGTCCTTTTCGACCGCCAGCAGCTCGCCCCCGACGCGTACGTGGCGCTCGTCGATGCCACGTTCAACTCGATTGTCAAGCTCTGCGATCGCGGCGACCCGGCCGTGAACGCGGGCTGCGCTGCGTGCTTTGCTCGCTTTGGCTTGATTGCGCCGTGCCGCATTCGTATGGTGCAGAACGGGCTCATTGCCGCGCTCTCGCTGCTCGCGAGCGACGACAACCCCGAGACGCTCCAGCTCTGCGTGAGCTCGTACTCGCACCTGAGTTGCGACCCGAGCATTTGTCGCGAGCTCATCGAGAAGGGCATTGTGCACTCGCTCTCGAGCTTGGCTGCGGCGCCTGAAGAGGAGGTGCGTCGTGCGTGCGCGATTGCGTTTTGCAACCTCTCGACCAATGAAGAGAACATTGTGGTGCTCGTCAAGCACGGCGCGCTCAAAGCGCTGCTCGTCATCTCGTGTGTCAAATCGAACGACGCGATCACGCGCCGCATGTGCATGAAGGCGGTAGCATCTTCGTATACGACGCCTTTGTGTCATTCTCATGGACTAGGTCATGAACTTGATGCGGTCTGAAGTCAACATCCCCGTCATGTGCCAGGACGGGCTGCCGTGGGCCTTTACGATTTTCGCCATGTCGTCCGAGCCGCAGGACTTTCCGCTCTTGGCCGACGCGTTCTGCGGCCTCTCGTACTTCAAGGAGTCGCGTCGCGGGCTCGCCAAGGTAGTACATGCGATAGAGTTGCCAGGACAAGAGGTGGATTGGCGGAGTAGGCGTCGACGCTGCAGTGCTTTCTCGGGATCCTCGAGCGCATTTTCGACCTGCCATGCGGCATTACGATGCTGCATGGCATTTTGAACCTCCTCACCGACATTGACGTGGCGGCACCGCTGCTGCATGCGGGACTGCTAAGCGCTCTGGGCCACCTCACCATCACAACGTGCGACGACCAGATGCGCCTCGTTGCGCAGATCCTCACCGTGACCTTTCAGGCGTCCCACGATGTGCGCATCAAGGTATCGATCCATTTCACTGCTGCACGTCTCCAAGTATCCAAGCCTCCCATGCTGCGATAGTTTATGGACGAATCGGTCTACCGCATGCTCCAAGTGTTGCTGCAAGCGGCCGATGTGGAAACCAAGCACTGCTGCGCCATCTTGCTCCACATTTGCTCCCTCGACGACGCGACGGAGCACGGCCTCCTCCTCAGCGACATGCTGCTTCCGACGGTATGTACATCCATCGCTATGGAAACGGCAATGTGCCACGTAGATGCTCGATACCATCCGGGACGGGCCGTGCGTCGACGTCATGCTCCTGCTCATGCGGACGCTGTACAACATTTCTTGCCGCGAAGCCCTTTTGGTGCACATGTGCCAGGGCGGCCTCGTGACGGCGATCGCGTCGATCGTCGCGTCGCAGGAGGAGGCACCGATCTCGATCGCCATGTGTGCGGCTATCATGCGCAACCTGAGCTGCGAGGCCGCGTGCCACGCGCAGCTCGTCAACGCCCATGCGACGTCGCTTCTGGTTGCGATCTTTACGACGCGGAGCGTGACCAAGGTGGCGCGAGAAGACGCAGCGATTGGCATCTGCAACCTCCTCCTTGGCCGCGTCAACTCGTCCGTTATGCTTGGGCAAGGCGCGCTCGCACCGATCCTGTGGCTCTCGAGCCACGCGGGAATGGAGAGCAACATTCTCTGCTCGGCCGTGCTACGCAAGCTCGCGATGCCGCCGGGCAACATTCAGCAGCTCGTCGACGAAGGTACAGCGACGAATTTGTTTCGTGCGACATGTTTGTTTATTATATAAAAACGAGCTAGGCGCGGTGCCCTGCATAGCTTCACTCTTGGCAACGACCACCAGTTTGTACATCAAGCGCAACTGCATTGCGAGCTTCTGCCTTCTCGCGCGCAAGTTCAGCGTCAAGCCGCTACTCGCGACAAATGGAGTCATTTCCCTCACGCTGGACCTCCTCGAAGACCTCAAGCGCGTGAGCGACCCATCTGGAAAGTCGCCGATCGTGCTTAGCATTGAGCGCATGAGCGTCGACTTGGTCACAGCGCTGGCCGAGTTTGTCCGACCGGACGTACCTGGTGAGTCGCACGTGACGTCGGCACTCCTCACGCTCCTCGACGGTGACGATGCCAGTGGTGGCTGCGAGTGGGAACAGGACAGGGACTTTCTGCTGCGACACGAAGCCGGGCCGCTGCCGCTGGCGCGACCGTCGAACGCACGCCAGCTCAAGTCGGTTGACGTGCCGACGTTGCAAACCGGCTTGCATCCGGTGACCGCACCCGGCTTTTCCGAGAGCTTTACGCTCGTCAACGCCGAGCGCGAGCGGAAAGCGATTTCGCCACGCATTCCAACGCTCGCAGACGCATACAAGCTCGGCTCGGAGCAGCTCGACGAGTCGATCGGGCACCTTCGGAAGCTGCTGGTCGCACCGACAACGAGCATTTCGGTGCGCTCGGCCGGCTGGAAAAAGGTCGCATCCATCGAATTTGCCTCCCGGAAAATGTTTCCCAAGCTCCGGTCGACGTTTGCCCCCATGGCGCCGCCCGTGCCGCTTGTCGTCGCGCACACCGAATGGCTCGACACGACGGGCCGTCCCAAGGGCGACATGACGGTGGTCACGTCGTCGTATGCTGTCTCACAGCACGCGATTGCCGCGGCCCCGATGCGGACGACGCCGAGCACTGGGCGACGACGTGTTCTATCCCCTGTGCACCACACGTCCTCCGAGGGTAGTGGTAGTGACGGTGTTCGTTGAGCACTGGGAATTCAAACGTTGACGCGCATCTTATGAGTTGGAGTTTGCACTTTCTCGTATCAATGTATCAAGAAACGTAACGCCTTTTCGATTGCACGCGATCACGGCGATGCGAAACGTTGCATGTTGATCGTTGCTCAAGAAGGTATGCCTGTGGCTTGTCGTACGCTCCTATCGGAGCCTGCAGACTACCACGGCGTCACGCGGAGCACGAGCGGCTTGTCGGGCGTGAGCGCGAGCTGCACGATCGGCTCGGGGTGGTCAGCGCCGGGGCTGCACTCGAAGCGCATCGTTCGCACCATGTGTGCGAGCAGCAAGTAGAGCTCTGTCTCGGCGAGGCGCCGGCCCGCGCAGCTCCGCGCGCCCATACCAAAGGGCAGCGTCGCGTACGCGGCCTTCTTGCGGTCAGCGGCGCTCTTGGTGTCGCGGCGAAGCCAGCGTTCGGGCACAAACGTGTCGGGCTCGGCAAAGACGCTGCGATCGCGGCTCATGGCGTAGATCGGCAAGAGGACTTGCGTGCCCTTTGGCACGCTGTACCCGAGGAGCGTCGTGTCGTCGCGCATGATGCGCATGGACGTGCTAAAGACGGGGTAGAGTCGCAGCGCCTCCTTGACGCACGCGCGCACGAGCGGCAATTTGGACAAAGTGTCTTCGTCCATGTGCGCCTTGTCGCCCATGGCCGCCGCCACTTCGTCGTGGAGCCGGCGCTGGAGGTCGTGAGCGTTTGGCGACGACGCGATCGCGTACAGCGTCCAGAGAATGCCTTGCGACGTCGTGTCGACGCCGGCGAAGAGGAGGTCGATGCACTGCGTGACGGCCTCGCGCTCCGTGAGCTCGGGTCGCAAGAGGAACGCCGTGAGCAAGTCGGGTGCGGTCGTCTCGGTTGACGCGAGCTTCTCGGTCATGAGCTCAACCCCAATCTCAAAAATGACGTTGGCGTGGCCCACGTGGCTCCAAAAGGCCGGGAAGAGCCAAAACAGAACCGGTGGCATCGACGGCGGCAGGTTGACGAGCGCCTGCGTCGTCTCGAAGAAGCCGACGACCGCGTTGATAAAGCGCTCGGCCGCCGGCGTGATCGGCGTCAAGTGGTCCGGTGACAAGCAGCCCATGCGCTTCCCAAATAGCACCGAGCTCACCGACTCGAGCGTATATGCCTTGAGCGTGTGCGTCACGTTGACGTCGGCAGTCGGCGACGCCGCGGCTTCGCGCTGGAAGCGCATAACGGTATCTTGAGCGATCGCATCGATGCGCGGCAGCCACGGGCCAATGTTGTGCGGCTGCAGCACGTGGTCGCTCAAGCTCGACCGCATCTTCTTCCACGTCGCATAGTCGTTGGTCGTGATCGTCGTGCGCGGCCACTTCTTGACTTGGCGATAGTATTCCCACACGGGCATCGCGCCACGCAGCGGGATTGGACCTTCGTTCCGGTGGAGCTGCGCGATCACGTCGAGGTCCGTGACGCTGACCATGTGCGGCCCGAAAGGCACAAAGCGCACGCGGAGAATGGGTCCGATCGTGTCGTGGAGCGATCTTAGGTGCTTAAAGAGGACTTGGAAGCCGCCGCCCTTGGAGAAGTACATCATGCTCGAGCGCAGTGGGCCAACGCCGGTCTCGGGCGCGTTGGGGATCGCAGTCACTGGCTTTGGCGCGGCCGCAACGGTCGACTTGAGGCGAAGGCAGCTGCGCAGCATGCTCCAAGTTTGTAAATGAACACCGCGTATCGAAGTAAACGAGAACAAAGAGCGGAGACGACGACGCTGCGAGATTCGGATGGTACCGCGCCAGCTGGCGTCAAGTCGCGCTGTGCGACTGCCACGTCATCCTCCCACCGCGACAGCCGTTCGACCCCAACCGCCAGAAAGCGCTGCGAGCGAGGAGAAATGCTCTGCAGAATCGAAAAGCAATGATCCTCGCGTCGCATCCGCCGTGCGCGCGAGCGCTGCAGCTACGCTGAGGCTCCTTTTATCAATGAGTACAGTAGAAAACCAGCCTGGCATGGCTACTCGTGAGCGACCAAGGCAGCCGATCCAGCTCGAAACTGAGCCGGGAGTAGGTCCGTCAATGAGAAGAACAGAGCTCGCGGCAGTGGTAACACTTGGTATCGTCGACCATGCAGCACCACCACGGAGGGGTTCGAGTGGCTCGTTGCGCGATCTTGTATCGGACGCAGGCGGTTTAAAGTGGTTTTAAAGGCCTTCACGCTTGCTCCGAGCCATCGAGCGTACGTCGGCCCATCCCGTTCTGTCATGATATGCGTCCACTCAAACGTGCATGAGTTCAGTGATTTCACAGCTGGCGTCGCGGCTACTCGCACCGATGACGACCCGCCCCGTGAGGCTGGTTGTGCACGCAGCTGACTAACCGAGTCTGATCGTGCAGTACCCATCGCGAGCGGTGCGTCAACGATGATGACGGCCACGATGCATGGCCTCGCTGTGGTCGCAGGGTGCTCTCCCTGTAGAGAGCAAGCGCATCAAACGTGTGGTGGTCGTCGCAGCTTTTGAGTTCTTGTACAGAATGTCATGGCATGGCATTGGCGGTACCCAACCAACTTGCGCGCGCACGCATCTCGTTGGATAACAGTCGCGTGGTCAAGGTTGTGGAGAGAGCGCGTCCGACATTTGATGGCACCGTCCTCGACTCGAAGATCGCAATGCGTTGATGACACGGATCGTTTGGTCCAGCTGTTTTCCGATCTGGGGCTAGGGCTTCTCTTTGATGTACCCCAAGTGCAGGACAGTTGTGCAGGAGTGATGAGAGAGCGGTGCCGGGAACGTCGTCGTCCGGCGCTGACGCTAGCTCGCAGCTATCCACGAAGCAACGAGACGCTGCACCGATGCTGTCACCCAACATCCTGACGCTTGTCTAATGCAACGCTTGGCAGGCCGCAGCTCATATCGAGTTGCGCACCTTTCGTGCAGTCGGTGGATTTCAGCGTCATGAGCAGAAGGTGCGCGAGCTCCGTAGGTACCGTCCCTTTCCCGCTATAAAATTAACGAGGTTGTACATCATCCTTGTAGTGTAGTCACCATGATTCTCTCTTGAGAAGCGATGGATGACCGCGAGAAGAGGTTTTGACAAAGGAGTGGCAGCAGCAGTGGCTTGAGCGGACATTAGGTAGGGTCAAACAAAATCCTCATACAAAGATCAAGTCGAAATGGTAGGAGGACCCATTAAAATAAACACTGTTTACAAATTCTGTTTGGAATACGGTCTAAAACAGTGGACGAGCAGCCGTGGATTGAAAGATGGGGTGCTGGACAGAGCCCACCGCATCCACCTTTTCGTTGATGTAGAGTCTTTATTTGGCCGTGCGTACAATAGCAAAGCGAAGTACCGCTTCTTGCGCGAACTAGTACTAGCAACGACTTAGTTATGTGGTGGCTTCCGCGGTGCCACGTGGCACTGTCTGTCGTTCAATCGTTTTTGGCGTCGTCATATCGCTCATCATAAAGTCTACTCTGCCTCGAGGGGTAAATTGTATGGAAGCAATTCAACCCCGTCGCAGAATGGGTCCAGCATACTTGGGTCTCATGCGCCCAAGACGACAACGGATTATAGGCCATTCTCGCGAATGTGCTGGGAAAGCCAACCCGCATTTGCATGACGTGGCAGCCTCTTGTCGCAGCGTATCTTTCGAATGAGGAGCTCGTTGAAAAGCGGCGAGGGGTAGGTTAGCTGACTGCACGCAGTTGCTTCCACATACATTCACAAGTACGATTTCGTATCAGGCTCAAACTCTATCACTCGGAACCGACTCTGCGTCCTGCGGAACCTCGATGCCGGTATCACAAAAGCAGGCATGGATCGTATCGGGCCTGTAAAGGCTGCGAGGTAAAAGCAAGCATGCCCAGTCGCTTTACAAGGGAAAAACCTGCTATATCGCTTTTACAGCGAGCGAAAGTCGTCTTGCATCGCGTCATTACCGAAAACACCATGTTCTACAACAGCCAGCACGTCCAAGACAAGGAGGCCAAGCGCCGCGCGCGCGAGGAACAGCTCTTCCGCGAGACATACCCTGCTCTCTACGCCACCGAGCAGCGCCGCAAGGCCAAGGAAGCACGCGTGGCGGCCAAGTCCAAGCCTGTGTCGAGCCCCAAGCCAGCGGCCAAGACGACCAAGCCAGCGGCCAAGACGACCAAGCCGGCAGCCAAGACGACCAAGCCGGCAGCCAAAGCTGCCACCACCAAGCCAGCATCAGTGGGCTCAGCGACGCCAGCCCCAGAGGCTGCAACGCCACTCGAGATGGCTGAGGCTCGAATCCAGGAGCTCACGACGAAGCTCGCAGTGGCGCAACGGACCATTGACGAGCAAACTGCCGCTATTGCACGTCTGCAACAAGCCCCGGAACCCAACACGACGACGACGACCCTCGACGACACAACGGACAGCATTCCAAGTAACTCGAACGCACCGGTGCCAGAAATTGTGGCTGATTCAGCCGCCGCCCAAGCCGATACCGACGCAGAGTGCACCGAAAGCAAGTCGCCGATGGCGATCATGCAGCAAACGATTCTTGAACAAGCTCCGTGTCTCCACCGCATTCCTCAAACCGGCAACTTCCTGCACGCGCCGCCACTGCTCTGGACACCAAACGAGCGCGTGGTGGCGATCGATACGCTGGTCCGCGCCATCACAGCGATCGAGACACGGCAGCCGATGGCTCTCGAGCCGTACTTGGTCCTCGCACCGGTTCCCCCGGGGCAACGGGACGTGGCGCTCGAGTACGAAGAGTCCTTGCTGCGCGGGTTGCTGGCCAAGGCCCACAAGTTGGGCCTTCTGTAGCTAGCGTACAAGTAAACAACATCAACAAAGTAAAAACCGAAAGAAATGCATGATACAATACCTGTTTCCACCAATGCATGTACAACGAATGGTAGATTCATGGCTGCAGTTAGTAGATGGACATGTTGCAGCGTTGACTGGCGCTTGGCGCATCCTCGCCAAGTGCAGCTCGTACGTCAGCCTCGTTTTAGCGCAAAAATAGTTGACGACCGTGGAAACCACCGACCTCGGCGACGCTATTGAGTTGGAGCTCTTCAAGACTCGAGCTCACTTGGAGGGCGTCGCAGAAAGCGAGAATTCCCGACGCATCCATCGCACGGATACCATTGAGACGGAGATTCGTACGTGGAGACGAGCGGAGCCACGTGGCAAGGTGATGGCCTGCTCGAGGAAGAGCTTGTGGGGGCAATTGAAGCAAGGGCTCCTGACGCATCCATCGCACGGATGCCATTGAGACGGAGATTCGGCATCGAGATCGTCACGTCCAGTCCATCCAACGACGAGCATTGACGCAGATGGGCTCTGAGGGCCTCAGTGTCCAGCGGCCCCACGTTGCCGATCGATTTGAGCACCCAAGGCCGGCACAAGATGCCGCATGTTTCCAATCATCGCATCGAATTGCAGACCTAGCCGTAGCGTCGCTTGCAGAAGCTTGAGCACCTCAGGCGAGCAATGTGCCTCCTCGAGATAAATGATGGACCAGCGATGAAAGTCGAATGCCGTTGGGCGGGTCGCGATGGAGGTCATGAATGCGAGAAGCGCCGGCGTCCAGAGATTCGCTGGCATGGCGTCGAGGAAGGTGGCAATGTCCTGCGGCATCGGCAGTAGCCGAGCGATGATCTCGATGAGACCCGGCTGCGATAGTCCGTTCGAGGCCGGTCAACCGACCTTGCTGCGTGGCGCCAGCTTCGCGCGAGATGGGCTTTGCTATAATAAAATACCTCCACAAATTACGCAATTTAAATACCGCTCTTTTGGTAGCCCCATCTTGTCTGCAGTAAGCGGAATTGAGAATCAAGAATTCTAGATTCAAATCTCAAAGAATTCGGGATCCGAAATGGTTTTCACCATCCATTTTTGCCTGTCAAAACGAAACGCATGAGCGACGAGCCGACCAAGACCAAGAAGCCGACGTATCGCTTCACGGTGCATACGGACATTGATCTCTTAGAGGAGGTGATCAATGTGGCTCCGCACGACGCTCCGTACGGACAGACCACCGCGCGCTGGGAGGAAGTCACTAACTACATGCGCACGCTCCACGGCGAGCACCTCACGGTGGCCGGCTGCCGCAAGCGCTTTGACGACCTCATGGCGGCTTTCAAGACAGACAACGTCAACGGATTGCGTGCGTCCGGCACCGAAGAGGAAATGAGCCAGCGCTACGTGCTACTGGAAGAAATGTCGGACCTTGTGCGTCCATTTCGCTTTCTGTGCCTGCCTAACCATATGCTACTTGTTTGTAGTTGGAAGCGGCGGTTGACAGGAAAAAGGCCAGTAAGAATGACAAGGACAAGAAGCCCGACAAGCGCGAGTCGGACGGGCTCCGCAGTCGTGCGGCAGCGCAGCAAGGGCTCAAACGCAAGGCAACCAACGGCGACGACCTGGACGAGGACGACAGTGCCGATACGCCAGCGAAGAAGGCCAAGGGAGATGACTGCGCGACGAACGATCTGGCGAGCGTCCTCGCAGCCTTTTCCAGCATGATCGAGTCGACCAACCAGCTCAAGCGAGACGAAATTGCCGCCAAAAGAGAGGCAGTTGCCGCCAAGAAAGAAGAACTCGCCTTGGGCCAACGCAAGCTTGAGCTTGAGGAGCAGCGATTCCTCTATGAGAAGGCCGAGCGCGAGGAGCGATTCAAGCTGGAGAAAGTGGAGCGCGAGGCCTACCTCGAGTTCATGCGGCGCACAATCGAGATGATGCAGACGAACTTGAACAACAAATCGTGAATCGACTTTGCCACTACTGTATGTTGCGCTTCCTAGTGAGCTGACGTAGTGCAGCCACCTCAAAGCACCCTGCTACATTTAAAGGTAGTGGCATGATGGACGGGGTGGTAAAGGCGATCCAAGGTGGCGAGGTTGCGGGCAAAACGTTTTTCAAACTCATCGAACGACAACGATTGGGTTTTCCAAACCCTCAAGCCCTCTTCCATCCAAGGCACATGTGCTACATTGTACGCTCATGGCGGTGGGCGCGCGATGGACTGCTTTTGGCGGTGCAGTTGCTGCTGCCACTCTTTTGGCAAAACGTTATCCGTACCACAAGCTCACGAAAGGTACACGACTCGAGAGCAGCATGGGAGTAGCAAGGTCGATGCTCGCACGACACACCAGCATGGAAGAGGCCGAGAATTGTCTTCAAGCGCGTCGACCCGTCTGCGTGACATCGACTGCAAAGGCTTTCTCCGGCATTCCATACATGGACTGTACGGGTACATGTACGGCAGGTATGTACCACCGCTTGGACGCTCGCCACGATGGAAGCGCCATCATCCACGCATCCATTTATTGGAGCGGGGCAGTGCAGTGTATTATGCATACCACCTTCTGTAGTCGCTCGTTTCGCGGCACGGACTCCGTGCTCGGCGACAACAGTACAGTACATGTCCTTTTCGTGCAACTGTTCTTCTGGGCCGTTGGTAGCACTCACGGTGGATGGCGCCAAAAATTACTCACGCTTCAATCGCACGGGTAGTGGCGCGTAGCCGCCTCGCTACTCTGCAATCGTACACGCATGAAGGGCACTAAATGTCCTTGGTGCTTTATCGGGCTCTCGCTACCGTTACCGGACAAAGCGACCGTCTCCACCGGCACGGTGAGAAAACGACGATCGAGTCGACGGCGTGCGACCAACGGCGCCGCCACCGTGACGATCGTACCATGTACAGCAACACTGGATGAGTGCTGGCAAAGGGCTCACTTTTCGAACGCGTCTTTGCAGCGCACGCCATGCTGCGCCACGCCATTGGTCGCCGCGCCAAGTCGACGGCCGCGCGCGCCTGGGACGACATCCCGACCGCGCCCGAGTACGGTGTCGGTCCGTTCAAGTCGAGCGGTCTCTACTTCTTCCGCAAGAACGGACTCCGCGTGACGTACGAGCGCTTCCAAACGCTCCATCGCGAGCTCGGCCCCATCTTCAAGCTGCGCTTTGCGCCGTTTACGCCGTACCTCGTCTCGGTCGCCGACCCGGATGCGACCGCGCTTGTGTGCCGCACCGAAGGCGCGATGCCACAGCGCCACCTCTTTCCTGCCTGGACGCTCTACCGACAGCAGCGGCAGTGGCCGATGGCGACCTCCAACACGAACGAGTACGCGGCGTGGAAAAAGTCCCGGGCCGGCATGAGCGACAACTTGCTGCTGATGCACAACGTGCCCACGTGGATTGGGCGGATCGACGACGTCGCCAAGGATGTCGTTGCGCGGCTGGCGGCCGAAGCGCAAAACGGGTCGCCGGTCCCGGTCACCAACCTCATGAAGGCGTTTGCGCTCGAGGCCGTCTCGTCGCTCGTCTTCGGGAAGCGCATGGGCTGCTTGTCACCGAACCCGTCGACGCCGATCCCGGCGGCGGCGCAAGCGTTCATTGACGCCGTCGACGGCTTCTTTGACACGACGCAGCAACTGCACATCATCCCGCCCGAGGTGCCCACGTGGATTTACCCATTTTTACCAGCCTACCGCGCCCATGCCGCCCACTGCGACTATATCTTTGACCTCGGCTATGAGCTCATGCGCGACAAGATTGCGTCCACCGACGCCTCGCCCGAGCCGGACCTCCTTGGCGCCTTTTTAGAGCGACCCGAGCTCGACGAACGCGACGCGATTAGCCTCGCGATCGACGTGCTCTTTGCTGGCGTCGACACCACGGGGAACACCCTCCTCTGGACCATGTACTGCCTCGCGACAGCCCCGAATGGCCGCGAGATGCAAGCGCGCATCCGTGACGAGATCGGGTCTGGCCCGATCGACGAGACGGCACTCGGTCGTTTGTCGTACTTGCGCGCGTGTGTGAAGGAGACGTTGCGGCTGTACCCGTCCGCGACGCCCAACCAGCGCTACGCAGGCGAGGACGTGACGCTCGCGGGATACCACGTCCCGAAAGGCACGAGTGTGCTCATGGCCACGTACACGATGAGTCGCGACCCCAGCATCTTTGAGGACCCCGAGGTCTTTGCGCCTGAGCGCTGGCTCGACCGCGAGAAGAAGGGCGCGGACAGCCGCAAGCAACAAGCGTACTCGACGCTGCCATTTGGTATTGGTGCGCGCAGTTGTGTCGGGCGGCGTCTCGCCGAGACCGAAATGTACGTGCTCTTGGCCCACATTTTGCGCGAAATGGAGATCCAGTGGATCCCGAACGAGACGCACCCAAAGGGCATTCTGCGCCTCCTCATCGTCCCCGACAAGCCGCTCTCGTTCCGCTTCCAGCCGTGGTCGTCGTAACCCAAATATAGTCCTTTCCGAGTGTCGTCCTCTCCAAACCTAACCCTAGAGGTACCGCCGCGATCAACGAGCGTCCATGCCTTTAGCCGGTGCACTAAAAAGTGGCCGTCAATACCAGCACCTTAGTCGCGGTGGAAAGATGCGTGGAGCTGTCGAATCAATGGTTCGGTGGCCTTGCTGGGTCCACGCACGACGCCTTGGAAGCAAGACCGTCTCGGGCGTCGGACGGCGCTCCATCGAATCGCTTCAAGATATCTGAGTATGCAAAAACGTGGCGTTCTATTGAGCAGACGAATGCCATCAAGGGCCTCTATCTCTTTTGGTGGTTGACAAAGCGGAGCGCGAGCACGGCGAGGATGCGGAAGAAGACGATGCAGCCAATGACAACGACAATGTCGGTGACCGCGTCGTCGTAGTACATTTCGTACGTGTGCTCGATGTACTGCTTGACGCTGACGCGGGTCGCGTTCATCTGCTGGAGGATGCTCGGCGGCACGTTCTGCATCGTCTGGCACCCGAGCTGCGCCGGGTCGTCGCCCGTGCACTTCGCAAACGTCTGCGACGTCAGAATCGCCATCGAGTACTTTGGCGGCACGATCGTGTACAGCCAGCGGTACCCGCTCGGAATCTGCGACGCGGTCGGCGTAAAGCCCATGAAGAGGAAGAAGATCGAGTTGAGGAGGATGCCGATGAGCGCCGCAACCTCGATCGACGGCATTGCGTACGCCATCAACTGGCCCAAGTAGACGTTCATCAAGACCATGAGCGAGAGGTTGAAGCCGTAGAAGACGCACGCACCGACCGACTCGTTCAAGCCCACGAACGGGTAGTAGACGATCGTAAAGAGGAACGTCGAGACAAACACGTACGGGATCTCGGCCAGCGTCGAGCCGACAAAGTACCAGAGCGCGTTGTACGTCTGCGCCGCGCGCTCGCGGTAGAACGACGCGCGCTCTTCGCCTGCGAGCGGGATGACGCTGTTGAACGAGATCATGCCCACAAAGAGCGAGGTGAGGAAGACCATGCCGACGCCGCCGGTCGCGCCCGAGAACGTCGTGTAGTCGACGCCGCGGTATACCAAACCAAAGAGGACGGCGAGGAAGATCGAGATGAGAATGCGCGTGTTGTTGTACGACGGCGTGCGCCAGTACATGCGGAAGAAGCGTTGCGTGAGGTACTTGAACTGCGTCATCGACGAGGCCGCGCGCTTCTTGGCAAACGTGAGCTCGGGCAGCGACGGGTGGACGTTGGCGTGGATTGCAAGTGCCTCGGCGAGGTACCGGCGCTCGACCGAGTCGTCGAAGATCTGCACATAGTCCTTCGGGTGGGCGTTCTTGGCTTCGACGCCGGCGCCAATGACTTCGAGCATCCACGTGGCGGGGTTGGCGCCCGGAAGAAGTGGCGGCGTGTCGGGAATCGACGCAAAGTACTCGATGAGATGGTTGGCATTTGTGCCGAGGTCGCCAAAGAAGACGGTCTCGCCACCGCGCTTGAGGAGAAGGAGCGAGTCAAACATCTCAAACACCTCGGTTGACGGCTGGTGGATCGTGCAGACAACCGTGCGACCTGTCGAGGCGATCTTGCGGATGCCCGTCATGATGATCTTGGCCGACCGAGCGTCGAGGCCGGACGTCGGCTCGTCCAAGAAGAGCACGGACGGCGCCGCCGCGAGCTCGACACCGATCGTCAAGCGCTTCATTTGCTCAACCGACGCGCCACGGATGATCTTGTCGCCGAGGCTCTTCATATCGAGGATGTCCAAGCACTCTTCGGCAAACGCCAGCTTCTCCGCGGCCGGAATGTCGTCCGACTGGCGCAGCATCGCGCTAAACTGGAACGCCTCGCGGAACGTCGCGCTCTCGCTGTGGATGTCCATCTGCTCGCAGTAGCCTGTCGACCGGCGAATCGCAAGGTCCGTCGCTTCGTACCCGTTCAAGAGGATCTTGCCTTCGATCTTGCCGCCCGTCTTGCGGCCCGCAATGACGTCCATCAAGGTCGTCTTGCCCGCACCCGACGAGCCCATGAGCGCCGTGATCGTCCCCGGCAGCGCGTAGCCGTTGACGCCTTTGAGCAGCTTCAAGTCCGGCTCGCCTTTTGTCGGGTTGGGCACCGAATACCAGAGGTCTTGAAAGGCCAGCGTCACCGGCACCGATGCGCGCTGCGCCGCTTCGTGGACGTCGACAAGAGCGTGCTGCGGCGTCTTGGGCGGCTCAGCATACGCGCTCGTGGCCTTGTTGCCATCCGTGTCACAGAGCATCATCTCGTCGCCGTCTTCGTTGACGACAAGCGTGTGCTCGGCGGGGTCGTACTGGATGTACTCGAGCGCGAGATAGGCGAGGAACATGAAGAAGAAGTAGCTCGCGGCAAGGAAGATGACGCCGTACCAGACCCACGCCGTGCCCGTCTTGACGCCGTACTGCTTGAGCTGCGAGTTGCCAAAGGTGTCGCCCGTGCGCGCGCAGTAGTCGATGCCCTTGTAGTCGCAGATCTGAAACTCAGGCGCTGCGTACTGGTTGATGGCAAGCGACCGAATGCACCACGCGAGCGGGTCGATCCAGTGAATCCACACAAAGTAGCTCGGCATATCGTCGGCCGACATGATAAAGCCCGCGAAGAGCACGTAAAAGAGCACCGACACCATCGAGACGGGCTCGGCGACGTGCAAGTTGGGTGCGATGGACGCGAGGAAGAAGAACCACGTCGTGAACGCGAGGTTGGTCACGAACAGCACGAGGAGGTACGTGAGGAACGACGTGGCACTCGAGGTGAAGCCTGTGACCCAGTACATGACCGAGCCAAAGAGAACCGTCTCCAGAAACGCAAACGGAATCTGCGTCGTGCACTGCGCCAAAATGAACGACGAGGTCCGGAAGAAGTTGGCGCGCTTTTGCTTGTAAAAGATTTCGCGCGCTTCCACGTGCGCAGGGATCGTCGGGATTTGACCGAGTGCGAGGAACATGACGGTCGTGAAGATGACGCCGAGGACGGTAATGATCTGGTCCGAGTCGACTTGGTAGAACGACGTCGAGTAGAGGAAGCCCATGACGACGACCATGATGATGCGACTCAAGACAAACTCCTTGTTGCGGAGAAAGACCGTCACTTGGCGCTGGACAAGCGCCTTGGTGCTCTTCCCAAACGGCACGTGGTACTCGGGGAGCGAACCAATGTGGTGCGTCGCATCCATCACGAGCAGTGGGTGCGGCGGCGACGAGAGGTGCCCGATCATGTGCGCGTAGATCGACGACTCGGTAAAGACCGACGCGTACTCGCTGGGAAAGCGGGGCGCCGTCGCCGACCGCGACGACACGAGGTACTGGTCCTGCTCGGGCGTCCCGAGGTCGAGCAGAAAGTCAGCGACATCGCGGTGCGCCGGGCACTTGAAGCCGAGCGACTCAAAGTACGCCAAGCACGTGGCGCGCGGACCATGGTACATGACGTAGCCTTCGTTGAGGAGGAGGACGTCGTCAAAGAGGTTGTAGACTTCGGGGGATGGTTGCAAAAGCGCTATCACAATCGTCTTCTTGAGCGACGCGGCCATGCCTTTCTGCGCCTTGACGATATCGTACGTGGCCGCGGAGTCGAGGCCCGTGCTGATCTCGTCCATGAACGACACCATCTTCATGCCAAACTCCATCTCGCCGACCGTCACGCGCTTGCGCTCGCCGCCCGAGACACCGCGGAGCATGCCGTTGCCGACGATCGTGTCTTGGCAGATCTGGAGGCCCATTTGACGCGTCACGACATCCGGGTAGACGGCAAAGAGCGACATGATGACCGCTTTCGCCTGCGCGTTCTCGTCGGGCGTCCCGTTGGCAAGCGAGTCGAGGATCCGCTGCGGCACGACCGCGCCGCCGCTGCACGCGTGCGCAAAAGCCAAGGTCTCCTTGACCGTTAGCGTCGGGTAGTGAAAGTCGCGTTGGCTAATGTACGACGCAAACTGCGGCAGCTTGGGGCCGAGAGTGGCCGACGGCGTCCCGTTGAACGTGACGTGGCCACCGACAGAGATGTTCTTGGCGAGAAGGAAGCGGCCCGAGAGGATCTTCATGAGCGACGACTTGCCCGAGCCAGGCTGGCCGAGCACGAGCGTCGTCGTACTGGGCTTGAAGACACCACTCATTGGGTGCAGAATGTCCTTGCGGATCGATCGCTTGGAGCTAAAGAGACCCAGCACCCCCTTCGTGACTTCGTTGACGAGCGTCGGCAGTTCGCTGCCGTTCTTGGTGGCCACGACCACGTCGGCGGCGATCGCGAGGTCCTTGAAGCGAATCTCGAGCTGCGGCATGTCCTTCCCGAGCGACGACTCGAGCTGGTTGGCGAGCGATGCATGGAAGGCGTCGGAGCCATCTTGGAGGAACGCGTCGGCCGATTGCATGGTTGTTGTCAAAATGCGTTGTGAGCAATTATGCAATTCGATTCCATTCGGACGAGGCTCGGGGTACTATGCGACGGCGATTTCGTGGACCACGAACGAGACTGGTCGCCCTCCAGCATCGGATTAGGTCATAGCGCGCCATGCCGTCGACTTCAACGTGTATCCGGATGTTCCCCGCCTTATCCGGACATTTATCAGGCGTATCCGGACAGCAGAGTGATGGTTTTGACGCGCGCACCCGAGTTGCGTCATCGGGGCGAATGGTGCGAGAGGTCACACTTCACGTAAACGTTCAACCTCTCGAAGGAGCCGTATACCGGGATGAGCTGTACGCACCATCTGCTCATACCGCGAGCTGCTGAAAATACTTCTGCTACATAGTACAGTAGTATTTACGTGGCATTTAGAGGACCGACCGCCACCATGTCCGTTGCGTTGCGTCAGTTACTCGAGCCGCTGGCGCAAGAACCCGCGTTGCCAAGAGTCCGCGTGACCGGTCTACATGGATAGTAGCCATAGGTATGTATTACATGAAACAAATATGTCTCTGCGCTACACGCACGGCAACGTTGTTGGGTCACGTAAAAAAGTCTCGGACGCATAAATATATGATAAATAAGTGCTCAAGATCTCGTCATCGCCCAATTGCAAAAACGGTTGATTCCAGCTCTGTGCATGGTCACATCCATCCGTCCCTGTCATTATCAAGAGGTTCTTCGAGGCTCCGCGTGGACGCACCGCTGGCCTGCTATGTCGTTGCTTCCAGGCAGCGAACGAAATGCCCAGATACGTCGACACCAAATCGACACTCGTTGTTGTCGTTGTTGCTTGTTCTTTTTTAAGTTACATGTCACTCGACGCGGGCCTTCTTGGCGGCCGACTCGGAAGCTTCTCCGTCCAGAAGCATCGCCGACGGCGGGTGCTGGCCGAGGTACTTGGCAACCGCCGCTTCGTCGAGGAGGATCGAGTGCATGTTGGGGCCGTCCTCGATGGGCTGGGCCATGAGGCTGAGGTACTTCTTGCTCATAAAGACCGCCATATCGACGCTCAAATTCAGGTGCGACTCGAGCAGGAACTGGTTGATCCACGGCGGGAGCTTCGAGCGCTTGTCGTGGCGGTTGTAGCGCGAGTCGGCAAACACAATGATGCCATAGTCGGCTTTCGAGCGGATGACGCGGCCAGCGCACTGCGCCGCTTGACGCAGCGCGTCAAACGTCAAAAAGTCGCCTTCGCGGATGTGGTGCGTGTACCGGAGGTACTCCAAGCGGGCGCGGAGCACGTTCGAGAGCGTATATTGGAACGGAATTCCAAAGAGGAGCACGGCGCGGCCATAATGACGGTCGAAATCGATGCCTTCGGCCACCTTGCCGCGCGCGACCGAGAAGAAGACGGCGCCGCGGCCAATGTCGCACGCGCGCTTGTAGTTGTCGAGCGCGAGCGTCGTCTCGACAATGTCCTTGGTTTCAATGAAAATGAGCTTGTGCGCGAGCACTTTCTTGAGGACGCCGAGCACGTCCCACTGCGCAATGATGTTCTCCATGTACATGTACGACGGAAAGAAGCACACCATGCCGTCGGGCACGCACGCCGCCATCTCGAGGAGGAGGCCGCCATAGTTGCGCACCACCGACATGTCGTCGCGCAAATCAAATTTCGTGCTGACTGGCATTTGGTCACTGCCGCGCGTGATCACGAGCGGACAGATGCACGACCTATACACCGACATGGGCAGCGACTCGCGCACGACTGGCGAAAAGTTGAGCAGCCGCGGGTACAAGTCGATCGGCGACAGCGTGCCCGACGTCAAGACGACCGTGGAAAACCTACCAAAACAAATCAGAAATGAGATACAATCCAGGCGACGCTAGAGCAACGACCTACCGCTCAAAGACAGGGCGCATGGCGAGGGATGCGTCGAGGCACGCGAGCTGCAGAATCGGCTGCGGCGCATTGTGCTGGTCCGTCGGCTCCAAGATGAGCATGAAGCCGTCGGCGTACGTGGCCACGAGCGTCGCAAAGTCGGCGACTTGGTTGAGCGCGTTGAACTCTTCGAGGTTTGTAATCTCCAGCGTCCGAAGCAGCGATTGCAGCCGCGAGTAGCAAAACTTCATGGGCTTCGTGTCGACCGCAATCGCAGTCTGCATCGCGTGGAGAAAGGCCGCGGGCGTCTCGCTCTCGACGTTGCGGACGCGGATGCGCGTGCGGAGGTACTCGATGAGGCGCCGCATGAACGCGATGAAATGCTCGGCGCGCCGAATGCTGCCGGGAATCGCCTCTTCGAGAATGTCATTGGGCAAGACCGGCGCGCCGAGCTCCGTGGTGTCGTCGTTATTGCCAGCATTGGGGGCGACGACCGTGCCGCTCGAGCGCAGCCCTTCGACGAGTCGGCGGTACTCGGCATCGAGACGCGCCTTGTCGGCCTGCTTCATGCGCGAGACCGTCGTGCTACGGACCCATGGCATCATCAGATATGGCACGTTGACAAGCGCGCGAGGTATATGCAGCGTACCTGATGGTCGTGAGGTTGCGCGACGCGCGGTCGAGGCCGCGCCGGTTGAGCGTGACGCTGAGCGCTTCAATGCAGACGTTGTCAATGTTGTGGGCTTCGTCAAAGACGACGATGCAGTCGCGCTCGAGGGAGCGCGAAACCATCGTCGAGACCTTGGGATCGAGCATGTACTGGTAGTTGTACACGACAACGTCCGCAAACGTGAGCGCGTGGCGCGTCATGAAGTACGGGCACCAGCCTTTCGCGGTACCCATGGCCTTGAGGTCGTCGAGCGTGTAGACGCCGGGGTCAAGCACGCGCTGGTCCATCGAGCGCGAGTCGTACTGCTCGTAGAAGCTGCACGTCTCCAAGTTGCGCGACGCGGCTTGGGACCGGACCCAGGGCGCGGTCATGTTGCGGCATTGCGCGTCGACTGTCTCTCCGTCGGCGTGGGCCATGACGCGCGAGTGCACGCACATGTTGCGACGCGAACTCAAGCAGACCGCTGTGATGCCCATCGAGGCGTCGCCCAGCACCTCTTGGCGGTACTTCATCAAGTGCTTGATCTCTTCGACGCACTTGGACATCTCGGGCACCGTACGCGTGCAGTAAATGAGCTTGCCGGTTGTCTGCGGATGCGCCGCCTACATGGCAATGCGATGGTGATGGTCGACATCCGGCGGCTAGTCGACGTCCTCGTACCTTGTAGGAGAGGACAAGCGAGAGGAGCGAGACCGTCTTGCCCGTGCCTGTGGGCATCTCCAGCATCGCATGGCCCTTGGCGTCGAGGGCGCGCTTGAGCTCCCGCATGTACGCGACCTGCTCCGCGTACACGCGCGGGTACGGGAAGAGCACCTCGAGGCCTTCGATTTCCAGCCGCATCTTGCAAATGGAACACAGGAAGGCCGGCCTGTATTCGTGGCACATGCCGAAAATAACAACCGGCCATCGCGCCCACCGGCCCAGGCTCGTCGCTGGGTGCGCGCTAACGAGCGCACAGCGACCTATTCTTTTCATAGCGTCGCGAACACGACGTGCGGCAGGTCCTGTCGTTGGCAACGCATTCGCGGTCCAGCGACAAGGAAATATGCCGATTCTAGTGGACATGCCGAATCCACAACCGAGACGCGGGAAACACCCTAAAGGGTCGCCACGCGGGATCGAGACCGACGACCGACTCCTATGCGCCGCTGCCTGCAAGCATCGCACGTAGCTCTTTCGGCTCGCGCCATGTGCATGCGCAGGAGGAGGATCAAAGAGACCTCCAGCAAGGTCCTGCTGCCAGAAGACGATGACGCGGGTGCTGCGACCTCGCCCAGCATCTGTCGCTACCCTCGTTGATGAGTAGTCGCGTCCCGGAACGTCGGCAAAGACGAAGCGCGAGCGTAGCGTAGCGATAATTACGAGGGTCGTCTTACATGCGGGGGAGAGCGGTCGAAGCCGCTCATGCCTGCGCGTGGGGGAAGCCCTTGGAGATAATAGCGTGGACAACGTCGTAAGGCGCCGTCGTGAAGAGCGACGCCGGGTACACGGCAGCGCCCCACTCGGGATGGAGAAGGATCTTGCACATGCCCGCGCTGAGGCACGAGTAGTGCAAGAGCACTTCGACGCCGTCGACTTCGCTGTACACCTTACTTGAGTTCATCGCAAGCATCTACGCCAGCACCACCATGAGCCATGCCATGACTAGCTGCAGAAGATTGATTACCGGCAGTCCAGAGCACGGATCGATGAAGTCCGCCCAGTGGCCAGACGCGAGGATCGCCGTCGCCACGTCCTGGGCCCAGCGCGCGAAGTTTTCGAGGAGCCGGTCCTTTTCCTTGTCGGCCTCGCTGCCAAACTGGGCGAGGTCCACGCAGGCCCGCTGGCAGGTCACGACGCCAAGGACCGCGCTGTCCTTCTTGAGCGTGGCCGGGAAGACATGGACGAGCTCGCGCAGGAGGGCGCGGGGACACTCATGCACGGAGACCTCGAGCCCGCTGCTCGTCATGGTCGGCGGCAGGTGCATCACATGGCGCAGCGGCCGCGACGTCCGCACGACGCGGCCTCGGCCTTCGTCCATCGTGCTCATGCGATTGCGCAATATCGGCTCTTGTAACGAGAAGCGTCCGTCAATCAAGGGGTTCTTGTAGCGAGGGGTATTTGTGGTGCTCGGTAAAGTGCGGAATAGTCCCTCACCAACCAACATGGCAAAAGTTTAAAAGCTATTTTTTATTTCAATCGGCAATGCTGTACGAGTAATTTGTATGGTTTGGGATCAAAATATGATGGAATTTCGCATTCTATTGCGATGGACGGTATATTTACGCGAGTTTGCGGGAATTACGGTGGCCGTGGCGCAACCGGACCATTCGCTGCGAGATCGGACTACGAGCAGCATGGGCGGGCAGCGTAACAAGCACTACGGCAAGAAGCGCAAGGCGCAGGACGACGCAGGCGACGTCGCGCCGGGCCACCTCACCAAGAACGACGAGTGCAAGATCATCGTGCTCAACTTTGGCCAGTGGTCTGAGAAGGACGAGCTTGTCAAGGTCCTCGAAGCCAGCGGCCATACCTTCAAGGCTGTCCAGAAGCTCAACAAGCTCTCGTATGGCTTCATCATCTACGAAGACAAGGCGCAGCGCGACGCGGCGCTGAGCGTGCTCGCCGAGATCGAATGGAAGAACGGTGAGAAGCTCGAGGTCAAGGCCGCGCTGCCCAAGCGCAGCTTGAAGCCGATGGCCAAGTCCGATGACGCGTCGTCGGGCGAGCCGGGTGCGCTCAAGACGGTCATCGAGGCCGTGACGCCGTGGCACAACGTCGACTACGCCGAGCAGCTCGAGCGCAAGGAAGACGCGATGAAGAAGGTGCTTGTCAAGATCGTGCGCCAGACGCGCAAGGAGTTTGCGGACAAGCAGAAGCGCGTCCTCGAAGAACGCAAGCGCATGCGCAAGCAGCAAAAGGTCGAGACGATCCACGACGTCGTCGGCGGGCCGGCGCTCGAAGTGCCCGTGCCCGAGTGGCTCGATGCGACCGGCTCGCTCTACCTCGTCGCCAACGAGACGCTCTACGAGCAAGTCCTCTCGTCGGTCGAGAATCCGTGGGTTGCGCGCGCCAAGGCCGACGGCATTATCGGCCTCGTCACCTTTGCGTCCGAGCTCGTCGGTGTCCATCGCGACGGGTCGCTGCACACGTACCAGAAGCACACGACGTCGTGGCGGTACCTCTCCAACGGCCCGACGGCCGCGGTGACCTCGCTCGCCTCGCTCCGCGGCCACCTCCTCTGCGCCACCGCCAACGGCGACGTACACTTATGCATGCCCGACCCGCATGCGACTCATGAATTATCATTTAGATTGTGCGCCGGGTCGTCAAGGGTCGGCGCGATGTGATCGAGTGGGTGACGCTCGCAACAGGCCTCGGCCACGTGTCGGCCATGACCGTGCACCAGGGGTTTCTCTACGTGGCGGCGGCCGCGGGCTGGGTCAAGGCACCGCTCGGCCCGGAAGCCACGTCCGTGCTCGAGTTTGCGCCGGCGCCCGAGATGCCCTACCCGCGCGTGCACGGCCTCACGTCCCATGACGCCAAGCTCATCTTTGTGCAGTCGACCGAGGATGCCTCGCGCGTCGAGATTGTCCACGTCGAGACGGACGGCACGCTCGTGAGCCGCACCAACATTGACGCGGCGACGTCGATCCATGGCTTTGCCTCGCACAAGGGTAACATATTGTTGATTCTATTTGGTTGGACGAGACATTGATAGATTAATAGGTTTGTGCTGCCCAATGGAGCCGATCGCGCCGTCGCCGATCCTCGAGGGCTACCGCAACAAGTGCGAGTTTACCTTTGGCTACGATGTCGAGCACAAGCCCGTGGTCGGCTTCCGTGTCGGCATGTTCAAGGAAGGCGTCGTTGCGGTCGGCGCGGCCGACGACTGCATCAACGTGCCGCAGGTCATGAAGGACATTTGCCGCACGTTCCAGGTACTTTTCGTTGGTTTGTGGAAAGTATCAAGTTGATAATTATACAACGTAGGCGCACTTGGAGGCGTCGTCGATGCCCGTCTATGACGTCATGACGCACGAAGGCGTGTGGCGCCTCCTGACGATCCGCCTCTCGCAGCGCACGAACCAGATCATGCTCATGATCCAAGCCAACCCGAGCAGCGTCGAAGCGGAGGCGTGGGTCGCCGAGAAGAAGACGTTGGTCGAGACGCTGTCGGCAGCACACCCGACGATCTCGTCCATGTTTGTGCAAGAGTACACGGGCGTCTCGGCGCCGACCGAGGACCACCCGATCGAGCACGTCTTTGGCGCGACGACCATCGAAGAGGAGCTCCTCGGCCTCAAGTTCCGCATCTCGGCGCAAGCGTTCTTCCAGGTCAACACGCCGGGCGCGGAAGTGCTCTACTCGCTCGTCAAGCGCTTCGCCGCCGCGAGTGATGCGACGCAGGTCTACGACGTGTGCTGCGGCACGGGCACGATCGGCATCTGCGTCGCGCAAGACGCGCGCAAGGTGATTGGCGTCGAGCTCTGCAAGGCCGCGACCGACGACGCTGCCGTGAACGCAGAGCTCAACAACATTCGCAACATCTCGTTCATCAACTCCAAGGCCGAAGACGTCATGAAGGAGCTGCTCAAGAAGAAGCCCGAAGGCGAAGGCGCCGAGTTCCTCAAGGAGGCCGTGGCGATTGTGGACCCGCCGCGCGCCGGCCTGCACACCAAGGTGCTTCGCTCGCTCCGTGACACGCGCCCCGTCAAGCGCATTGTCTATGTGAGCTGCAACCCGACCGTCTCGCTCATCAACGTACGTGCGGATTCGGACATGTCATCATGACATCTTGACCCATTTCGTGTAGGATGGATGCCACGACGCTGTGCGGTCCGTGCACGAGCAACCTCCGCGGCACGCCGTTCAAGCCCGTCTTTGCGGCGCCCGTCGACATGTTCCCGCACACGGAGCACTGCGAGATGATCATCGTCTTTGAACGTGTCGACGTGTAATCGGACTAGTCATCACGACATCGACAACCATGTACACAAGTTTGTAAGGTTTAGCTACAGGTGTAGCTAGAGGGACACACTTGCGAGCACGCAAGGACTCGAGACGACGCAGAGGAGCTGTCCCGACGGCGTGCGACGGCGGCAGCGTGCGCGAAGCACTCGCGCCCTATGGAGCGCTTGCGGCGCGCTGAACTGCGCCACCGAGAGCGTCGCACCCTCGACGTCGAGGGTCACGCGGTAGAGCACGAGTGGCACCAGGCCTAGCGTGTTGCCACGCACGGCGCGCGGGTTTGCGTGCCAGTAGAGCACCGGATAGTCTAACAGAAGCCCCGCGATCGCGATCGGACTAGGCGAAAGACAACGCTGCAAGAGCGGCGTCAGCGCAAAGACGCGATGAGGTGAAGTCGACCACGTGAGCGCTGTGACGAGCGTGGACGCGAACGCCGCCAGTGTCAACGGTGGTGGGCTTAGGATCTAGAGAGGGTAAGACATCTTGCCGACCTCGGTGAAAAACGACGTACCGTCGGTGCAGTGCTCGAGGAGGAGGGCGTGACGTCGATGCACAATCGGCTTGCCCAACACGACGCCAAGTCCTTGACGAGCGTGCGGCAGAGGATAGGTGCATGAACGAAGAAGAGGTCATCGTCGAGGTAGACAGCCCGTATGAGGTCGCAACCCGCGAGGTCCTAGCCTCCGTGAGCCTCCGCTATTTGAAAGCAAGGGAATACCTCGCGCAGCGCAGCGAGCAGCGCCAAGGCGCGCGGGGTGGGATCGCTGCGCAGTCGACAAGACACCCGGTGCGGACGCCGGTGACGACGAGGAAGAGGTCGTTGGCCAACGCTGCTATGACTTTTGACGGCCATCGCACCTTCTTTGGCAACGTGTGGGCGTGCTACTGCAGGTCGTTGGCCTCTCCAAGAGGCACGAGGCGCAGGCGTACCGTCGTGATGGCATCCAAGATCTGTCGCCGGACGCGTGCGCTGCAGGCAGGCAACTGGCGACCGCAGTCTCTATAGAGACCATCGATCGCTTTGGAGGCAATGCGACAAGCGCTATGGTCGTCGTCCTTGAGGAACCGCGCGACGAGGCCAAAGGTCGCGGCCAAGCTCGCGGGCGTCCCAGCGATGCTTGCCATGATCAGCGCCCGTTATTGGTAGGCCGTCAATACGGCAATGCCATTGGTCGATCTATTTTCTGCTGCGATTCGATTGGTTGAGCCGCCGCACAGCAAGCCCGAGGATGATGTCTTGCAAGAGGTGCTATGAGCGTCGCGAGCAAGAAGCTCTCGACAGAGAAGCCTCATTACACCATTGCTCTCTGTTGACAGCAATGCTCGCCACACAGCACGACGCCGCTGCCCCGTCTGGTTCGACGCGTCGCGAGACGGCCGTCTCCAGCAACGCCTGTATGTCTGGCTTGTGTCCATTCCACGCCCACGCAGGTCACCCGAGCCAAACGCTCTTGGATGACGTACCGCTCGTCATTCGCTCGCTGACGCTGGCGTCGGCGCAGCTACTGCGCGACATCGTGGTGGCGACGCGATCCGCGATTGTTCCATGCATTTTACGCACGCTCGACAAGCAGCTCCAACCGTTCGTCTTCGAAGACGACGATGGCGCGACGGCCCATGGGCAGCAGCTCGCCGACGACTGGATCATCCGGAAAGAAAAAGGTCAGCCGTGGACCGACAGCGGTCGCTGGGGCAAGCGCCACGTGGGCCACGCCAAAGCACGGCAGAGCGACAAGCGCGAGGTGTCGTACGCTGCAAGCACTTCAACCTCGTCGACGCGAATCCACTTTTGAGCCACACACGAGTGTGGGCTCGCAGCCCACGCTGAGTTTATGTACACTTTGTTTCTTCAGCACTTTATCGCGATTTGCGCCGCGCCAGACAATCTGGTGCGCTATCTGCAAAACGACCACCAGATGCCAGATAAATGTGATCTATAGATTCTGACTTCGCCATCTCGTACATGGCCATCATGATCCTCTCGCTCGTCGGTGCCTTTCCAAGATTTCAAGATCCAAACCGCACCGCTTGATTGGCTAAAATACAAGCGGAAAAGCCAATCCTGTTCGATGTTGAGCTGCATTGGCTAAAAAGACGCGTGCGTTGACCAATGCGAGCGCACTTGAGTAGCATGGCGTCGCTGCCAGCAGCGCCCGAGGTCGACCTGGACCTCATCTCGCTCCTCAACTCGGACTGGAGCGACGCTGCGCGCACGGCCTACGTGGCGCCGCAGCAGCGCTCGGCCGACAGCTTTCTTCAGTCGCTTTACGAAGAAGATGCAGCGACCCCGTCGTTCGCCAAGCTGCACACGTGGGCTCGCCCTCGTGTCCATGGCCTTGGTTGATGCATGATTGCTGTGTAGATCCACGCAGCAGCGTCGATCAGCGACGAGCGACGACCTTGAGGCGCTTGTGTTGGAGCAGCGACGCCGCATCAAGGCTCTCAAACGAGAACTCAAGGCCAAGGTATATGCTTGATCGCCAAAGGGAAGCGTTCCACTGGCATACTAGGACACGGAAATTCAACGCCTCAAAGCACAGCCAGCCGAGCCGAGTGCGGCTCGCGCGCTTCGCGCAGGCCCAGCGAGGTGGTGTATATCGAGACGACAAATCGACGAGCCATTCACGCGTCGGTAGCTTCGCGCAGAGCTCGACGCGCTCAAGGTGCGATATGAGCGCGTGCGGGACAGCAACACGGAGCTGCGCCGGGTACGCCGCAAAACAAAACAGCTCTGCGCGTGACTTACTCAGCATATCATGGCAGCGGGCAAAAGAGCTCGACGCGCTCTGTCAGCGGCAAGCAGCTGCCAACGCAATCCAAGCGCAGACGATTCAACGCTTGTCCGTCAAGAGCGTCGTAGTACGTTCCAACGCGTCCTCGGTCCACCACCTCCGACGGTATCGTAGGCAGCATCCACGGCCAAAGTCAAACCCGCTCGCCCGGCAAATGACATCACTGCCTCGGATCGACATTTGCTCGACGAGTTGCAAGCGCTGCAGACAGCTAGCCATGCCGAGATTGCACGGTCGGCGAGCGTGCGCCAATCTCAACATGGGCCGTCTCTCGTCGTGTCGACGACCGAGATGGAGTCCATGGCACTGTCTCCGCCACCGACCCCGCACCCTGCGTCGCCCGAGGCCTTGGTCCGCCCGGCGGCGCCGCCCGTTGCGCCGCTGCGGTGGAGCCGCCGCCTGCCATCGGCATACCCCCAGCCCTACGGGGCGTCTGCGCCAATCACAGCCAAGCTCCGGGCGCTCTATCTCAAACAGAAGACGCAATCCGAATGATCGCCAAGAGCCTCCGCGACGCAGCGACGCACACGAGTGCGGTGCGGCAGCTCGTGCTCCGCAAGTCGGAGGACCTTCTGTGCATGAACCTCATGTGCGAGCGCGTCGGGGAGGCCTGCGTCTGCAAGCTCAGCGTCGTGCTCGAGCGCCTGCCGCAGCTGGAGCACTTGGACGTGAGCCGCAACAACTTGATGTCGCTTCCGCCAGCAATCTTTTCGCTACGCCACCTCACATCGCTCAACGTGAGCGGCAACAAGCTCTCGTCGCTGCCGGACGGTCTCTTGAGCAACCTCGCGTCGTTGCAGGAGCTGCATGTCGAGGACAACCCGGCCTTGGCCACCTTGCCGTCCGACGCGGTGCTCCCGGCGCTCACCCGCGTCTACGCTCGGGGCACATCGCCAGCGTTTACGCTGCCGCCGTCGCTGGCGCACGCCGCGTTGCAGCGAGACACCGACGCTGCGTGAATACATAATAGTCAAACACGACTCTATCAACTAGATTATTACTATTATGTTCGTCGACGACGAACTAGAGTTTTGGCAGGTTCAGATGGCCTGCCGAGCCGCGTTTGGGAAGCATGTGCGGGATCGCTCTCGAGCGCTGCGCGCTGTTGAATGATGTGTGGTTCACCAGCGGCGTCGGCTTGGTCGGCTTGGTCGGCTTGGGCGGCGGCGCCACGGGGCGTATCACTGCTGGCTCCTTCTCGACCTCGACGGGCTCGGCGAGCTTCTGCACGACAGGCTCGGCGAGCTTTTGCAGGACGACGGCTGGTGCGAGCGGCGTCGTGCGCGGCGCTGGTTTGAGCCGGCACTTGTCGCTTGCAACGCGCATGATGGTATACTGGCCGTGCACAGTGTCTTGGATGCTTCTTAGGATCTCCGCGGCTTGGTGCCCGAGAGGACCGAGGCCGAGCGCGCTGGGCTCGGGTGGCACGAGACGCGCGTCGTCGACGGGCGCGACTTGAAGAGTCCAGACGACCGGGAGCTGCAGGAGCACCCGCGTCGGTCGAAAGCCTGTATGGAAGCTCCATGGTGCTTGCCTCTGGAGCTTGAGGGGTGGTGGCATCGCCGCCGCGAGCTTCTCGACCGTGTGCATGGTCGACGGGTCCATGTCGAGCATCGAGATCAAGGTCGAGACAAGCCCGGTGTCGTAGTGGTCGTCGCGGTCCGAGAGCTCGGCGTTGAGGTGCGCGAGCGCGACGCTTGAGACTTGGCGAATGTCGGACGCGCCGACCTGCGAGAGCATAATGAGCAGCGGGATCACGCCCGCGGCTTTGGCTTGCGCTTGGAGCGCGCGATTTCGGGACGCGGTAATGTTGTGAAGGAGCATCACCACGTGGCGGCACGTGTCTCGCTCGCGCTTCTGCGTCAGCGTCTGCAGGATCGGCACGATCCGCGCGTCGTGCAAGAGCGCGGGGATGCACGCGAGGTACGTCGAGAGCGTTCGCAGGACGAGCGCGACTCGCTCCCCCACTCGCTGCTTCTTGGCGGCACCGCCGATGCAATCACATCAAAGAGGCCGTCGGCCACGAGCTGCGGCCCGCTATGGCCGCCGCGTGAGAGACGGCAGAGCGCAATGACGCACAGCTCGATCGTGCGCGGATTGTTCCCGCGGATCGCCGCGCACCGAAGAATACGCACAGCACCTTCGTGCACGAGTTGGTTGGCCGCGCCGGCGTCTTCGGACAAGGTCGTGACGATCTCCGCAGCCACGTCAGCGATCGCGGCGCCATCTTCGTAGCTTAAACATGCAACAGCGTTGGCACGACCTCGGCTGTGAGCATCGCGGCGTGGAACTTGGCGTGGTAGCTCATGTTGTGCAGCACCTTGGCGCCAGTGAGAAGCACGAGCGACTCTTCGGACGTCTGCAGAATCCCGACGACCGAGGCAATCGTCTCGGCCTCCTGGAGCTTTTCGTGGGCGCTCGCGGCGCACGAGAGGTTGCAGAGAGCGCTGAGGGAAAAGAGCGTCTGCGGACCGTCTTCCGCGCACATCATTTGCAAGAGGAGCTCGATGAGTGGCAGCGTCGCCATGGCGTCGCACACGTCGAGGCACATGGAGAGCGCACCGAGGACGCTCGCACCAAACCGCCGGCAGAGCGTGCTGCCGTGCTCGCAGAGCAGCAAGACGGCATTGAGGATATCGCCTTGGACCAAGGCGGCTTCGTGGCCGCCGTCGAGGGTGACGTTGGCGAGGCACGCCGCCAGTTTCTGCCGCGTCTCTTCGTTGTTGACATCGCTCTCGCACATCTTGGCGACAACTTGACCAATGTTGATGTCCAGGAGCACGGTGAGAAGACTCGCGTCACACGAGAGGTTGTAGAGCGCGGTGACGCACAAAATGCGGATCTCGAGGCTCTCGAGGCGCGCGAGCTTGACGAGCGCATACAAGACGCCACCTTTGATCATCGCGAGGCGGCAGTCGTCGTGCGTGAGGACGTTGAAGAGCACTTTAGCACAGATCTCTTTGGTCGAGTCGCTATTGATGCGCAAGAGCGAGTTGACGATAAAGTCGGAGATCGTGCCTTCCTTCCAGAGGTGCCGGAGACATGATACCCCCCGCTGGCCGCGCTCGGCCGCGAGTCCGCACAGCGCGGTGGCGCAGTGGATCTGCACCTCCTCGATGCCCGAGCGCATCATCACCACCAAGGTCGGCGGCAGCTCGAGGCAGCGCGAGAGAACGTCCGTGTACATGCTGGTCGCCGCGAGCTTGGCAAACGCAATCGCACAGTTGAGCGAGATCTCGGCGTGTGGCGACTGCGAGAGGTCCATGAGCATCTGGAGGATCGGTGTGGTGGGTGACGCCATCGCGGGGCACGCGAGGTTGCAAAGCGCCGACGATGCGCACAGCAGCAGCTCCTTGCACGTCGTGTTGGTCGTGAGCCGCTTGAGCAGCTTGAGAACGTCGTCGCGTAGCATTTGCTCGCGACTGCCGTCGTCAAACGAGACGTTGCAGAGCAGAGCGACGCAGCGCTTGTTCGGCTCCAGCGTCTTGGACGGTTTGCGAAAGACTTGGCAGAGGAGGCCAATGGCACCTTCTGCGACCAAGCCCGGGCGGCTCGGTGCGTGGAACGAGAGGTTGTAGAGGCAGTTGAGGCATAATTCCTGAACCCGGCTCAGCAGAATCGTCGGCTCCTTGCCCTCGTCTTTGGCCTGGAGTGGCTCCTTCAAGAGACCGAGGAGTGTCGCGAGCGTGCCCGGGGCGAGCAGGAATGGCGCCAAGTCGGCGTGCGCACTGAAGTTAAAGAAAGAGAGCGCGCAAAACTCGCGGATACTCGGCGCGGACGTGGTCGTGAGGTGCAAGACAACGTCGATCGCGTCGCACTGGAGGAGCTCCGCGCGCGACGTTTCGTGCTCCATGAGGCCGCAGAGCAAGGCAACCGCGTGGCTCTGCGTCAGCGGCGTGCCGTCCCGTAGAAAGCGAAGCACGAGCGGGACAACCCCGTGTTGCGTGAGCAAGAGTCGGTCGCTCTCCACCACGTTGGCCAGCGCCAGCGAAACGTTGCTCTGGATAACGTCGTTTTGCATGTAGCCAATCTGAATGAGCCGCATCGCGAGGACGCTGCTAATGCGCTGGCGCTGCGCGTCGAGGCGGCACGTGAGGTTGGCGACCGTCGTCGACGAGAGCTCGCGAATGCGCTCGTCGGGCGTCTCGAGAAGTATGTCGAGCACGCGCAGAATCGGGAGCTGACTCAAGTACCCATAGTTGGTCTCGACACCTGAAAAGTTGCACAGGGCCATGGCGACGAGTCGCTTGACGTCGATTGAGGCGCCGGCGTGGCACACCTCGGTCAGCGGCTCGAGGAGGCCGTCTTCGACCGCCTATCCGACGCTTTGCGCTGCTCTTCATAAGAGGAATCGTACCTTGACGCGGGGACCAGTGAGTACCGAGAGATTGGCCATGGCCTGCGCGACAAAGTGCAAACTCGGCGTATCTTTGCGGGCGGTCATTTTGACGATCGTGTGGGTCACCGTGTCCGAGACGGTCGCGCCGGCGTACGACGCAATGTTGATGAGCGCCTTGAGACACGCTTCTTTCGTGTCAAAGTCGGTGCTGTTCAACATGGAAATCATCGCGGGCACCGAGCCTTCTTGGAGCAGCCGGAGCTGCCCCATGCGCTCGTACGACCCGCGGCAGAGCCCAATGGCCGCGTTGCGCCGAACGTCTTCGTGCTGAAGCTTGGAGAGCTCCATGAGGCCGCCGAGAAGACCTTCTTCGAGCATGCGCGGAAGGAGCGCGCCGTCACACGTGAGGTTGACGAGGGCCGCTGCACAGTACTTTTTCACGTCGTTGTCGTCGAAGAGAGAGAGGCGGACGAGCGCGGGGACGCAGCCTTCAAGCACCATGCCTGCCTCGTGCCCTTCTTGCAGTGCCAGCTAGGCACCGTCAGCATCTCCGATCGCGTATCCGTGGCCAGGAGGAGTATACCTGGTACAAGCTGCACGCGCATTCTTGCTTCATGCGCACCTCGCGTGTCGTCGCATCTTCATCGGCAACTTCAATGCGGGTGTCCGTTGGTGTCTCCGCAGGGTTACGTGGTGTGGAGGGTGTACCGCACGGCTGCACGGAGTTCGTAGCACTGGCTGTATTGATGCTAGGGGTCGTTGTCGCAGTCGTCGACGTGTCTGGCGCCGTCTCACCTAGAACAACCACGCTGGTGAATGACATGCATGAAGTAGAACTCATTTACGTGTCTCGCTGGACGTGGTCATGCGCGAGAGGTAGATCATGCCGTCGTCGTAGTCGCCGCGCTGACTGAAGAGGTCCCCATGGTACCCGTCGATGGTGTAGTTGCCGTTGCGCGGCGAGAGCTTTGACGTGAAGGCCGCCATGCTCATCGATATTCCTCGGTGCGTAATGCGCCGATCAAAAGGCGCTTTCTTGATTTCACTGGGGTTGGGTGTCGGCGGGCGCGCGGGAAGGACACTCGACGACGAACTGGACGGCGACACGGCCGACGTCGGTGCCTCGGACGGTCGCACTTTGGTGTTGATGTGCTTGTACAAGGTGCGCACAAGCTCTTCTTTGGTCGCGTGGGATTTCCAAAAGTTGCGCTGCCGATGAAGTTTCCAGTGTTTCACGAGGTCCCGGAGTTCTTCGGCGCGAATGGGCGCCGTCTTGGGATCGCGCTTCCGGGGAAAGAGGTTGTAGCGCGTGAGGTACACGCGGAGGACATCGAGCTCCTTGTCGCGCTCGAGGTCTTGGAGCAGCTCTTGCGTGTGCCGCGCTGCTTGGGACAAGCGGTGGCTCATCGCAAAGAAAAGTGACCCGTTTCGACCGCCTAAATTAGCTTGTTTTTGTCTGCGACATCATCACGGCAGGGCGACGATACGAGCAACCCGCCAAGAGCGCTGCTGAACATTGCACAAGTCGAGAAGAGGAGACCTCACAATGAGAGCGTAGCCAAGGCAACGAGACAAGCTCCCTTGGTGGGTCAAACCACCTCCACAAACAACTTTTACACAAAAGACATAGTATGCTGTACTAGAAGAGTCATAGAATAGGCGGAAGGCACTCCGCCACGGCGTTTTTGCTGCTAAGACCCATGCTACCAAGGTTGCGGGAGCTTGACTTGGTCGCCTTGGTGCTGCGATGGCTCGGCTTCTTGGTCGTGGCAATCGTAGGCTTGCGGGGACTCTCCTCTTTCTCTGCACGCGTCGTGTCGGCGGGCGGGGCGGTACCGGCATCTTTGGTTTGATCTCGGTCGCCGGCGTTAGCGCAGCACCGTCGACCGCGCGCAAGACCGAGCCCAGCGTCATGTGGGCGAGGCGCGTCGGTGCTTTGAGGCGGCTCTTCTGACGGCTCACCTGCAAAATCTGGAACGACCCGAACAAGGCATCCTTGAGCACGGATGTAAATTCGCAGTGCTGCGGCGGCAGGCAACTCAGATAGCGACTCGGCTCGTGCGGCACGAGCGTCGCAGCGTCGACAGGGTCGTCCCGCAGCGTCCACGCCACCGGAATCGTCTGCGGCAAGAGACTCACCTTGTTGTTCTCGCCCGATAGAAAGACCCACTCGGTCTCCTTGGGTGCCCACTGCAGCAGCGGCGGCATCGTCGTCGCGACCTTCTCGGCGCGCTGCATCGCCGGCGGGTCCATATCGAGCATTGAGATCATGGTGGTGACAAGTCCGGGCTCGTACGCCTCGATCTCGTTCCGGTCGGCTTCCGAGAGCTCGCAGTTGATGTGCGCGAGCGCGACGGCACAAATCCGCACCTCTTCGTGGGCGCTGAGCCGTGCGAGGCGGATCAAGAGCGGGATCACGCCCGAGACGCGCACGGTCTTCTGAAACGAGTGGTCGCGGGCCGCCGTCAAGTTGTGGAGGAGCATGACGCAGTTTTGAGTGGTCTCCTTGTCGCCGGGCGACGCGAGCGCGTGGATAAGCAGGTGCAATCGCTTGTCTTGGAGCATTTGCGGAATGCACATGGCGTACGTCGAGAGCGTGCGCAGAATCATTGAGCAGCGCTCCGTCGTCTCGGCGGCCGGCGTTTTCGCGCCGATGGGGATCGCGGCGCACAAAACGTCAAAGAGGCCGTCGTCGAGAATGCGCGTGCCGCTATGGCCGCCACGGGAGAGCCGAAGGAGCGACACGACGCAGTATTCGATCGTCGACGGGCTCGCGTCGATCGTCGCCATGCGCAGGAGCTGCACCGCGCCTTCCCCCACCATCGCATCCAACAGCGACGGCGCTTCCGAGAGCGTGCACACAATACGTGCGACGACGTCCGCGACGCTCGTGTAGAGCGGGCGGTTCCCAAAGACGCGAAGGAACGTGCGGATGAAGTGGTGCTTCATGAGCGCATGTCGGTGCTTGGGCTGTTGCGTCAGGTTGCAGAGAAACTTGGCGCACGTGAGAATGATCCCTTCGTCTTCGTTGGCATCGCCCACGACGTGGAGCATCGCGCCAATGAGCTCGGCTTCCTCGATTTTGTCGTGGAGATGGCTCACACAGGCGACGTTGCAGAGCGCGTTGGTGGCGAAGAGCACCATCGGTGGGTCTTTCGAGCGCACCATGCGCTTGAGGACGTCTAAGGCCGCGCTCGAGGCGAGGCCGTCGCAATTCGCAGGCGACATCGAGACAGAGCAGAGTACGGACGCGCCGTAGCGCATGCAGTCGCTGTCGCTATGCTCGCAGAGCGCTAGGATCGCGTTGAGGACGCCACCTTCCATGAGTTTAACCTCCATGCCGGGCGCGAGCGCCATATTGGTGAGGCACGCCGAGAGCTTCGCCGGCTCTCTTCGTGCTTGAAGTCCGAGTCACAGAGCTTGGAGACGACGTGGGGAACGTTGGCTTCCATGAGCGACGGCACCATAGTCGCGTCGCAAGAGAGGTTGTAGAGCGCCGTGACGCACAAAATGCGAATCTCGAGGCTCTCGAGGCGCGCGAGCTTGATGAGCGCATACAAGACGCCGTCTTTGATCATCGCGAGGCGGCAGTCGTCGTGCGTGAGGACGTTGAAGAGCACTTTGGCGCACACGACCTTGGTCGAGTCGCTATTGATGCGCAAGAGCGAGTTGACGATAAAGTCCGAGACCGTGCCTTCCTTCCACATGTGCTTGTTGGTTTTGGCGCCGCGCTCGCAGGCCATGCCGCAGAGCGCCGCGGCGCAGTGGATCTGGATCTCCTCGATGCCCGAGCGCATCATGACCACCAATGTCGGCGGCAGCTCAACGCACTTGGTGAGCGCCTCGCGCAATGACGCGTCGGCCGCCAACTTGGAGTAGGCCAGCGAGCACACAAGTGCAATGTCGGCATGCGGTGTGTGCGAGAGGTCGATGAGCAGGTTCAAAATCGCTTGGCCCGAGTGAACGAGGCCCGGAACCGCGAGATTGCAAAGCGCTGCGGCACTCGCGAGCTGCAAGTCCTTGGTCGCTGCCGACGAGGCCGAGAGGCGTCGAAGGAGCTTCAGCACGTCGTCTTGAAGCATCTGAGCATGCGCGTCCGTACAGAACGAGAGGTTGGCGAGCATGGCAGCGACGCGCGTGTTGAGCTCCGGCGTCTTTGCGACCTTACGGAAGACCGCGACGCACGCCGCGACGCACGTTGCTTGTACGAGCACGGGCCGGCTGCTCGGGTTAAACGAGAGGTTGTAGAAGAAGTGCAGGCACTGTTCCTGGATGAAGCTCAGCGCAATCGTCGGGTCCTTCTCTTCCTTCGGGGCGACCGGTAGATTCGAGGACGTAAAGAGCATGATCATCGGGTCGAGGACGTCGGGCAAGAGCGCGTAAGGCGCAAAGTCTTCGTAGCAGCTAAAGTTGAAGAGGCCGATCGCGCAGAGCTCGCGGAGCTTGTGGTCGCCCGTGGTCCCGAGCGCAATGACGTAGTGAATCACGTCGCGCGCGATGATCTCGGCGCGCGACGACTCGTGCTGCATGAGCGTGCACAGCGCCACCATCGCATTGTAGCGCGTCTGAATCGAACTCTCCGTGAAGAGCTGCATGAGGAGCGGGACGAGCCCATGACGCATGAGCAGCAGCCGATGCGCTTCGTCGCTGAGGGCCATGTTGGCGATCGCAAGCGACACGTTTTCTTGGATGGCGCGCCCCGGGTTGTACCCTGTAGTAATGAGCCGCAACGGCAACGGACTCTCGGCCAGCATGGCGATGGCGTCGCGGGTCGTCGAGAGATTGGCGATCGCAGTCGTTGCCATCTCGATGATCGTGTCGTCGTCGCGCGACAGCAGCGTGTCGAGGGCCAGCAGGAGCGACGGCGTCGCGAGCAAGTGGTGGTTGGTGTCGATGCCCGAGAAGTTGCTCAGTGCCATCGCGATCATGGTTTGGACGCGTGAGTCGTGGCACGACTGCGTAATCGACGGAATTGGATCGAGGATGCCATCGTCCGGCGCCTACATGCGGCCTTGACAGAGCATATATTTCGATCGATGCGAACCTTCATGCGCGAGCCCGTGAGCAGCGAGAGGTTGCAGATGGTTTCAACGATGAAGCGGTCGTACGCCGCGTCCTTCTTGGCCGCGATGCGAATGACCGTCGAAATGACCGACTCGGAGACGTTGCCTCCTATGATTGTTGCGTGGAGTTAGCCAATCGTGTCGGGTTGGTACCAGAGAACGACGCAATGTTGACGAGCGTCTTGACACACGCCTCCTTGGTCTCAAAGTCCGTGTTGTTGAGCATCGAGATGAGCGCGGGAACCGACCCTTCTTGGATGAGTCGGTGCTGGCCTTGGCGCTCATATGAGATGCGACAAATGCCGATGGCAGCGTTCCGGCGAATATCTTCTTGTTGCACCTTGGCGAGCTCCATGAGGCCACCCAAAACGCCCTCTTCAATCATGCGCGGGCAGAGGTTAGGGTCCACCGAGACGTTGACAATCGTCGCCGAGCAGAATTTCTTGACATCCAAGTCGTCGTAGTTGCACAACTGGACAATCGCAGGAACGCACCCCTCGAGCACGATGCTATTCTCGTGCCCCGGCTCCAGCGTGAGCTAGTGCGAGTCTACAGTACATCGCATCGAAAACCAGTAGTACCTGGTAGAGACTGCACGCGCACTCGGCCATCAAGCGCCTCTCACGCCGCACGGCGTCCTCGTCCAATGTCTCCATCTCGGGTGCGAACGTCGCCGGTTTGTTCTGGTCGAGCAGATTCTGCAGCTCGGCCTCGACAGCCGACGGCTTCTCGGGCTTGGCGAGCCGCGAGACGTAGATCATGCCGCTGTTGTAGTCGCCGCGCTGGCCAAAGAGATCACCGCCGTACGGGTCGAGCGCCTGGTCGACGCGAACGCCTTTATGCGCATCGGGCACCGTGTTGAAGCGCGAGATGCGGCGCTTCACGGGACTCTCGGTGGCCCCCGCGCTGTACGGTCGCGTCGGCGCCGGCGCCACGGGGGCCATCAACGGCGGCGTCGGGCTCATGGGCGGTTCGGGCTGGAGCGGCGTCTTCTCGTTCGGCAGCACTTTTGTGTTGATGTGCTTGTACAAGGTGCGCACGAGGTCTTCTTTGGTCGTGTGGTTTTTCCAAAAGTTGCGCTGCCGATGGAGCTTCCAGTGCTTGGCGAGGTCCCGGAGCTCTTCGCTGCGAATGGGGGCGGCCTTGGGATCGCGCTGCCGCGGAAACAAATTCAGGCGCGTGAGGTACACGCGGATCACATCGAGCTCCTTGTCGCGCTCGAGGTCTTGGAGCAGCTCCTGCGTGTGTCGTGCCGCTTGGGACAAGCGGTGGCTCATCGCCGCCGCGAGATCGGTTTTCACGAAACGAATCGTAAAGATAGCCCGCGCCAGAACGCCATTAGTGTTAGCACGCAATTCGTGTTGTCCTCGACCCCATTAACCACCGACCGACCTTGTTCTATCTACTTGGACAAGCACAATACGGTCATGTACATGCGCTTGTTTCGGCGAGGCGCTGTTTGTTGGTAGAGGCCGCGACAAGAATGACGCGAACGCCGGCCTGCGACCCCTGCAACGTACACTATTTGCGTGGTAAGACTATTTATAGCGTCGTCGCACGGAGGCGCGTTGTATTTTGAGACTTGCGTAGTAGCGAGCATGGCGCTCCGTTCGTTCAGCAAAGACACGCTGCAAGGTGCGTGCAACTACGCGATCTTGTTATAAAATCGCCATAGATAATTGGTACGAGGAGCGCTGCGAGCCTCTCCAAGGCGTCCTGCCGTACGACGAAAAGGTACTGCAACTGTCCTAGTTTTGCGACCAAAACACGAGCGTAGACACGCTATGTGACGACGGTGGAGGCCGATTTCGTCAATCCGGTAGCGATTCAGCGCCGACACGAGCAGCACAAGAAGGTAGTCTCTCGATAAGGCACGTGCTCAAAGGGCTGGCCTAGACGCCGCGCCCGCGCTTGCTTCGCAACGACAACTACGAGGAGGCGGTGGCCGCGCGACCGCTCCGCCATCGACCGGAAGCGGGTTTTGGCGCCGTGCTCCCGACGCCGGATCCGAGCCTTTCGAGCCGCCACCTCAAGACGATCAACCAGGAGGCGTTTGGGGTACCCCACAAAAAACAGTCTACCGAAGCACCTCGCGCTTCCCGCCGGTGGGGCGGGCGGCGTCCGCGTTGAGCACGGGAAGGCGGCGTCGGGCGCGTCGGGCGAAATCGTTCGGCAGCACGCCGACCCGCAAAAGGACACGCACGCCCAGCGGTCGTGGATGTACACGAAGGACCCAATTCTGTCGCGCGTGCGCCCAGGCGGCAGCAACAACCAAGAGGTCGAGGCCATCAAGAGCCCGCCCGCCCACCACCGGCGCCAATCAACAAACATCACGACCGTGTACAAAAAGAAGGATGGGATTTACTACGACGACTAGACGACGCCTCGTACTTTGTAAGAAGCTTGCACGAACTTTCAGCGTGTTGCGGTTGGAGGCGACGAGGGATTGGAAGCAAGACGTTGCCGCAGCGCCGATAGCTCGGCCATGCATGCCGCGACGTGGGCTGGCGAGACATGCGCGACGACGCGGACGCCACCCCGTGCATCGGCAAACAGTTGGAAAAAGTGGAGGAATCCCCCGGCAGCCGACTCGAGCTGGTCCACCGCGGAAGCAAAGCCGCCTACGAAAAGCCCACTTCTGTGAAGAAGCCGCGCTAGAAGAGGGTGGTGGACCTTGCGTGGGCATACGCAGCTGCGTGAAATTGTAGCGAGAGAGGTTCGTTGTCGACACGACGACGTCGGCGCCTTCGGGCGCGTGCCAGTACAGCTTGGGCCACGACGCTGCTTTCTTGTAGACGGCCGCAATCTCGCTCGCTGCGCTCAGCTTGGCCGAATCGATCGCCCGACGACACGCAAGCGCAAGCACGTTGACCGTTGGCGGCGGCGGGACATGCACCGCGTAAATCATGTTACCAATCGTGTTGGCTGGCAGTGGGGGGCAGAGCATTCGGCGGAAATTGACGACGACGCGGAGGTACGTGGTCTTGGTCGCGTCTTGGTTTGCAACGAGCTGCCAGCAGAGCGCCGAGACGACATCGTTCGTGCTCGCGCGTTCAAAGTTCGCAAGTGCCTTGAGCGCGTCGATGTCGTCTGGCGAGAGCCAAAACGCGATTCCTTGTACGCAGAGGTCGCCGCGGGCGCGGGCGACGGGGCGCGACGCTTGGGGCGTCACAAAGAGCCATGACGACGATGGCGTCACCGACGACAGACGTGCGTGCAAGTGCATATAGGGTCCGTTCCAGTCCACGATGTTGTCTGTTGTACATTGTGTGCCGCGTCCGACACACGCAGGAGAAAGTGGTAAAACGACGCGGCGTCACCAAGGCAATGGGCAAACTCGAACGAAAGCACCGAGCCCGAGTGATGCGCGAGATATGTCAGCGTGACATACACCAGCGGTGTCGACTGTTGGATCATCGCACGCACCGAGCTCGCATGCGTTGGATTGGCAAAGATGGTGCTGAGCGGCCACCGGGCCTGCCACATCGTTGCGCTCGACGAGAGAACGACCGCATCGAGGTGCAGCTCCGACTCTTGCGTGCAGAATGGAATTCCGCACCGGTCATTGTCCAGCTCGATGGCCAGTCGCGCCGCACGGTGGTCTTTGCCCGTGTGCCATTGCAACCGTCCGGCAAAGATGGGGTGACCGTCCAGCGCCGTTCGAATCGCGTCCTGGAGCATATCGGCGGCGATGACACCGGCGTATACAAGCGTGATTGGCAGCCATCGCGACGCCGAGAGAAGCTCAAGAGGGCCGAGGAGAAAGCGTCGTCGCGCCGACAGGTCACAGCGAGGCCGAAGGAGGACCGTCGCGCCGTTGTTCTCAGCGGCTTCACTGCCAACCATATGGACGTTAGAGACCCCGCAATGAAGGAGCTTCCCGGGCAACTTGAAGAAATACAACATGTGGCAATCCGATCTTTGCGTGGACTGCAGCATCCCACCAGATGCGTGTCCATCGTTGACTCCCGGCGCCAAGTACACGACGCACATGACAGCTCATACCCGTATGCACCTCGGTGCGGCTGCATCGCGCCCTGTCATCCTCGTCGTGACGTGTCCAGCGCATTATGGATGTCGCTGGTTTCCAGAATCTTCTGTCGAGCGCAGGATCTTTTGCGTGGTCGACAAGCTCGTGCGACGCTGAAACGGCGCTAGCAGATCGACACATTTCGTTTTCGGGACCGTTTCATCAATGACGATTGGACTTCGACCGGCCACCTTGGGTGACGCGGCAGGCGTCGCCGCTGTTGTCGCCGAGGGCTGGACCGCCTTCTCGAGCTTCTTGCCGTCGTCTTTTGTAGACGAGCAGAACCGCAGCCACTTGGCCCGGTTCCAAGAGCTCCTTGCGACATCGAATCCGAGCTCGACCATGGTGTTGATGGTTGCCGTGGATACGCGTGACGACGGCACCGAGGTGGTCGCTGGCGCCTGCACCGTGGGCACGACGCGCCAGAAGCCTGCGGCCATCAAGGACCTGTACGCTTACGAGTTGCGCTGCATTTACGTCCACGCCGCATACCACGGCCAAGGCCTCGCAAAGAAGCTCTTCCAAGAAGCTCTCCGCGCCTTCCACGTCCCACTCGACGCACCCATCTTTTGCAACGTCTTCCTCAAGAACGTCCGCGCCTGTCGCTTTTACGAAAAGCTCGGCGCTGTCGAGGTGTACCGCGAAGCCAACTCGATCTACAGCCCCGAGCCGGAAACGATCCTCACGCTTGCGTGGTCGCGGGCAGGGGATATTCTGACGCCACCGACGGCAGCTGGAGTGGCGAGCAAGTAGAATACGAGAGCTATTCATAAAACCCCCGATAAAACCAACAAGCAGACGACTCTGCAAATCACAGGTGGCGTCCAAGATCGTCCGGATAAAGCTCGCAACGCTTTAACGCGAAAGGCGGACTCGAAAAGGGCCAGACCAATGATCCGGATAATATTGACCGGATACGGGAGAGCATGGTGCAATCGGTGTGTACTTGTGTTTTGTATCATGTGTTTAAAACACATAAGACACACCTGAGAAATACACGCTGGGTGCCTCAGTATCCGGATTTCCATCGGGCCCACACCACACAGGAGATTCTGGGGCGGCATGGCGGCGCTGGTCGAGAAGCTCGTCCGGCTCATCGCTCGGTACATAGACGACGGAAGCGTCTTCTCGCATGCTCATGGATGCTAGGGCCTTCTACTCGGACGAGCATATCGTCGTTCTTGAGGCTCTCCTGCGCGAGCGCTTCCTAAAGGTACCCACCACGCTATGGGCAACTGGTCATGACGCGACCCTAGGACGACGAGATGGGCAATGCAGTGAACCTCCAGACGAAGCAAGTGCGCAAGATCTGCCATGATCTGGAGAAGGAAGACATGATCTCTCGGTGCGAACAGCATCAACGGCGAAAGATTGACCCTGGCCTGTAGCGAGGAGCTCAATGACAAGAAGCTCGGGGGCGCGTCCAAGGCAACGTATTGGTACGCGCGGCTCATGATGAGAGAACATGCAGCTAACGCTTAGCAGGTACATCGACTACAAGCACTTTGTTAACGTCGTGCGCTACCGCCTGTACATCATCGCGCACCACCTGAAGGAGAGCGAGCAGCTCGAGATTGAGCGGCAGACCTTTCGGTGCTCCAACGATGACTGTGGACGCGAATACACAGCCCTCGAAGCGCAGCTTCTCCTTACACCCGACGTCTACGAGTTCCACTGCGGCCACTGCAACTTCAAGCTCGTCGAGGTACGACCTCTCGTTTTCACCCTTTCTGCGCGTTCTATACCTCGCGTCTAGTGCGACAACAACGAGAAGCTCCAAACGATCAAAGGGCTTCTGGCCAAGGTGCTTGATTACCCCATCTGCTTTGCGGAAGGACTCATCGACGACTGGAATGCTAGTTTAAAGTCCAGCTCAACCGCCAAGAAGACATGCACGATGGCATCTACGAGTGCTTGGCGCGTATCAGCGAGTGGCAAAACTCGGGCCAGGCCCTTCCAAGGTGGGTACTAGATTACTCTATGGTGACGACACCCTATATATGGTAGCAATCTGCCGAGCGAGAACCGTGCCGCTGGTATCGGTGGGGCGTCCACAGCCAAGATGAACGGCCGCAACGGTGGTGGCGGCGGCGGTGGCGGCGGTGGTCCTGGCGGCAACCGTGGTGGCGATGAAAAGACCTCGGGCCTCTACGGCAAGTTTGAGGTACGCTTCTCCTTCCCTCCAGAGTCCTTTACGTAGGATGGATCATAGGACGCCAAGATCGTGATCGACATTGCTGAGAACGCCAACCAAGACGAGTACTCGACGCTGAACCCCAACAAGCCGGTACGATGCAATTGGATGTGGTATCATCGTTGTCAGCTACGGAGCGGTGTCTGTAGAAGGAAGAAATCAAGCTCCAAACGGCCAACTCGGGGCCAGCGATGCCCGAGTTTATCATGGGCAGCAAGATGAGCGACAACATGGCGGCCAAGTACAAGAAGAACGCAATTCCCGAGGTCCTAGCAACCAGTGCGTCCGCCGCGAGCCTCAACGCCGGTGTCAGTATGGGCCTCTCGTCGCGCGAGGCGGAAATGCGCGAGGAGGCCTTCCGTGAGGCATACAAGCGTGAAATGGAGCGGTACAACGAGATCAACGCGGCCGAGGTCGTCTGGGACTCGGTGAGTGGCAACAAGTGGGTTGACGCGGCCTCCAAAGAAGACGACGACCTCGAAGACATGGTACGCACCACTTGTTGTAGGCACCGTGTGATGGACATGTTCGTAGGAGTGGGAGTGGTGCGACTCGACGCAAGACGACACATTCGACGACGAGCAGCAAACCGTCATGGTGTCTGTCAACGGCTGTCCGACACCGATCGTGAAGCTCACGGACGACGACCTCATGCGCATGACGCGCGACGAGTATGCGGCCTTTTACCAGCTCTGCCGCTCCATGATGGCCTAACTATTGGAAGAAAAAGACAAATATGTATGAGATTGGTTGCGTCGCACAGTATTAGTCGCTATCGGAGCCGCTGACGTCGGGACTGCCAATGCCCTCGAGACCGAGCGGTGCAGCCGGCGACTGGGGCGCTGCGGACACGAGCGAGTTGAGACTTTCGTCGTAGACACCGCCAACCGCCATGAGGCTTTCCAAGCGCTTCTCTTCCTCGGCCTCCGAGTACGGACGGCGGTGGACGACGGCTCCCCGACGGCGCTTCTCGTCGCCACCAAGCTACACATGGCATGAGCTGCTGCACACAGATGGCAACGTACCTTGGTCTTCTTGAGCATAATGTTGGTCGAGAGACCGCAGTAGGTGGCCGCCGACGTGCCCGGCTTGAGCATGAGCATGAGTTGCTGCACGTCGTTCGGGAACTAGAGATGAAGCGATAGCATCCGAATGATCCATCGATGAGGACGTTGTACATGCGAGATGTTGAGAATGTAGTCGCGAAAAAACTTGAACTTTTCCGACCCTTCGTCGTCCGATTTCTAGATGCAGAATGAGCATGCTTGTCGAGTGGACGAGAGGGGCTGAGCGTACGTCGTCGTGGGTGGACGGGAAGAGGACCGAGCCGAGAAGGACGTCGCTGCCAGGCTGCGAGACCGTGACGACGTTGCGCAAGATGGACCGCGCCTCGCGCTCCTTGATATTGGCGTCGGTCGTCTCTTCGGAGGGCAAAATGTCGTACGAGAGGATTGAGTACACGTTGCTCGAGAGAAGCTCGTCGGGGAAGACGTCCCAGACCTCGGCCGCCTTGAGGTTCTTCTTGAGAGGATGCTTGACTGTCTCCTTGGTCGGGCAGTTGGTAAACGACTCTTCCGCGCGGACCTCGATGTCCTTGATGACCTGGAGCATCGACTGGTTCTTGTCGCGGATCTCGGTCTGGAGCTCGCTTTCGTTTTTAAACTAGCAGGCGCATGAGCATACGAGACGAGGCAGACGGGTCTATATGTGGTACCGCGTGGACGGCCTCGCTGAGATCCGTGGCCATGTACTCAGTACGGCGCAGCCACGAGACATGCGGGCGGATCTTGGCCTTGGTGAGGCTCGCGCCGTTGACGATCTCGGGCATCTTCATGAGCGCTTCGTCTTCCGGGTCCATTTGGGCGCCGACAGGGACCTCGTACTTCTCCGGGTCGATGAGGTCGACGGTCAGGCCAAGGTTGCGCTCGGGGTAAAAGTCCCAGACAAAGTCCTTCTCGAGCTGGTTGGGCTTGTACTTGATGAAGCGCTGCGGGTCCTGCGGGTATGTGACGAACTTGGCGTCGAAGGGCATGTCGGGCAGCGTGTTGCGGAACTCGAGCGTGCCGAGGAACTCGGACTGGCGCCCGAGGAGCACGCGGCGCTTCTCCTGCGCCTGCAGCTCCAGCACCTTGCGCGTGTGCTCCTTGCGCTCCTTGAGCTTGTCATCCTTGTACTTCTGGATCTTCCGCCGGTCCATGGCCTTCTTCGTCTCCTCGTCGCGGCTGCGCTTCTTGTCGTCCTTCTCCCGGCGCGGCTCCATCCTGCTCCTTGGACCAGCGGCCAGTAGCACGTCCCAATTTCAAACTCCTTTTCGGGACGTGTCTGTACAATTCGGACAGTGCCTATTTTAGGCGGCCATGCCGAATTTTGTTGCAATCGACCTCCAACCCAAAAGACACATTTGGTTAGCCTGGTTGCTCAATCCGCCTTTGGGTCTGGGAGGGTTAACGAGTCGGCCACGAGGCTCTAAGTACTGTCCTTGATCATGCGCTCGTGGGTCTCGTGGAGGCCCTTGAAGTACTTGACCGTCTTGACCTTGAGCTCGAGCGTCGCGTCTTCGTCGCACACTATTCGCATCGTCCAGCTCTCCGACCTGATGAGGTGATGATGGCCTACCGATCACGGCCTTCGTGTGAAGCTGGATCGAAGACACAGTCCACATGTGGTTGACGCCCTCTTCGATGCACTTGTAGAGCGCGTAGGCCTTGGAGTGGCCCGTGATGATCACGAGCACCTCGCGTGCGTCCATGACAGTGGCCACGCCGACCGTGAGCGCCATCTTGGGCACCTGCGCCATGTCGCCGCCGAAGAAGCGCGAGTTGGCGACGATCGTATCGTACGCCTACATTTCATATGAGATAGCATCTCGCTGCAGCTCTGACGCACCAGTGTCTTGACGCGCGTGCGCGACGCCAAGGACGAGCCCGGCTCGTTGAACGCAATGTGGCCGTCGGGGCCAATGCCGCCAAGGAAAAGTTCGATGCCACCGACAGCGGCGATCTTGGCTTCGTACGCAGCGCACTCTTGCTCGAGGTCCGGCGCGTTTCCGTTGAGGATGTGCACGTTGGCCGGTGGAATGTCAATGTGCTTGAAGAAGTTGGACCACATGAACGTATGGTAGCTCTCAGGGTGCTCCTCCGGCAAGTTGACGTACTCGTCCATGTTGAACGTCACGACGTTTTTGAACGAGATCTTGCCCTCGCGGAAGAGCGCGACAAGGCGCTTGTACGTGGGCAGGGGCGAGCTTCCGGTGGGCAGGCCTACGAGAGGTATGCCCGCTGGACAGTATGCGAGGGCTTACCGAGCACGAACGGGCGGTCAGCCGTCGGGGCAAAGTCCTTGATGCGCTGCACGACGTACGCAGCGACCCAGTCGCCGACGCGGGCAGCGTCTTGGGCGATGATCAGCCGCATATCCACTTCTGTGTTGCGAGCGGCCAGCGTCCGGATAGGACCAACCGGCGCGATCATCTTGGAAAGGGCAACTTCAACTTGGCGACGGACCGCAACGAGCGACGTGGCTGCAGTATGCGTCCATCTCTTCCTGAACCAGCTCGAGGGCAAGCACATGACGTCGTTGCCAGTCCCACACCTGAATTGCATGTCAGGAAGGGCCACATGTATGTGCTCGGTGGCGTTACTCGCCGAAACGGCGGCAGGTAGAAAGACTCTTGCGATGGCGAATGGCCCGACAAGTCATGCACTACGACCGCCGTCCCGCGTTCTTGTGCCAGCGTCGTGGTCGCCTCGGTGCCGCGTCCTTCTTGGCGTCGCCTACCTCGCGCTATCCATGGGCTGCAGTCTCTTGTACGTGCAGGTACTGACCGTGAGCTTTGCTAACGATCTGTGGTGGTCACACTACAATGCGACGGGCTACGAAGCTTTTCTTGTCGACGTGGCCAATGACGCGCTTCAGACGCGACCCAATGGCGCCTTGGACGTTCTCCATGCGCCAATGGACAAGCGCTACAGTGCCGACGCGTCGACAACGACCTTTTTTGCGACGTACGCGCGGCGGCTCGCGCTCGTCGAGCTCACGACGCTCGAGTACGCGGTCACAAATCTCCGAGCCCTTGGCGCGCTCTGGGTGCCCTACATGAATGTACAGCACTGCTGGGTGGACTTCAACCGGACGTTCGAGGTTGCCCACACGACTGCGCGGCAAGAACGCTGCGAGCGCAACTACCGGCGCAACGCAGCCGTGTACCTCGAAGCCACACTGCGCAACGTTGTCTGGGATGACTTTATCGCGACATGGGGTGGGGCCAGCGGGATGTTTACGATAGCCATCCAGCTCGCGCTCGAAGAGACCGCGGCGGGGCGGCGCTGGCTGCAGAGCACAGCGACAGCACGCGCCAGCACGCGCGTCGACGCCGAAGTCGCCTATTGGTCGGCGCACCACCTCGTGCGCTTCCAGCTCAATTAGCAAAACATTGTACAAACGGGCCTCTCGGAATCGTTTTCCATCACAAACGCTCTGGGGATGGACCACGTCTTTACTATCAAGTCGCTCTATCACCAGCCAGGGCCGCAGACGTCCATCAACCTGTACTGGGCCCCGTACAACGACTGGGATGTCTCCAAGCTCTCGAACATGAGCCTCGTGCGGTACAGCGACAACTGGATCGGCCCGACGGACTGGGAAGAGTTGGATCAGCTCCTCAACGCGACGGGTGGTCTCTCCGAGCCGCTGGCCACGTTCCACGACCGCGTCGGGCCGTACGTCTCGATCGATTTATATCTTGTGGACGTGCCGTCGTCGGTCATGACCATTTATGTTGCTTTTCAAGCGCTGCTGGGCAACGCCACAGTGCCTACCTCATCCCTCGTCGTCGCGCCAACGCCCCCGGCATGGGAGAAGACGCCATATGCCTTTATGGGCGGCAACCCCGCCTGCCTCTCGATGCCACGCTTCACCCCGTACGTGCAGCATCCTTTTAGCTACACCGACGACTGCTCAGGGAATGCGCCGTTCACCATCAACATGACAACCCATGGCATGCTCTTTGCGCGGCTCTGGGACAGCGCCAACGCCAGTGCGATCTGCGCCCTTACGGCCGACGCACCTGCCTGCGCTCGGATCCTCTCGGAGACTGCCACCTCGGCGCCCGACCTCGCGCTGGCGTCTCGGCTCTTGGCAGACGCAGCGACCGACGATATGGCGCATACGAACGCGAGCCTCATGCAATTTGCAATCGATGGCACTGGAACGTGGCGGCTGCTGCGTCAGCCATTGATGGCGCCGCCCTCAGACGCGTGGACGTTCTTTGGCTGGCTCCTCGTGCACGACTGGATCCTCGGCCGCCGCGAAGTCGTCGCGTTCGAAGGCGACGTCTCGTCCATCGTCTTGATCTCGGACGCGTACGAGCCGCTCGTGTATCCAACGAGCGGCGGCGATCGGTACATGGAGGTTGCGACGCGCTACATTGCCCATCTCATTACGACGTCCGTCTTCAATCGGGTCCTCGTTGCCGTCGTGGTTGTTTGCGTGTGCGTTCTCTCGAGGGGCGCCGTCGATGGAAGCAGCCTCGCCTTCTTCAGCCGCGTCGTTGGGTCTGTCTGGAGTGGTCGACCTCTCATCTTCTTGCAGGGCATGACCGCCATTGTCATCTTGAGCACGGCGCAGTTGACGCTTGTCCAGACCGCTGCGAGTGGCGTCACCCAGCTGCGATTCGCACCGCGACCGCTCTGGCGCACAGCGATCATCGCGGGGGAAGCCACGTGGGTCTGTTACGTGCTGCAAGAGGTGCTGCTTGTCGCTGTGGGTGGCGCCGTCACGCGGGCAGCCAATCCGTACAGCACAGCCTTTGTGTGGGCAACGTTTCTGCTTCTCGACGGTCTCTACCCTGTGGCGGCAATTGGCACCTTGAGCCGTACGTGCGTCAGCTACGACATGGACTACCAAGTCGACTGCCGAAGCGGAAACCTTCGCATTGGTGACATGCGCCGGGTCCTCTTGCTCGTTTCCATCGCTGTCGGCGTCCCCCTTGGCAGCATCGTCCTTGCTCGCTACTGGCGCAAAACGCCGCGCGTAGCACCCGTCTCGTTGGCGCCATCGACGCAGCTCAATTTGCACATGTGTGGCATCTCCCAAGCACTGCTGACGCTCCGGATGGCGGAGACAAGTCATGATGACATTGCCTACTTCTTATCGGGCATACTGACGTGGACGCTCCGGGAGCAGCGATACCTCTTTGATATCAAGACGTGGATCTTTGTCGATCCTGGGCGCAACGCCGCAGCGTCAGAGCCGTGGACCGGACCTTCTTTGGAGCCCCCTGCACCACAAGAGGCAAGTGGCGCGCGACGCATGATCGTGTCCGTTGCCGCCCTCGCGTACCTCGGAGCGACGATTGCTGCGAGCATTTCGTATATTCAAGTGTCGGCGGTGAACCTTGCGAATGACTTTTACTGGCCCCGCTTCAATAGCTCGGGCACCCACGTCTTCTTGGCCTCTTGGATCAATACCCAGCTCGTCCTCAATCGAACGCACCAAGGTCCGTTTCAATTGACTTCGTCCAGCGTCAACCTCTTCAGCGCCTTCAACGCGACGGCAGCAACTGTACCTGCAGTGTTGAATTACGCCGCCAAGCTCCAACACGACGCCTTTGCCACTCGCCTCGATGCTATCGTCGCGGGTCTCCGTGCGCTCGACGGCTGCGACGGGCCCTGGGTCTTTACTCCCTACTGCTACCTTGACCTGGAGAGACGCTGGGAAATGGCCAACTCGGCCACTCGCCAAGCGCGCTGCAGTGCGATGACCACGAACGGCGCCATCTACCTCGAGACGCTCGTTCGCAACGTCGACGCGCCGTCGTGGCGCACGTGCTGGGGCGACGCGTTCGACGTGGCCATCGGCTCGGAGCTCCGCCAGTCGCAAGCCGGTCGCGCGTGGCTCGGATCCGCTTATTTGACGCGGTCTCTTGCGATAGCCGACGAAGTGACTTATTGGCAAGATCACGGTATCACGTACTATGACACGCAGTGGCAAAACTACAAGCAGCTCGGTATGCTCAACAGCTACAGCATCGTCAACTGCTACGACGCGACGTATCCCTTGACGCTCCAGGCGCAAAATGGCTCGTACCGCTTCTCGAGCCAGACGAGCTGGAAGATGTACTGGGCGCTCGCCAACGACTTGTCGGCGGTCATGCGCAATGAGAGTGGTTTGCATGGTCTGTCTCTACTGCGATCGAGTGCCCGTTATGGCTTTGCGAACCAGTCGATGGAGGCCGTCTTGATGCAGAGTGGCGAGCTCACTGCGCCGTTCACAGCTGGTTTTGCTTTGGTGTCGGACGTCCTTGGTCCGTTCGGCTCGGTCGACATGATCTACGTGAGCGTGCCGAGGCTACTGCAAGAAACATTTGCAGATCTTTTGGACGCACTCCGTTCGACGCTTCGCACTGAGCCAAGTGCGCAAGAGCTTTTCAGTCGCATTGCAGAAACCCAGCGACTCTGGCCCGTGCCACCGGCTTGGTGGGAGGACTTTGCGTATGTGACGGGGGGCTCCCTTCTCTGTCTGGACGCGCTCCCCCCCGGATATTTGGAGGCCGGGCTCACGCGGTTCACGTCGTTTAGCATGTCGTGCAACGGCGCAGCGCTCTTCCTTGCGCGGCTTCGTCCGTCCCGCGAGCAGTTCGTTTTGGCCACGCTTCTGGCGCAGCTTTCACCCGCGTCCAACGTCTCCGAGATATGCGCGATCGACGTGTACAACGTCGACGCGTGCACAGCGTACATCGGTCTGGCGATTTCCATGCAAGTGGCACATCCTTCGATCCTCATCAGCGCGGCTGCCGTCGCCGCTGCACGCAACGTGGTGGGGAATGTCTCGTTTGCGATGTTTGCACAGAGCGACGACGCGTCGCCAGTCGTCTTGGCGACGCTGCCCCTCTTCAACGCCCCCGCATTTGATGTGTATACGTGGCTCTATCTCTCCGACTGGGTGCTCGGGAAGCGAGAAGTGGTTTCGTTTCAAGGCGACCAGAGCGCGATTACCGTGCTTCTCGAGCCAGAGAGTCTACTGCAGCAGCCTCCGAATGCGTGGCAAGTCCTCTCCAACGTAGCGCTCTACACCCGCGCCGGCGTCCTGTACATTACCTGCGTCCTGCTCGGCGTCGCGGTCGTTGTGACGTGCTACATCCTCGCGAGCCGCGGCGCGTTCGAGTGGCTCAACATGTTCGAGCTCAGTCGTGTCGGCGGCATCGTCTGGGTCGGCCGTCCGCTCTTGCTTCTGCGCGCCACGACGGCCCTCTCGGTGCTCTCGACCGCGACGCTCGAGCTGCTCTACGAACACAACGCCATTAGCGCGTTCCAGACGGTTCAAAACCCATGGTACACCACCTTGCTCGCAGCGAGCGAGGTCACGTGGCTCGTCGCCGTCGTCAACGACGTGGCCATGGCGCTCACGCAGGCCTACACGGCGCACTACGCGACCTTCAACAGCGTCGCCGTGTGGGCGACTGTCGCGCTCCTCTCGTTCGTGTCGCCCGTGACGCACACCGTGTCCTTGCAGCCGGTCTGCGACCTCGTGCAGCTCGACTGGCAGATTGTGTGTGCGTCCGGTCACATTGTGATTGGTCAGTGGTCGCGCTACGTGGCGCTCGTCACGATCGTCGTGGGCTGGAACGGCGCGAGTTACGTAAGCACGCGGCTGTGGCTGCGACAGCCGCCGCCGACGCACGGTCGGTCTGTCTTTCTCTCGTGCGGCGCCAAGTACCTCTTCGAACACCGCCAGTGGACGCACGGCGGCGTCTACTATCTGGACCGCGCATCCGCTGTGCTCACGGGGCTTCTCACGCTGCGCTGGCGGCGACAGCTGTACGTGTTTGACGTCAAGCTCTGGCGCATCTTTGCGCTGGCCGCTCCAGCCCTTCCAGTCGGTCATCCTTGGACGAACCGCTTGCAAGAAGGGATTCCGCTACTAGCGTAGTAGTAAAAAGCACTACGCAAAGGGCTTGAGGTAGATAATTAAGTTGTGCACTCTTTCATATCGGAAGGGTCGAGCATACATATCGACAGAGCATTGACCTTGGCTGCTCGTTTGGCATTGCAGAAAGACCGCGGGTGCGCTTTCTTGCGTTCATCAAGAAGGCGTGAGCACGTTCGATGGATTTGTATCGGTCGACACGGAGATCGCGTCGGTTGTCGGGTCCGTGTTGGTCTTGATGGCCCGGCGCTTGGATGGCCAAGAAGGCTCGTCGCTGCAGTGTGTTTCCAAGCAGCAAGCAGCGCTCAAATAGAATGTCGGGGTTCGCAACGTCGCCTGCGCTGTGCACTTGAGCTTCTCAACGACGCTACAAAAGTCGGCGCCACTTGGGCATTCTACCCGTCTATATCGTCGACTATGGAGCAGGAGTTATTGCCCGAGCTGTTGGGTCTGAGTACACTCCCACGCCGGGCTCTTTTTGACTGTCGGCTAAATCGAGTGAGCTCTCGAGGTATGATGAGCACCAAGTCGCAATGAAAAGGCAAACAGACAAACAACTGCTGATCTACCTTTCCCGCACGGCGTCCCTTTGCTATCGTGTTGGGCTCCAACTTGACTCTCTGATGGTCGTCGCCTCAACCAAGTGTACGAGGAAGCCATATATCTGGGTATATGCACGTGTTTCAAGAAATAGCTGGCCAATGTGCGGCAGTTCACCGGCACTTTGGCAAACTGTAGCTTCGTTAGATTATCTCTTCGGGTCCCATAGTGGTTTGAAGATTAACCATGTCACTGACTAGCATCTCATATTTCTGACACGTTGTTCGTGGCGGCAGTACACAAGAGAAGCGCGCAAAGGACGTCGACACAAGTTTATGCATGTGCCTGCGATAGCCGTTCTCGGAGTGCGCTCGTCAGCGCCATCCAGGATGACTCACGAGCACTTCTTCCGTGAGCGCTATGCAATATCGCCACCGACCTGGCATCTGCGTGCAACCCGAGGGCGTCGCAACAAAGATGCGCCAGAGCTTGACGTCAAACACGTACAGCTGTCGCCGCCAGCGCAGCGTGAGAAGCCCCGTGAGCACAGCGGATGCGCGGTCCAGGTAGTAGACGCCGCCGTGCGTCCACTGGCGATGTTCAAAGAGGTACTTGGCGCCGCACGAGAGAAAGACAGACCGACCGTGCGTCGCCGGCGGCCGTCGCAGCCACAGCCGCGTGCTCACGTAGCACACGCCGTTCCAGCCCACGACGATCGTGACGAGCGCCACGTAGCGCGACCACTGACCAATCACAATGTGGCCGGATGCACACACAATCTGCCAGTCGAGCTGCACGAGGTCGCAGACCGGCTGCAAGGACACGGTGTGCGTCACGGGCGATACGAACGAGAGGAGCGCGACGGTCGCCCACACGGCGACGCTGTTAAAGGTCGCGTAGTGCGCCGTGTAGGCCTGCGTGAGCGCCATGGCCACGTCGTTGACGACGGCGACGAGCCACGTGACCTCGCTCGCTGCGAGCAAGGTGGTGTACCATGGGTTTTGAACCGTCTGGAACGCGCTGATGGCGTTGTTTTCGTAGAGAAGCTCAAGCGTCGCAGTCGAGAGCACCGAGAGGGCCGTCGTGGCGCGCAACAGCAAGAGCGGACGGCCGACCCAGACGATGCCACCGACACGACTGAGCTCGAACATGTTGAGCCACTCGAACGCGCCGCGGCTCGCGAGGATGTAGCAGGTCACAATGACCGCGACGCCGAGCAGCACGCATGTAATGTACAGGACGCCGGCGCGGGTGTAGAGCGCGTTGTTGGTCGAGAGCTGCCATGACCCGATTTGCTCGGCCATCGGCTGCTGGAGGTCCGAGAGGTGCGTGAGAGTGTTCGAGTCGCCTTGAAACGAAACGACTTCGCGCAGACCAAGCACCCAGTCGGAGAGGAAGAGCCATGCATAGATATCAAAGTCAGACGCGTGGAAAAGAGGCAAATGGGCAAGCTCGGTCGCCGCGCTCGTGTTGGCGTGCGCGTACAGCAGCAGCTCGATCGAGAGACTCGCGACTTGCGCTCGAACGGCTCTCATGTCAAGTGGCGTCAACACGTGGTCGTTGGCAAATGCAATGATCGGGGGTAAATAGGCGTGGCAAGGCCCCGCATTCGATGGCACAAGGTCGCAGACGTCGCGGATCGATGGCATGATGTCGCGGGCCATAGCCAGCGCGACTACATACTGCTCGACCGTCGGGTTGAGCGCTGCGACAAAGGGTGCAACGGGGTTGCAAGGGAGCGAGAACGAGAACTGGGTGGGAAGCCCCATATGGAGTGCGCTTAGGCTCGTTGTGTCTGGACACAGCGGCGATCCACCAGAGTTGAAAGAATATGATTGCATCCACGCACGGGGTATGGGCGCCAGATAAGGCATCGCCACAAGGTCGGCAAATTGCATCTGGACCTCCGCGTCGCCGGCGAGTGATGTCTTGAGACACTCCAAAAGATCTGCAAATGTTTCTTGCAGTAGACTCGGCACGCTAACGTAGATCATGTCGACCGAGCCGAACGGACCAAGGATGTCCGACACCAAGGCAAACCCAGCTGTGAACGGCGCGGTGAGCTCGCCACTCTGCATCAAGACGGCCTCCATCGACTGGTTCGCAAAGCCGTAACGGGCACTCGATCGCAGTAGAGACAGGCCGTGCAAACTACTCTCGTTGCGCATGACCGCCGACAAGTCGTTGGCGAGCGCCCAGTACATCTTCCAGCTCGTCTGGCTCGAGAAGCGGTACGAGCCATTTTGCGCCTGGAGCGTCAAGGGATACGTCGCGTCGTAGCAGTTGACGATGTTGTAGCTGTTGAGCATGCCGAGCTGCTTGAGTTTTGCCACTGCGTGTCGTAGTACGTGATACCGTGCTCTTGCCAGTAGGTCACTTCGTCGGCAATTGCAAGCGACCGCGTCAAATAAGCTGATCCGAGCCACTCGCGACCGGCTTGCGACTGGCGGAGCTCCGAGCCGATGGCCACGTCGAACGCGTCGCCCCAGCAGGTGCGCCACGACGGTGCGTCGACGTTGCGAAGCAGCGTCTCGAGGTAGATGGCGCCGTTCGTGACCATCGCACTGCAGCGCGCTTGGCGAGTGGCCGAGTTGGCCATCTCCCAGCGTCTCGTCAAGTCAAGGTAGCAGTAGGGGGTGAAGACCCAGGGCCCGTCGCAGCCGTCGAGCGCACGGAGACCCGCGACGATAGCATCGAGGCGCGTGGCAAAGGCGCCGTGTTGGAGCTTGGCAGCGTAGTTGAGAGGTGGCGCAATCGTCACTGCGGTGGCATTGAAGGGCTTGGGCAGGTTCACATGCGGCGCCGTGAGTGCTGTCGTGTTGGGCTGAGCATAGAGAAGAAGCTGGAGCTGGATCCAAGAGGCCAAGAAGACGTGCGTGCCCGTGGTGTTGAAGCCGGGCCAAAACAGATCGTTGGCCAAGCTCACGGCCGACACTTGCATGTACGAGACACTGGCCGTGATCGCACTCACAACATAGACAAACCCGATCGCTCGAAAGATACGCGGCGCGGCGACGGGCACATCGCTCGACGCCACGCATTGATCGACGGGCGGACCCGCTTTGGCGCTCTCGAGTCGCAGAAACGTCCACGTCTTGATGTCAAAGGTATAGCTACGATCCCAGAGGCGCCACGTGAGAATGCCCGACATGCACAGCGCGGCGCGATCCGTGCCGTCGCTGGGATACCGGAAAAGCGCGCGCGAGAGCCCGCAGAGATGGGCGTCGTACTTGGTGACGTTCGAGACGTCGTGGCGACGCACGCACGCACCCAGCACCAGAGCCGCCAGAGGCACTGCGAGGTAGAGGACGACGCGGTAGGCGCTGCCAATGTCGATCGTGCCGCTATGACAGACGAGAAAGGCGTCGATGTTTTCGCTGTAGCACGCCCGCTCTAGCGTCAATGAAGGCGCCACGGGCCACGCGCGCTCGAGCGCCAGAAAGAGCGCAAAAGAAACGAGACTGGCGCGAGGCAGCTCGGACCGTGCCTGGTGTGGGCTGCGCACCAACAGCAAGACGTCTTGCAGCACGTAGGTTGTCCAGGTCGCTTCGCCCGACAGCAGCGCCGCCTCGGCCCAGCTGCGTGGCGTCGCGACGAGGCGGCTCGTACCAGACGATGTCTCAACGAGGCTCAGCGGTGCCGTGCTCATGAGCGCAATCGCACTGAGCCCGCGGAGATAGCTGAACGGCCTGCCAATCCATACCGAGCCGACGATGCGGTTGAAGAAGAAGGCGTTCGCTCCCGTGAAGCGCCCGCGGGTCATGTAGACAAGCACCGCCGCGGCGACGACGACATAGAGGAAATTCAACGCTGCCAAGAGATGCCAGACGTGCATCGTCGCGCCTTCCATGCTGCCACTGCTCGTTGCATACTGCACTGGCTCGTACGCGTTGGAGATGAGTACGAGCGTGCCAGCGTCGCCTTCAAACGAGACGACTTCGCGACTGCCGAGGATCCAGTCGTGCAGGAGCAGCCAGCCATAGAACTGCGGCCACGACGACGGATCGTTGTCAGCCAGGATCCCTTGTTGCAGCAGCTGCCACGCGCCATCGGCATCGGTTGCGATTTGGACGAGGCTAATGTTAAGCGCCGCCGTCTCGGTGGTTGCATTCTGGCGCAGAAGCGCATGGATGGTAGATGTGCTCTGCGCAGTCTGGAGCACCTGCACACACTCGGGGGGCTGCCCAAGGCACAGATCATGTGGCGGCGGGGTGGAGGTCATGCTATGTGCAAACTGGGCTCCTTGTCGCGTGAGTGCCACTGTCAACGGTTGCGGCAGCGTGCTACAGCTGTCGTCGAACGAAAACGGACGTTGCGCAAACGTCGTTGCGCTCGGCCCTTGGACGCAGAGCGGGCTCCCCGTGTAAAAGGTCGCCTTCGCCCACGCTTTAGGTTGAACCTGCAACGCGATGGCCGGGGATGACGTGGCATCGCCTGCGAGTGCCACGTACGCTGCGCGGAGGCTTCGTGGAACACCGATGAGAAAGGCGTCGATCGAGACAAATGGACCCAAGTGGGCGCGGAGCGTCGCCGACGGCGCAGCAAAGTCGCCGTCTGCGTTCATATTGCCGTTGATAGACTCGAGGCTGATGTTGGCATTTCGAAAGTCGTTGGGCGCTCCAGCGAGAAGACTGGCGTTGAGAAGCGTGAGGCTCCAGAGGTCGTTGATCGCACCCCAAAAGAGGTTGACAGACGTACCAGGGCCCGGCCAGTGGTCGAGCGACTTGATTCGGAATGTATGAGGGATGCCCATTGCGTTGCGAATCGCCATGGACTCGGTGATACCGGTTTGCTGGAGGTTTTGCCACTGAAGCGTAAACGACGTCAAGGCAAACGACTGCCAGTACGCGAGCTCGGCCTCGACGCTAGTGCTGCCGCGCGCTCGCGACGTGATCTCGAGCCAGCGCTGGCCGCGCGACGAGGCAGCGAGGCCGGCCTCGAGCGCGACTGTAAACACGTTGCCTTGACCGCCCCACGCACCGATAAAGTCGGCCCAGACTAGGTTTCGAAGCGTCGCCTCGACGTAGACGGCGGCGTTGCGCGCATACTTGATATCGCAGCGGGCTTGACGCGCCGCCGTGTGGGCCAGCGCAAAGTGCCGTTCAAAGTCCACGTAGCACCACTGTGTACTCACTTGCAGCGCCCAGCTGGCGCTGAGCGTCCGCAGGTTGTCGATGGCGTACGAGAGCGAGGTCAGCTCGTGCAAGACGAGCTCGCGCGCGTACGTTGGGTACAGAGTCGTGGTCGCGTTCGCGTCGACATAGGTCTTGCGCGTGCGGAGCGAGAGCAGGTCCGCGGTATACGTCGACGAGTGGGCCATGAGCAGCGCGTTGCTGACGTCGGCGAGGAAGGCTTCGTGGCCGCTAACGTTGTACTGCGGCCACCACAGATCGTTGTTGGCGCTAAGCGAGAGCGTTTGCGTGTACACATGGCTCAGAAGCGCCGAGAGGACGATGTACACGATGCCAAAGACCACGAGCAGCGGACTCTGCGGCACGACTGCGGTCGTCGGCAGTACCTGCGCCATGCAACCGACCGAAACGCGTTTCGTCCAAATTCGAACCTGAGACAGGCGAATCCTCGTGCGATAGTGCAATATCGGTCGTCGGTGTCGGCCACGGCTGTCGCTTATCGAGTCCGGAAGCGGGCGAATACCGACAGCACCCAACACCCCGACGCCGACCTCGCTTGACGTTGAGATGGAACCAAACTCGCAGCGACAGCAAGACGCCCGCACTCAACCGAGTCGTGCCGACCTCGTCGCATGTCGTTGTCGTTCAACTCGGCACAAAATGCCCGCTAAACAAGGCAACGTCGAAAGGGACTTGGTTGTTTGAGAGACAATCTGAGGCGTGCAGATGTCCTAGCATAGGCAGCAACCAATGTATACTATTGTCCCATCGATGCGAGACGTAAAAGCTCCTTCTCTCGGGAAGGATACACTAAAAGCTAGGGTGCTACTAGTATCTGGCACTGCCTTTACAGTGGCTGTCCAAGAAGCGCCAGTGCACTGAACGTAGCGTCTCCGCCAAGGGTCTTGAGCGCCGCAAACTCGCTGGCGAGCAGGGCCGTCATCGCGTCACTCGTCATCGCGTCAGGCAGCGGCGCTTCATTGAAGCGGAAGTAAGCGGGCTCGCCTTCGGCACTGGGTGTGACGGCCACGCCGTAGCCGCGCAATATGGCCAAAGCGCACTCCGCATCGTCGAGGCGCAGAAAGCGCGCCAGGTCCGCGACGGGAAATCGATCTTGCTTGGTGTACGCCTTGGCCAAGACGACCATTTGCTGGTGCACGTCGGCTCCGATCTTGCGAAAGCGCAGGGCACGTGCCAGCAAATTCGTCTCGAGCGAGGATGGCCGCGCGCTCAAGTACGGCGCCGGCGTGCACAAAGCGAGGGTCGATCGCCACGTGGCATCGCCAGGTCGCTGCGCGCAGGTCCGAAGATCGTACGCAAAAGTCGCGCGCGTCTTGGTGCAGCACGAGGTAGAGGCGCCGGAACTCGACCGACGACTCGCGAAGAAGGAGCAGCACCGATGCGAGCTGGTCCTCGAGGAGGCGCCGGAACTCGACCGACGACTCGCGAAGAAGGAGCAGCACCGATGCGAGCTGGTCCTCGAGGAGCTTTTCGAGTGACGCATACGGCACAGATCCCGACCGCGTCTCGAGGCGCAAGATGCACTGGGCGAGGATGTAGAAGCGCGCAATGGGCTGGAGAACGTCGAGGGCAAACGCGCCTTGCAGCGTCAAGTCGCTCCGCACCGCGCGGAACCGGTCGTCGAGGAAATGGTACAAGTCGAGCGGCAGCGTGAGCTGCGACGGCAGCAAGCTCAAGAGATACGCGGTCGTCTCGACCAGCACGTGGACGGGACGCACGTCGTGGGGCTTGATGACGGTGCCCGCAGCCGACCGGCGGAACTTCTTCACGGGCAGGTACGGTGGCCGCTCGTACTTGCTGCATGAGTGGTGAGGAGGTGCATGTACCGGACAGTCGACTTACGAGAGCTCTTGCATCTTCCGGCGCTCCTTGGCCTCATGCAGCGGGCAGAAGCCCAAGCATGTCCCGACGAGCATCGACATAGCCGTGGTCTGGTTCCGTGTCACTCGCTCAAATGTCCACTTGCCGATCGACCGCGTTTGATTGGCCAATAATACAAGCTTTTAACCAATCACCATCGAGGACAGCCGGACAGAGACATCCATTTCGGTTTAGCGTTGACACGAACAGGATGACCGAGCTCTACACGGAGGCGCGCAGCCGGACCTGCGTCCAGCCCATCCAGGTACGACCTCCCATGGCGTCATGGGCTCAACCACGCGCAGGTCGTCGGCGTCTCTCACGACTCGCCGCTGTCGTGGTCGCCGTCCGGGCGGCGCCTGGCCTTCGTCGCTGGCAACAACAGCATCTTCGTCTGCGCGTCGACGGGCACCGCCGATGGCGTCGTCCTCGAGAAGATCGTCCCGCTCTTCAAGAAGGAGGTGCATGTCGTCATGTTCTTCGCGGACCGCGAAGACCTCTTGCTCGTGGCCGGCGCCGAGGGCCTTGCGTTCGTCAACGTCGAGACGGGCGACGTCGCGCACCGCATCGGCCTCGGCGAGGAGAACAACCACGAAAGCGACATTACGTGCGCGACGTGGCTCTACGACGGCCTCATCCTCGCGACAGGCTCGAAAGACACGACGATCAAGCTCTGGGCGCGCGACCATACGGTGCCCACCGAGTGGCTCTGCCTCGAGACGCTCGCCGCGCACAAGGCGCCGCTGCTGACCATGACGTTTAGCGCGCACACACACGCGCTCTTTACGTCTGGTCGCGACTCGTCGATCAAGAACTGGGACGTGCGCAGCTTGCACCCGAACGCGATCCAGAAACGCAAGGACGACGGGAGCATCTCGTGCAGCGTGTCGTCGTCCATGGAAGGTCACCAAGGCGACGTCGTGACGCTCACCGTCACGGAGAATGGCAAGCTCCTCTTCTCGGGCGCGCGCGACAACACGTACCTCGTCCTTGCTGCTGCAGCGTCAAGATTTATGTGTCTCTCTAGGATCAAGGTATGGAATGTAGCGCAGCACCGCGAGATCCGCATCATCAAGGGCCACACGGGCGACATTCGCCGCATCATTCTGCTCAACGACGAGCAGCACATGTACTCGGCGTCGGCCGACGGCACGATTCGGCTCCTCAAGCTCCTCGATGTCGTGCAGGACGACGAGACCATCTTGTCGGCGGAGGACCTCGAGCGCGATCGCGAGGCCGCCGACAAGCTCGCGCTTGAAGAGATCCTCGGCGCGTCCAAGTCGGACATGGCGTATGCAGCGGGCATGATCAACCCACTCGCGATGCCCCGCGACGAGCTCTTGATGACGCTCAACGCGCACGACGAGCACGTGTTTCGGATGGAAGTCAACCCGTGCGTGCCGCTGTTAGCGACCGCCGGCAACCACGAGGTGCGCATCTGGAGCATCGACAACATTGCCAAGCCCGTGCTTCTGAACGAGTTTGTCGCGCACACGGGCACGGTCACGTCGGTCTCGCTGCTGCACGAGGACAAGCACCTTGTCTCGTCGTCGCTGGACGGCCGCATCCATCTCTACAACGTCGGCAGCATCCACCGCGAGGCCAAGCTCGACGTGTACGGCTCGGTGGGGCGCTGGCGCTGACGCCGGACCAGCGCCTCCTCTTTTGCTCGGGCAACGACTATGACATCCGCGGGTTCGTCGTGCAGGACGCGAACATTGGTGCCCAGTGCGTCGTCGAGCTCACGGGCCACGCGGGCAAGGTCTACTGCATGGCCTCGTCGCCCGACGGCACCGTCCTTGTGAGCGGCGCCCACGACTACAGGTATCGAGATGGATGACTTTCAGTCGCTCAGCCTTGGATCTAGTTTGTGCGTCTGGAAACTCGGGGCGCTCAACCAGAGCTACCAGGGCGCGAATGTCCCACGTCCCGCTCCTCAACACGGTCGACGCCGAGATCAAGACGCTGTCGCCTGCAAAGAAGTTCAACTCGCCGCACCAACTTTGCCGCCGCCTTCAACGCGCCCAGCAGCAACGAAGGCGTGCGCCTCGCCACCTGCGGCAACGACCATGCGATCAAGCTTTGGCGGCTGCGCGGCCACGCACTCTCGGAAGGCGTCCTCATCCCGGACGCGCATTTAAGCGTCATTAGCTGCCTCACGTGGGGCAAGCACGCGTCGAGCCACCTCCTCTTCTCGGGCGGCTGGGACCACACGATCAAGGTCTGGGACCTCACGGTTGACACGCGAGCTCCGTCGGCGCCGATTGGAACACTCCACGGACACAAGGGCCGTCTCTCGAGCCTCCAGGTCACGGACGACGGCCAGTTGCTCGTGTCGACGGCCGCCGACGGCACAACCAAGCTCTGGCAAGCCGTTGCGCCCTTCCAGCTCCTCTGCACGTATGTTGGCGCTGTCGAAGGCGGCGCGAGCTCCCTCGCAGTCGGCCGCAACATCATCGCGACGGGCTACGACGACGGGATGATTCGCGTCTGGCCGCTCATGCGCAGCGACGGCAGCGTCGACGCCGAGTACGACGGTCTCTTCTTGACGCCCGACGAACTCCAAGTGCTCACGACGCGGTCGCATGTGTCGGGCTCGACGCGCAAGAAGGGCGCATTCTCGCCAACGTCTGCGCCCTCGCTTTTGTAATCCTCCACGACGGTGGTGCATGTTCACAGAGGGTATTCAGCAACTAATGCGTGTGTAAAAATGCTGTCTCTCCACGGCGCAGGATCGGATACGCACTCTTCTTCTCGGCAACAATCTAGTTTCTGCTAGGCGGTCGTCCCATACGACGGGCGCGGGACGCTCGCAACACGCTTGGTCGACGCGTGTATGACCATGGACGTGCCGAGGATCACGATCGCACTCCCCGCGACAGTGAGGAGCCCGGGGACGTTGGAGACGCCAACTGCGATGCCGAGACCGACGGCGAGGACAGGCTCCAAGAGCATGACGATCGAGACCACGATCGGCTCAAAGTACTTGAGCACGCGCACGTAGCCCATGCCGCCGATGAAATCACAGACCGTCACGAGGTACAGCTCGAGCGGGAGGCGCGTGAGATCCACCCAGCCAAAGAGGCCGTGCGTTGGGTCAGTCGAGAGCGAGACGGCGTCCGTGGCGTAGAGAAGGGGGAGGAGGAGGAGGCACACGGTGCACAGGTGCAGCCACATGAAGACCATAAAGTCCATCGTCTCTTGCGTGCGCACTTGCTTGGCGTGGGTGAGGTACACGGCGGCGCCGATCGCACCAAGGAAGGCGACCGCGTCGCCGTGGACGCTCGGTCCGACTGCTTTTGTGCGACTCTGCGTGTGGTCGAGCGCCGTGACAACGCCGCCAGCGATGCCGAGAACGGTCCCAACGCCTTCTTGGAAAGCGACGGGGCGGCGTCGCAGTATCTTGCCGAGCACGAGGACGAGCGAGTGGCTGTTGTTGAGGATGTACGCATGGTCCACCGACGTGTGGTCGAGCGCGTAGAGGAACGTGGCGTTCCAGAGACTGTAACCGGCACCGCATAGGAGGAGCGCATGCGATGGCGGCACGGCCACCGATCCGTTGAGAATGCCGGAGAGTTTGGGCAGACAGAGGAGCGTCGTGACGCAGCAGGTGCCACTGACTTTCCAAAAGAGCTTGAGGAACGGCGCGACGCCCGTCATGAGGTCGAACGCAACGCCCAAGGACGAGATCGTGCAAAAGCTGCACACGAGCAGGCCAAAGCCCACAAGCGGCACGCCTGGGCTGCTCGTCGGAATCGGCGCGAGGAGGCGACTGGCCTCGGACGCCTTGCGCGGCCGAATCTCAATAACAAGATCAGTCTCCGACTCCGACTCGGTCGCATACAGCGAGTCGGCGCGCAGCTTGGAAAGGACGCGCGGGCCGACGCGAATGCTGCTCCCCGAGACCAAGGCCATGGTGTCTGCTCTGGTCCGTGGCTCGGATCCAGTACGCGCGCCGATTGGCTGGTCAACGGTCGCGTCCGGATACGGAGTGTGGGGACCAATCCCATCGCGCAAATGCGATCCAATTGAACCGTCACGTTCGGAGCGATGCACGGGGTCTTGGCAGGGTCGAAGAGCTTGATGGTGTACCGGTACCCCACGTGCTCAACGTGCGGAGTGGCATGCCTGGTGCATGGCTGATACAGGGCGGCGGCATGTGGTGTCGATCCACATCCTGCGCGTCAAGTCAACATGTCGGGTTGTGCTGCCGTCGCCCGTGGGTTCCTTTGAAATGATGCGCGAGAGAGGGCGTAGGCGCGCGACTGGTGCCGACGAAGACCATGCTGGTTTCTAGATTAAGCAAGCAGACAACATGACAATATCGGTCATAGCTCTTGGCGACATCAACAATGAAGACAGAGCCACGTCGCTGCTCTCGTCGCGCTCGATGAACCGAGAGACGAGAGGATGTGCTTGGAGCTCATACCATTTCCGTATCGCCTTTTAGTACGTACGTACATATGTACGTGTACAAGCAGGCGGACAAAGGTCATTTTGTTGAGGACCTTGGCGCGGCGGCGTGCCGCGCGACGGTGGAACGAACGGTCGACCGGATCTGCGGCACGCGCCAGCTGGCCCGCGCAATTTGATTGGCCGTTTCGTATCCAACGCGCCTGTCTTTCCAGCAACTTCAAGCCTTGTGGCGACGGCATTTGTCGACACTCGACCTTGCACACAAGCCGCCACCATGACGGACAGCAGCAGCGAACTCAAGGTGCTCGTGACGCTCTCTCGTCACGGAAGCCGCGCGCCCAACGCGATCGCCAAGCGGCTGTGTCCCAAGAACGCCGCCAACGCGCAGGCGTACCAAGTGCCGCCGGCCCAGCTCACGGAGAAGGGCATGGAGCAACTCCGCCTCGCCGGCGACCACATCCGGCACGAGTACGTCGAGCGCCAGAAGTTTCTGTCGCCGTCGATTGCCGGCCCCGAGCGACTGCATTTCGAGACGTACTTCCGCGCTGACTCGGCCGACCGCTGCGGCCAGAGCGCGCTCTCGCTCGGCTACGGCCTGTACCCGGACAAGACGGGCCCGAAAGGCTTTTCGAAACAGCCCATCGCGATCTACATGCAGCTCCTTCAGAACGAACACGAGTTTGCCGCGACCGAAGGGCCGTGCGCAGCCGTCGCCAAGGCCGACGACCTCCGCTACGAGCAGAGCCGCGCGCAGGACCTCCTCCGCGAGAAGAAGGCGCTTCTCGACACTGTTGGTGCGCTCTGCGGCGTGGACATTCCGTCGATCCCAAGCATGCCCCACGGCGAAGACGTCATCACGGGCATCAAGGACATTGCCGACGCCTTCACCTTTGACGCACAAGCCGGCCTCCCGCCGTTGCCGGGCCTCACGCCGGAGGTTCGCGCCGAGATGGAGCAGCTCGCGTTCACGAACCTCATGGAGCGCTACTACTCGACGCCCGAGCAAGTCACGTACTGGGTCGGCGGGTTCGGCGACCTCTTGCTTAAGAACCTCAACCAAGCGACGCAGCCGACACCGCTCGCATACAAGTACTACTCGTACCACGGGCACCGCGAGCTGCTCCACGGCCTCGGCAAGCTGCTTGGCTGGGACTTTCACTTTGACGGCCTCCCGGTGGCGCTCAACACATCCTCGCTGCACCCCGGCACGACCATGACGTTTGAGGTCCGCGAGCGCAAGAGCCACCTCTTTGTCAATACGTTTGTGTGGTCGCCTCAAACCGGCCGCGACGCTGTGCGGCTCACCAAGTGCTCGGCGATGGACTGCCCCCTCGACGAGTTCAATGGCATCTTCAAGTCGCAGCTGGAACTCACGGGCTCGTACCTCGATATTTGCGCGCCAAAGGACACGCTGGCGACGAGCTCCGTCGACGACGGCGCGGCGATCGAGGACTACGACTCGATTCTGCTCACGGTCGCGCCTTTCATCGCCCTCGTGGTGTTTGTGGCCATGGCCATCCACAGTGCCACCCGCCGCACCCAGCGCCACGTCGAGTACCGTGGGCTGCCATAAGAAAAATAAGAATTAAATAAAAATTGCACCCAGCATTGCATTGACGGTCTTGGCGAGGATTGCAGCGCAGGTGCTGCTGCTTGCCACGACACTGTCGAGCACCTGTCACCCATGGGGATTACTACAGTGTATAAACATGACAAAGCTAGACGAATGGCCATCCACGCAGGTGATTGGGTGATCGGTGATCGGCGATGAAAAAGAGAAGCCGCCTTCTATTTTTGCCCGTTTGGCGTCGCGACCCTTCAGCGAAGAGCCACCTCGTATCCTTGCAGCGCTATGGACACTATCGATCTCGCCAAGCAGGAGGGCCCGATACGACGAGCACGCCAAGAAGGCCATTACTGTTTAAATAGCCTATCGCGCTCTGCAGGACTGAAAGCACGCAGTCGATGACCGTCATTTTGGTTTCTGGGTCGTGCAGTGGTCGCGTATCTGTATCCGGATTTATGGAATCTGACGCGACACTCTGTCGCCACCAGTCGTCGCTAGCGTTCTTGTTGCGAGCGTCCAGACCCGACGAAGCGGGCTACAGCAAGCCCTAGCATCGTCAACGCGCTAGGCACTTGGCGTTCATGTGATCTTTGGTTTCGCTTGCTTGTCGCCTATTTTTACAATTGCCGTTCTAGATCCTGCCATTTGCGCGTCGCTGATTGGCTGGAATCGGTGATTGCCATCCGCCCACTTTGCACTGTGGCCACACCCGCGGTTCTTTTATTCGGGTATTTTTATGTTGTATACCAATCGCAAGTACAGTGCGATATTTAAAAAAATAGACGGCCGATCCGGTCCGAGATCCATTTTGCATTTTGGTTTTTCTCGTCGTGGGCCCAGCATGTCCACCAGCAGCAGCAACGAGACGACGACGGCGGTCGTCGGCGACAGCGAGCTCCGCCTCGTCGTGAGCCTCACGCGCCACGGCAGCCGCGCGCCCAACACGATCGCCAAGTCGCTCTGCCCCAACAACCTCGGCAACTTTGCCAAGTACCACGTGCCACCCGAGCAGCTCACCGAATATGGCATGGAGCAGCTGCGCCGCGCCGGCGACCACATCCGCGCCGAGTATGTGCACAAGGCCAAGTTCCTCTCGCCCTCAATCAACGGCCCGGACCACTTTCACTTTGAGTCGTACTTTCGCGCCGACTCGGCCGACCGCTGCGGCCAAAGCGCGATTGCAATGGGGTATGGCCTCTACCCGGACGGTACGGGCCCGAAGGGCTTTGAGAAGCAGCCCATCTCCGTCTACATGCAGCTCCTCAAGAACGAGCACGAATTCGCCGCGCCCAAGGGCCCGTGCAAGGCGGTCAACAAGGCGGACATCAACCTCTACCAAACAACACGCGGCGCCGAGCTCATTGAGCAGAACCGACCCATGCTCGAAGCGATCGGCAAGCTCTGCGGCGTGAGTGTGTGGGACATTCCCAACCTTCCAGACGGCGAGGACATCATCACGGGCATCAAGGACCTTGCCGACATGTTTACCTTCGACCAACAGCAGGGCCTCGAGCCCCTCGCCGGCCTCACGCCCGAGCTCCAGACGCAGATCGAAGAGCTCTCGTTCACGCACTTGATGGAGCGCTACTACTCAACGCCTCGCCAAGTCACGTACTGGGTCGGCGGCTTTGCGGACCTTCTCCTCAAGAACGTCCATCAGCCGACGCGGCCGACGCCCGATGAAGGCGGCTTCAAGTACTATTCGTACCACGGCCACCGCGAGATGCTTCACGGTCTCGGCAAGATGCTTGGCTGGGACTTTCACTTTGAGGGTCTTCAGACGGCGCTCAACACATCGTCGCTGCATCCCGGCACGACGATGCTTTTTGAGGTCCGCGAGCGCAACACCAAGTTCTTTCTCAACACGTTCCTTTGGTCGCCCAAGACGGGCCGCCAAGCCGTGCATCTCGCCAAGTGCTCGGCCCTCGACTGCCCCCTCGACGAGTTCGCTAGCATCATCACCAACCACATTGCCGAGACGGGCACGTGGCAGCAAATCTGCAACTTTGCTCCCTCGACCTTTGCGCCAGTCCACCGCGTGACGGTCGCACCGGCGGCGAACGCGAACGCGGCGCCCCAGTACACGTTCCTCCTCCCGACCGTTGGCGGCCTCCTCGCCGTCCTCGCACTCCTCGCCATGTTGGTCCACCGCGTCATCAAGCGCCGCGACACGGGCTACAAGGCCCTGGCCTAGACGTCTACATAACTAGTACTGTGTTAAAGCACCCATATTGCCTGGCGCCTTCTTCCTGCCAAGTCCACGTCAAGCATCGAGCATGCAACGACGCACGGGCGTGTGTGTGCGGCACGGGCTACGGGCAGTGGGCAGTGCAGGTCCAAGTGTCTTGAGGGGTACCAAGGGTTATTAAGTGGCTGGCTTATTGGTCGTCGTCGCGTCGTCGTGAACGTTCTCGTCGGCCAGGTGCGGGTTCTCCAGCAGCGGGTTGTAGCTCTCAATCATGTCCCAGTACTGCTCCACGTGCTTGGCTTCGAGCACCTTGCGCGCGGTCGAGGCCGTTTTGCACTCTTGAAACTTGAACGACGCAAACGCCCGCTTGGCCACAATACCCTTCCACACCAAGTAGCACTTGGCCTTCTTCTTGGCTCGTTTGGGCTGCAGCGCGTCCGACATACTCTCGTGCGCAACTGTCGCCTCCTCTTCCTCGTTGTCGGGTAACGGGACGTCGTTGGCGTCCAGCGATTCTGCCGGCGGCGCGCGGGGGGGCGGGCGCTTGGCCCAGTCGATGCGTCGGCACATGAGCTTGATGTAGCTCTTGATCGACTTGGGCCCGCCCTCGACGACAACGAGGTTGAGCTCCGGGTTCTCCTTGACGGTCACAACGGCACCCGTGAGGTGCAGCTGCTGCGCGTTCACGTCCACCTTGAACTGGTGCTGCGGATGCGAGAGGTCGGGCGCCCTGCGCAAACTCTGAAGACCATGCTGGCGGTCGGTAAACTGTACCGGAAGAGGGCGACGTGGAGGTCGCCGGATGCGTCGGCCTTGAGCTTGCGCATGATCTTCTCGCGGCGCTCCTCCGGTGTGAGCTTGCGCGCCAAGTTGCGCATCTCGTGGTTCTTCTCGCGCTGCGCGACTTGAGCGCGCACTTTTCGCTCGATTGCCGACGGGTCCGAGACCGCTTGGTCCTACAAGAGGTCCGTGGCATCGCGCTCGCAGATGGCCACAACTTGGTACTATACCTGGAGCACGCGCATCATGTTACTCAGTTTGACTTTCGGCTCGGGCGGCGGCAAGAGACCCAGCGCGATCTTGTCTTGGACCTCCTTGAGCCGCTCGGCACGGGCCGTGCGACGAATTCGCTTGCGCTCCTATTCAACAATGTGGTGCCAACCGCGAGAATGACACAAAGCCACTAACCGCTTTCGTGAGCATGAGCGGCAGCGTCACGGGCGCCTCCTTTCGACCGACGCGGATGCGCGCCGGGTGCTCAATCAAGTGCGCCGTGCCAGCAAACTTGAGCTTCATATCCGCCACGTAGTCGATGACGTCGGAGCGACCACGGCCCTTGAGAAACCCGTTCTTGTCGAGCATTTCTTGCTTCTCTTTCGGCAGGTACGGAATGTCCCACCACTCGACCTCGGGCACCGGCTCTTCGAGTTTCATGGGCACTTCGAGGCTGGTGGCGGTCGCGGCCGCGTCACCGGCCTCGTCCTCGCCGAGGTCCACGACCGACTCCTTGACATACGCGTTCGGGTTGCGGCCGGACGAGAAGCCCGCCAGCATCTTCTTGGCCTCGCGCGCACGGAGCTGCTCGCCCTGCTTGATGTACGTGCCTTGCTTGACAAAGGTGAAGTTCTTGGCTCCGCGCCTACTCGGTCGTCAACGAGAGCATCCTGGGAGAGCGTACGTGTCACGGTTGCGTGTCTTCAAGCGCGGGTCGACCGTGTCGACGCGGTCTCTATGGTCGACGCTGCGAAACGAGAGGTATGGGTTCACCGGCTTCTTTTGCTTGGCCTTCTCGGCCTCGGCGCCGGCTACCACAGCATCGAGCATCAGGTCGATCGTCGTACAGGAACACGCGTCGACGTACCGCCCAAGTTGGCCTTGAGAGTCGCGACAGGCGCCACTTTTTCTTCAATCACGTTGCCGTCGGCGTCAATGTGGCGGCCCTCGTTGTCGAGCAAGAGCGGCGCCGGCAAGAACGAACCGCGCCCAATCAACGTGTTGGTCGTGCTGCTCACCGCGGCTTGGACGTGGCCAATCTGAGCTTGCATGGACTTGATCAAGTGCTGCTGCCGAGCAAGGCGCTCGAGCGCGGCCTTCTTGCGCTCGGCGTCGCCCACGGTCGATTCCAAATGCTTTGGCAACTGCTTGGAGATCGCGGCCGCGGCCGCTTTCGCCAGCGCCGCCGGATCGATCTTGGGGCGCTTCGCAGTATCAACGGGCGCAGCAGACGGCGCAGGCTCCACGGCCTCGCTGAACCGGCTGCGCTTCTTCCGCGGCTGGTCCGTCGCTCCGCTGGCGTCCATGGCTCCACTCGTCGGTTTGCGGCTGGCAAAACCAAGGTTGTTTTCCGGATATCGTACACCTTATCCGGACGACACATGCCAAGTTGCACTTACGTTAGCCGAGCTGACGGCGTAGTATCTGCGGGGCCGCCGCGTCCATGGCTCGCTCACTGTCGCGCTGCAATCGCATTTTCGACTCTCTGTCGCCTTGCGACCAGCAGTATGTGTAAGGCCTTGGCGCTGCAAGAATCATCCACGAAACTAGAGCGGTGCAGAAGCTGGGCTCGCGCAGGGCCCTTCCATGGGGCCGTTATGTCGGCGGCAGCTCTGTCGGCAGCGATCCACGACTCTACCATATCCCTGTGGTCGAGTTCGCACCTCACCACTCCCGTTTCACAACCCGACAGACTGCGCGACCTCGAAAGTACGGGGCTAAATTTACCGGGGGGCGTTTCGGTCTCAGATTAGAGTCGGTCATGCGCTTGCTCGCGCTGCTCCGCGCGGTCTTTCCGCTGCTGCTGGCACTGGCGGCTGGATGCTGCGGCGGCGCCATCGAGCCGTCGGCGCTCTCCGATCTGCTCTCGACCGACGCCGCGTGGGCGTGCGCGATGGACGCGCTCGTGGCACTTGGCGAACCGCTGACACCCACCGACGTGGCAGCCGTCTGTGCGTCGCCGCCTTGCGTCGCCTTCTTACGCGACATGCGGCCACTGTTTTTGACCGGCAGTACTACCTGGTCCACCGATCACAGCGACGATGCTGTCGCCAACCTCGCCGTCCTCGTCGACGCATGCGAGGACAGTGCGAGCTGCAGTCCCGAGCAAGACATGCTTACACAGTCGCTGCTCGCCGAGGTGCGCAACCCCCACTGCGACGCCGCCATGGAGGCCCTCGGACCGCGCATGACGCGAGAGAGCTTTTGCACGCTGCGGCCTTGCATCGACGCCCTCCGCGCTGTCGCGCCGCGCGTGCCAGCGTGTAACATGTCGCCGACACTCACGGCCTATATGTCCGTCCTCCACGCGTGCGACGCTGGGAACCCCTAACTTAAGAATACATGGAATAGTAGCGTGTGCGTCGTCGTTGTCGTTGTCGTTGTCGTTGTCGTTGTCGTTGTCGTTGTCGTCGTTCTCATTGTTGTTGTCGTTGTCGTCTTCTCGGGTCCGACAAGCGCGTTCCTGGTCGATTGCATGCGTCACCACTCGGGACCGATGGATGACAAAGAAACAAAGAGGCAGGCAGCGCGCCAAGCAGCAACGAACGACAAGCATCCGTGCGAGCAGTAGGGTGTCGACGAGCGAGCTGGCCGTTCGCAGCAAGACGAGGCGAGGACCTGCCTGTCATGCATGGTCACGCCTCGCGTCGGCGCAAGCAGCAAGGTGCTGGCCGAGACGGCAAAGGCGCGGTTGGAGACAGCGTGCATCCGGTCTCGGCCGCACCGCCGACTGGTTGTCTTTGCAAAGCCATTGCACGCGTCCAGCACTAAAAAATCGGCGGAAAAGATCGCGCGACCACCCACGAAGCGTCGCACTTGGCAACTTGCGACGACGACCGATGGAGCTCGACCACGTCGACGTGCTGAGCCGCTGCCTTGGCTACACGCTCACGTCCCAAGAGCGCTCGAACCTCGAGATTGGATTTCTTCGGCGGCAAGCGACCGAGAACGTCGTTGGCATGCGGCTCTGGGGCAAGATCCTCGGCGAGGCGCAGGACTACGTCGTCTGCGTCGCCCACGTCGAGGCGCTCGATGTGCCCAAGAAGAAATTCTACTTTTGGTACCGTCCCTGCAAGAGACGTGCGTGGCTCGTGACAGTATGGTAGCACCAACACGTCGCCCGAGCTGCAGCAGTTTCCTGAGGTCTCCAAAGAGAAGCGCGACAAGGCGGCGGCGTACACGGGGCGTCTCAAAGGCGACCCGTCGCGGCCCATGGACGAGAGCGACGACGGCCAAGACGACACCAACAAGGACATCTTTCGCGAAGTCGACCGGCTCGTCGTCATCGTCGAGGTACACACCGTGCGTGGCGCTTTCTGCTGCGACGTGCGCAATAGGCGATCGACGACGCCGCGTCCATCGTGCCTTGCGGCGCGTACGTGGTCTCGGCCACGCACCACGTCGTCGCCAACCGTCTCTTCCAAGGTGGGCGAGGAGGCTCTGCCTGCATCGCGTGAACCTCCTGCGGTAGGGCTCACGTGGGACCGCGCGCAGCAGCTGAGCAGCTACTACCATTACCGGCCGGCCGACTCGGCCGAGCGCAAGAGCGCGCTGTCGCAGCCCGGCTTGGTGCGCGCGGCCGACTTTCTCGACCCTATCTCGAGCGACCTCGACGGCGTCTGGGACATGCGTAAGGACAACACGGGCGCGGCCATCGTCTTGCGCCACCTGCAGTACCCGGGTGCCATCTTCTTCCACAAGCCCCGCACGGGAGTCTACGGCTTCGCCTACGTGGGCGACGGCCTCCGCAACCCCGACCTCGCCTTCATGCTCTGATATCTGAGCACATTCACACACAAAAACACACGTGTACAATCATCCCACATCAATAGAGAGCGTTGCCGACTTTGGGGCGCTTGGAATGCGGCGCGAGCCGGGCAATGGTCGTCAGGTCACGCAGCTTCTTGCGCCGGTGCACAGAGTTGAGGTGCTCGTCGAGCTCGCCGCGGCGGAAGAGCGCTTCGCAGGCGCGAAAGGCCGCGACCGCCTTGGCCGTCGTCTTGGACGTCATAAACGGCGTCTCAAACGGCGGCAGCTCGAGCTGCGCCGGCAGCTGCAGCGTCGCCTGGAAGCGGCGCTGGTGCGTCGGCGTCGTCATCTCGGCAAAGGCAAAGATTGGCGACAAGTTGTACTTGGCAAACTGCGGCAGCGACTGGCAAAACATGTGCAGGCACGAAATCGCAGAGTCGAGGTCGAGGACGGCGCCCGTCGCGTCCACCTAGGCAAGATGACGCAGGAGCAATGCCATCGCCGCCTTCGGGTATGTACCGTCAGCGTCGATGGCAACGTCGCGTCCATCGCCGCGTGCGTCACCGTGTACTGCAGGCGGTGCGTGCTTGCAATGACCGAGAGCGGCTGCGTCGAGAGCGTCGCGGCCTTGTCGCAGCCAAACTCGAGGCGGCCAATCTCGTCGGCTTGGCGCACGAGCACGTGAAACTGCGTCGCGTCGTCGACGGCCGACGCGTCCGTGAGGTAAAAGCACGCACCGTCCGCGTGTCGGGCCCGGCCCCGCACCTACGCATTCATTCGTCGTCGACGCCAAGAAGAGAGCAGTTGGATTACCTGGATAAACATGCGGGGGCACGTGATCGGGTCGGCGCAAATGACCATCGCGCACAGCGGAAAGTCGACGCCTTCGCACGACACCGACGTCGACACCATGACGCGCGTCTCGCCCGACTCAAAGGATGACAGCAGGCGCGTCATGCTCGGCGCGTCATACGACGCCGCGTCCTTGGAGCTCGCTTGCCCCAGCATGCACCCAAAGAGGGACTCGCCCTGAAACCGCGCGTTGAGATAGTCGGTCAGCGCACGGCACTCGGCGCGTCGGTTGACAAAGATGACGCACTGGAGCTTCTCGTCTGGCGGCGGCGCGTCCGTGGCCATGCCGTCGTCGTCGTCGTCGTCGTCACTCAGGTCCATGATAATGTCATCGAGTGTTTTCGGCACGTCGTCCTCATCCTCGTCCGCAGCGTCTTCGTCCGTCAGACTGGCCACCTCGTCCGACGCCACAAGGTCCTCGTCCGTCATCGCGTTCGCTGGCGTGGCAAAGAGTCGGTCGCGGAGAATGTCGACAATCTTCTGGAGCTTGGGCGTGCAGGCAAACGACACTTCGGCGCACTTGGAGCGGCAGAGGAGCAGCGCAAGGATCGCCTGAGGGTCGAGGCCCGTCATGTTACCCGCCATCGTGCACTTGAGCGACGCCTTGCGCGCCTGGCGCTCGAGCTCAATCTCGAGGTACCGGTAGAGGCACCACGGTCCGAGGTTCTGGTACACCCCCATGCAGTCCATGACGAGCTTGGCCAGGCGCGCGGTGCGCTTCTCGGGTGGCGTCGCGACGCCATAGTCGGCCTTGGTCATGAGGTACTCAAAGGTGCGCAGGCCATCGACGGCCTCAATGAGCGACGTGACGTGGTCCTTCTCGACCATCAAGTCGACGCGCGGCGGGTATGTCTCGTGCAGCATGGGCGCACACGCCGCGTACAAGCCCATAGCATTCGCGTCCATTGTGATCTTCTTCAAGGTCGCGTCCATGTTGCTCGCGCAGTCGCGCGTCGGGCACGCCGTCGTGCCAAAGATGCGCGGCTTGGACGCAGCCGCACTCGTCTTGTAGTCCTTCATGATCTGGTTGTACGGGTGGCGCTTGCCCGCGTGGTGGCACTCGTCAAAGACGAGGAGGTTGATACGCTCAAACGTAATGTAGCCTTTTGCGAGGATGTTGCGGAGGATCTCGGGCGTGCAGACAAGCACCGAGTTGAGTAGCAGCTCGTTCTCCCACTGCAAATGGTCCCAGACCTCGACGTCGCGGCCGCAGTACGCCTTGACCTTGAGCGTCGTGAGCTTGAGGATCTTGGCGTGGATCTGCGTCACGAGCTGCCGCGTCGGCGCCATTACAAACGCCCGTTGCACCGAGTAGTCTTGCTCGCGGAGCAGCATGATGGACACGAACGTCTTGCCGATGCCCGTGCTGCCGACCATGATGACGTTCGTCGTCCGCGCCAGGGCCACCACCTCTTCCTGGTAGTCGCGCAGCGATGCCATCGTGCTCGTCGATCCAAAAATGCCACCTGCGCTTGATCCGCCAAGCGCACTTGAGAAAACATGTATACAAAAAACAAGGTGTTTCAAAAAGCGCACTTGCGAGGGTTGTCGCGGGCAACCCACGACCTTGAAGTCGGCGCTTCTCGAGCCCGTTGGAGAGACGCGCCGTTGGGTCAGACCCCATCACACCGCCCATAGCCCTTCTATAGGGTGTGGGCATGTAGTGCACTCGGTGGTGGCGCCTCAAACCTCGGCCAAGACGCCTTTTTAACGACTGCAACATGGATTTCCCGCAATTTCAGCGCATTGCGCCCGTCCACCACCCATGTTTGCTATGACAATATGTACATTGCAACGTGCGCGGTCGCATGCAACCGGCCGTCGCGTCGCTAGAAGCATGGTGCGTGCCAGCGAGACCGATAGGTGGCGCACTGCCACCGCGGGTAGGGTTAGGCCTTGAGGTCCACGGGAAGGCTACACACGACGAAGCGCGTGCGCAGGGCGTTGCCGTCGGGGCGGGTGCCGAACCACTGGTGCACGAAAAGACCAACGACAGACTGGAGCAAATGTGTGGGCAGGATGCTGGCTGCGGGGCCTGTGGCTCTCGTTGATGCCAGTCAGCCGCTCTGCTGGCGTCGTCGGGATCCCGCCGCACGACCCCATCTCGTTGTTCAAGAAAGCGCGCGCAGCAGGATCGACACGATAACAATGCGATCGTCGCCGTCGACGCAGACCCATGACACGTCGTCAGTGCAGGTCGAGACCATCAGGGAGGATCGCGCGCAAAGCCGGAAGCTGGCAGCAGCCACCTAGCCCGACGCAGCGCGCACTTGTGCACACCCTAGTGGCCGGGAAAGAGGTCGACCTGCGAGTGCAGGTCGCTCGGCCAAGCAGCGCCCAGAGCGCAGCACGAGGACGGAATGCAACCTGCTGGGTGTAGTCGCACAGCGACCTCCATCGGTCCAACGCGGTCGGCCGGGCGGCGACTGTGACCGGTTCGGCACGCAGCAACACCAAATGGAGAACCACAGAGGCGGCGGCGCGCGGTTTGGTCGTCTCTCCTTATGAATTAGGACGGCCTCAGGTGACTTGATTCGCCGCAAGTGTCAAACGCCATGCGTCCTACTTGGTGCAGGCGCCCGCTGCAACCACGAGCAGCCGCGTATCATTAACGCGAGATCCTTATGCCCATTGCGTTGTTGGTGCTTGAGACACCGGTCGCCGGTGCGAGGCGACGACGGTGCTATCCAAGCAGGACGCCACAAGACTAGAAGACAGGCATCTGTTTTCGACGGGGTTGATTACATATTACGCGTGGTGCGGCTTAGTAGCAGCGCACGAGGCGCCGCCACGAAATGTCTTTGGTGAGCAGCGTGTCCTGCAGCGTGAGTTCGTCCCGCGCAATGTCATAGCAGTGGTAGACAATGTCGTCCTTCGTGAACGGATGCAAGATGCGCTTCTTCTCGCGCGTCGGCGTCACAATGCCGTACTCGTACACGACGAGGCTGCCGCTCGAGAGCCAAAGGAACGTGATCGGGTCGCTCATGTGCACAATGTTCATGAGGATGTGCTTGGTCGACGTGTCGTGGTCGGCGCGGAAAAGGTCGTCGAGATCTTCCGGGACGCAATGCGAGAGTTGAGACGCGCGCCCTCGGAGCGCGGCAGCGGCACGGTCGCCAGCGCAGAGACCGGGTCGACGTCCAAAACGCCGTCGCCCCAGCTCATGGTCATGGCCGTGCTGGACCAGAGCTTGGCGGCTGCGAACGGCGCCTTGGTTTTGCCAAAGAAGAGCGGGTGCCGCCGCCAATGCACCGCGTTGTGGTGGTGTCGCCACCACTGGACGCCGAGCGCGAGAGGTGCTACGAGCAGCAGAAACGCGGCGGCCACCGAGAGCGTGTCGTGGTAGAAGCCCGAGAGGCGGTTGTTCATGTCGGTGAACACCTCGGACATGTACAGTGCGATGATCGTGCTGGGCTCGACGACAAAGACGGCGCGCACCGGCACGTCGCGCAGAAGATCGAGTTGAAACATTGATAGAAGCGCGAGGAGGCACAGCAGTGCGACGAGGTGGCCGCGGAGACCGATGGTGCCGTTGGGGTGCCACACGCCAATGTTGATCAGGAACGAGAAGAGCTTGAGAAGGAGCGCGAGCACCCAGACACACCGGAGGCGCACGGCGAGGATATAGCTCATGGTCGAGAAAGGCAATGCGACGAAATCGGACGCGGTCGAGAAGAGCTGCTCGGTCGCGGTGTACGTGACGGGCGCGTCGATGAGGTGCGCGACAGCGTAGCAGAGCACGGGGAACCAGCTGCCGTAGACGACCACTTGGCTCGGCACCGAGAGCATCGCGCGCATCGCGGCTCTCTTGTCGCCGTCCGTTGCAACGTAGCAGCCCAGAAAGAGCATGAGGAGGCGCAGACCCATGTACGCTTGACCAATGGACCGGAAGCCTTGTGTGTACGACGTCCAGCTCTACGCAATGCGAGCATGTAAGAATCGAGCAAGATTATGCATGTCGAACCCCAATGTTGGACCAAATGCGGCTGCCTGCGTAGCGGACCTCGTCGAGCGCGACCGTCACATTGGCGTGCACTGCGCGGAGGACGGTCGTCGTGTCAAAGGCCGAGAAACCCACGTACGCAAAGCCGCCGTGGCGCCGCGCCGGGTCGGCCTCGGACTCTGCAATGAACACGTCGATGGTGGCTTGCGGGTACTGCGCCTGGAGCGCGCCCGCGCGGGCTGTGATGTCGGCTACGACGGAGACACCCGCCTGCGACGCCCAGCTCTTGCTGCAAAAGAGCGGGCGACCGATCGCGTGCACGGCGCAGAGCGAGGCGACCGACGCGTTCATGTACGAGACCCAGATCGACCGGTACGCCGTCAGGTCGACAAACTGGAAGGCAATGTAGTCGTAAATCCGGTCGAGTCGGTCGTCTTGGACGCGTAGCGCGTACTTTAGAGTTGTGTTGACGCCCTGGAACGCCCTTGGCGCCGGTGCCGCCGCCGCCGCCGCGATGATGCGGTTCCAAAAGGCAACGACCTACAAGACACTCGCATGATTCTGTGCAGTGCGACGGAGCAGCGCACCTCGGGCACTGCAATCGCGTCAGAGCCGCAGCTTGTGGCGTAGTCCAAGCACGGTGGCCACAGATTGCGGTTGTAGACGTAGCCGCGAACGGCGGCTGCCGACGGCGACGTCTTGTAGGCGGCGACAGGCAGCGACTGCACCGACGTGTTGCCGCTCGTCGCGTGCCACGCCGTCGTCGACTGTGTAAACTGCAGAACCGAAATGGGCGTTGGAATGTCCACCAAGTAGACGTTGGGCTCCATGGACGTGCCGTGGATGCTGCCGTTCTCGGAAGACGTTCGGGGCACGTCGGTCAGCAACAAGAGGTACGAGACAACCGAGATGAGCGCGCGCCGAAGCGAGAGCGGCGTTGTGCTAAAGTCGATCGCTTCGTCGTTCTCGTCGACCGTCGCGTGCTGGCGCGTGAACGCGGCGCCGCAGACGACAGGCGTCGCATCTTGGATGCTGGCCAACATCTTCGGTGTGGTACTGTAGTGGTTTTGGCGCCGGTTCCAACGTCGTTGAAACGTCTGTTATACGTGGCACGTGGAAACGGAGGGTGCGATGTTTATATTACCAGAGAAAGAGCATGTACTTAGGGGCTTTTTGACAAGTCGTAGTACGCGTCGAGGGTCTTCTTGGTAAACTGGTGAAACACCATCGAGTTGTCCCAGCGCGAGAGAAGCGGCGGCACGCCGAGCGGGAGGTTGGCGGTCTGGCCCGCGCTCTCGGGGCTCATGCCTTCCGGAATGTACATGGGCTCGTTGTGCTCGGGGCCCATAAAGACCGCCATCGTTTCGCGGTTCACGTTGGGCACCTGCGGCCCACGCACGGCATGCGGCGTCGCCTGGAGGATCCCGCCCGTCAGGATCTGCGACGTCTCGCCAATCTGGTACACGAGGTGGCCCTTCGGGATGAGCGCGCGGACGATCTGGCCGTCGCGGTTCTTGATGTAGAGACCCGCCTGGAATAGAAAAAATGAGCGCCTCGAGTCATACAGAGAGGAAGGGTATCGTACGCTCGGGTCCGGGTTGTCGATCGTGGCACCGCTCATGTCGGTGAAGAGCGCTTGGACGAGGCCCGTGAGCGCGCTGTGGTCGTTGTGCCAGCCGCACCAGCTCGAGAACTCAGCCTCGACGCTCTCAGAGGACACGTCACGCTTCTCGAGGTCCGCCTGCAAGACCATGTCAGCATATTGAAGTAGGTGTACGGTCAGTGAGGTACCGCAGCCATGGCAAAGTAGTGGAGGAGGCGGCCAACGCACGACCGGCTTTCCTTAATGATGCGGTAGAGCTTTCCGGCTTCGTACGTCGGGCACTGCGACTAAAGTAGTTGCAAGATGCAAAAGTTAGCATCCACTCGGCATATGAGAACAGGCGCGTACCTCAACATACTTGTCGCACTGCTTGGCGACGAGAAGGCCCGTGCTCACGATGAGCTGACCGAGCTTCATGAACGCATCCTCGAGCTCCGGGATCTCCTCTACAGAGCGAGAATGAGGCTCGAGCGACGGGTTTTAAACCATACCCGTGGGCCAAATGTTGTCGTGGTAGAACGTCGGGAATTCCTTGATAAGCTGCGCGTCGTCCGTCTTGACGTTGTGGAGCGGGTTGTCGTAGAACGAGCCCTTGGAGTAGTCGGGCTTGCCCTGGAGGTTCTCCTTGCCGTGGCTCCAGCCAAAGCTGTAGTACGCCTTCTCAAGCTCGTACTTGGTCTTGACGTCGGCGGGCAGGTTCGCAAAGCGGAACGCGAGCGGCAAGAGCTTCATGCGGAGCTCCTCGAGGCCCGGGACGTTGGCAACGGCCATGATGCCGAGGCCCTTGGGGCCGTACGCCGCTTCAATGAGCGAGCCGAGCTCGTTCGAGTCCGTCAAGGTGGCAAAGTCCACGATGGGCACGTGCTGGGCAGGAAGGGCGGCGATCGTTTCCGTCGACATTTTCGAGTGTTGCGATGCAAGCAAATGGGAAAATGAACCGAGGGGGATCCCCGGACGGCGGTTGGCAGAGCGCAACCAGATGGCCAAGTGTGGGTGATGATTCGCCTTAAATCTCTGATACATTTGTAGCGCCGACCAATGAACGGAGCTAGCGCCAAGACAAAGAGTGGGAGGATGAACCCTTAGCGGCGGCAAGGCGCTGTCGCAGCTTGAAGCTTGCGCGAATGCCTTGGGATCTGTATGGTTTCGCAACGGCGCCAAGTTGCCGTCTTGAGCAACAAGGAGCCCAGTCACTGGCATCGCGTGTTTGTATGCAATCTTCGTAGTGTCATTATGTTTTAGTATTGTCAATATGCATATTTTACGCTAAAGCCAAACACTGACCACGTGAGCCGGTCGCAGTTTCACAGTTGAGGCTCGCTCATGGCACCTAGGTAAGCTTCTGAAATAAGATATAAATATGCAGTGTTCATGGTATGTATTATATTATGATCCGCACAAATGCATATTATACACTATTTCGCAAAGCCTAGCTACTTTGTGTCTCGACCTCGCAGAGTCCTGGTGCTGTGTGCTGAAAGGGTCGTCCGTTTCCAAGATGCGGGCCGAGTGCAGTGTAATCAAAAAGATCAAATCTAGAAGCGCATGAGCGCACAAGGTCGAGGTGAAGAGCGCGCCAGTTCATCGCAGCTAAAGTAACTAGAACGCAAGACCCGCCTCAACACGGACATCAACACCGTTGTAGCCCCCAAGGAGCTCGGCTCAACGAGGAAAGCCCTTCACGTTAGAACTGCAATGTGTATGGCCGTGATGTTGTACAGTGAACGCCGGACAGGACAAAAATACTACTAGTACACTGTTTGAGTCTTGCTCGGTCTCCTCGCGATCATGCTACTGGCCGGGGCGCTTCGTTTTATGGCCGGCGATGCGAGAAAGGGCTTCTTTCCGCGACGCATTGCACCGTCGACGTCGTTGCACTTCGTTGGGGCGTTTTTCGTTCGCTCGCCTTGGACCACGCCTCGTAGCGCAAGGCAGCTTTGCGGTGGCGCAGCAGACGCCGTCGGCGCAGGCTTTGGTATATGAGATGCATGGCGCCGTAGTTTCTTGCCGAGTTGTGTTGGTCGACGCGGAAGGGATGCGCTGGACACGAGCGACGTCGCAGATTTACGCACGGGCTCGGACGCCTCAGCGCAGACGACGGCAGGTTGCTGATCTCGTGGTATACCAAAGTGCGGTCGTGGTGGCCATGAATGCAGCGATGCCTGCGCTGCAACGGGCGACGCGAATGGGTTCTCGGAGGCAAAGCCAAGCGGCTCGTCCAAGTCGAAGCTGGATGCTGCGGTCGAGGTACACACTGCAATCGGAGAGAGCGAAGGCGCATCACGTTCTAGTTGTTGCCGACTCGTGGTGGGAACGGCGTCCATGGATTGCACTTGCGAGGCTGCAAGAACGTCGATGGTAGATCGTGCGGCCACATTGGGCTGGCGTGGGCTGGTTGCATCCTCCGGTAGCATAATCCCAGTGGAGGCGATCGCGAGCGGAAAGTCGGTTGTCAATGGAGGTGTCTGATCCAGCAATGGGTCTTGGCACGTGGCTGCTTGTTCAAGATCGAGCGCCGCTTGAAGCCGTTGAACGAGCACAATCTTAAGCCCACCGACGCGTAGCCCACGCTTCTTGAGAGCAGCCTTGAGCTCGACGACCTTGAGCGTCGATGGATCCACCTTGATGTCGTCCTTGGCCAAAACGTCGATGGTCACGGAGGATGGGTCCGTGAGACGCGATGCCAGCATTGCTCGAGTAGTGGGTCCTTGGGCAGCCACCGCCTTGGTGTGTTCTACGTAGAGAGCTCTCTTTGTTCGTCGGCGCTTGCTGGCAACCTCCACAGCGGCGTCTTGTGGGCGAGAGGGCGCAAAGATGGCATTCACGTCCAAGATGGTTCGCAGCCTCGGGCGCGTCACGTCCTTCGCAGATCGCGCGCAAAAGACGGCAAGCCACGCCACGCTCTCGTCCAGCAGCGAATCGAGCGCGTCGCTTGCGGTCTGCGTCCCGCGGTCAAGGTGCGTCTGCACGGCCCGCATGTGGTCGTCGTCCATCACCGAGGATCGCCAATGTCGCACTTATCCGGGATCCGTTCTTACGTGTTTGCGCTCCTAGTGGCGTTCGATTGGTTAAAATAGAAAAATCCCATCTTCAACGGCATTTCTCCTGTTGGTCTCATGTTGGCACGAGCAACCGTACTCGCCATGCCACGAGACGCTGCTGCCGTAGACCCGAGATATCTCATCCCTACCAATGCCACAAGTGTAAATGATGGGCTCTACTGACACCCTTCATTTGCCACAAGACGTGCCCAGTACAGTGTACAGGCCCGAACGGTCGTTGAGACGATCTCGAGATATGCAAATGTTTAAAACAGCAATTGTTGATCTTTTTCGATACAAATATCGAGATTTGAGATTTGTATCTTTCGCCCAAGGTGGTCTTCGATGACAATCCTCTTCCCAGTCCAATATGCAGGCCGCCCGCGCCCTGCCGCGTCGCCTCCACCGCGCTGCGGGCCACTGCCGCGACGCCACTGCGTCCGCCCGCGTCAAGCCGGCGCCGGCGCCACCGAGCCTCGGCCTCATGGTCGTCGACGGCGCGCTGCTCCTCTTTGTCTGCGAGGCCTTGAACCAGGTCGGCGGCAAAGAGCTTAGCTTCGAGAAGGCGCTGGCACCGATGGCCCTCGGCGGTCTCATGTTCCCGCTCTATGCACGCATTGACGCCTTCTTCCCGACCATGCACAAGCCTGTCGTCTCGGCGCTCGGGAAGCGCATCTTGCTCATCAACACCATGTACCTCGCGCTTCCGCTGGCCGTTGACGAGGTCATGCAGTCGCAGACGATCACCGGTACGACGATATGCACATCTTGCGTGTGCGCATGCGAGCCGTAGAGGTCGGCCCCGCGCGCATGGCGTACAAGACAACGTTTGGCGCGCTCATTGGCGTCTCGACCTTCCTCGGGGTGTGGGGCTCATTCTTCGCCGCCCACTCGATCCCACGCAGTATTGCCCGTCGTACGTAACCTTGCTTCTCTCGCACGCATGAGGTCATCGTGCGCCTACCGGTAGGTGTCTGCAGCGCCGTGGCGTGCGACGCAGCGTGGAAGACCGTGCGCCCGCCCAACGAGCCGCGCATCCTGTACCCGACGCAGTAGGCACTCCTTTCCATCTTGCGTGCTGCTACTACCGCGCTCTCGGTTAACATTGAATGCATCCTACCCTCGCCATCCTTGCCCCCGTGGCCTCTGGCCAAGCGTAAGTGGCTCGCAGGGTGGCTAGGAGCTGGTTCTTGTCTGGGTTTGGCTCTCCGCAGTTAGCCGACCCAAGCAGGAAGCTGCTGTGCCAGACAGAGCGATTGCTTCGGCGGGCGCATGGACGTGAGCGGCGACGCTGGTCGGTCTGCGGATCGCGTGTATCCGGATGTATCCGCATAGCTCGCCCAAATTGCCTTGTCGAGTTTGGCCAAAACAAAGTGTGGCGAAGGGAAAGCAAGATCCTGGAGGAGCTGCCGCCCACGTCGCCGTCCACTGCTGTACAGGTACCCTCATGCGATGGCCGATGGCGGCGATGGCTCACACGCGTCTGGTAGACCGAATCGCGAGCATCATGAAGGGACCCCGCGCCTCCTGCGAAGGCTACCTGACGTTCCGGACGAGCCCCTACTCGCCGCCGCCCATGATCCGATCCTATAGCATGCTCGTCGGGACATGCTTCTACTACTACGCGTATTACAGACGACATGATGTGATGATGATGGTGTACCTGATGCACATCCTATCTAGCTCGCAAGAAGACGCCGAGGTCATGATGCGGCTCAAGGGCGAAGTCGACGTCATTGGCGCCCAGGAATGGGACGGGAAGGGCAACATGCACATCTACACGAACGGCTTTATGTTTGTGACGGCGCAGAACAAGGTCTTTTACGCGTACGCGGACACGCCGATGGACAAGGAGAAGTGGCTGCGCGCGATGCAAACCGCTGTCATGACGACCGTGCCGGTGCTGAGCACGCTCGGGAGCAGCTCGCTCTCGAGCCACCACGAGCTCCTGTCGCCGTCGTCCGCGACGGAGATTGACGTCCACGCGCGCTGCGCCGTCTGTCCACACGACGATGTGGCCGCGGCCGCGCTCCCGAAAATGCGCTGCGGCAACTGCGAAGACACGTTCTGCGACCGCCACTCGCTCCAGCGCCTTCCGCTGCCGCACAAGGGCTACTACTACGCATTGCGCGTCTGCGACGAGTGCTACTACGCCCAGCTCTTTGTCAACTACCTCAAGGCGATGAACCAGCGGCTGGCGTCGCGGACCTGCGTGTACCCCAAGCCCCTCAACGTGAACGCGCCGATCGAGCTCATCATGCCGATGGGCCCGTCGCACACGCCCGCGACAACGATCGCGCTCGACCTCTTTAAAGAAGGGGCGATTACGGCCGAAGAGCTCGAAGTGCTTCTCCTCGCCGACAAGCGGTACCTGGATCAAACCACGGAGCAGCCCGAGATCCCGCTGGACCTCAAGATTCTCGCGCTCCATCGCGAGTTTGCGTCCAAGTCGTTTAGCGTCTCGCGCGCAGTCGTGCTACTGCATCAGAACCTCGAGAGCGACCCGCTGCTGTTCAAACCGATCCTCGAGCGCCTCCTCTCGTTCTCGTACGACGCCAAGATCAACCAGGTCGAGTTTTACTGGCCGCAAATTGTGCACGCGTACCTCAACATTCCCGTCTTTGAGTTTGAGAAGCTCTTTTGGATGGACGAGCTCGTGCTCTCGATCTGCTCGCGCTCGATCCACCTCGCGCTGCTCCTGATTTGGCAGCTCCGCGGCGCACTCGAAGACGCGATGGACCCGCTTGCGACCTTGCGCACTCAGAGCACGTTTGCCCGCGTCGCGCGCCTCATGGTCGAGATTGAGGTCCACGTCATTGGCTCGTCGCGCCAAGAAGTGCTGCAGCAGTCGTCGGCCAAGAAAATTCTCCCGATTCTGACCGAAGACCAGCTCGCGCTCGTCCACACGCTCATGGACAACATGGCGATCTATCGCCGTGACGCGACGCCGTCGACGACGCCGCTGCCCACGGAGCTCGACGCGCAGTACGCCGACTTTTCTGGCTTTCAGCAGCATTTGCTCCAGCCCAAGGAAAAACGATGCTGCCGCCGGCCCCGATCGTCGATTGGGCGACAGGCGACGCCAAGCCCGAGCCGCTCCGCCGCCGCCGGACCATGAGCATGGCCGAAAAGTCGGTGCTCGCAACCTTTTACGCCGAAGAGTGCGCCTTTGTGGAGCAGATCACGGACATTGCCGAGAAGCTGCGGTTTGTACCAATGGCCGAGCGCAAGCCGATGCTGGCCAAGCACCTCGAGACGTTTTCGCTGCCGCCCAACGCGTACATCCCGCTCGTCAAAGCCACGGACCCGTTTGAGCAGGTCGTGCGTCTCCCGCCCAAAGAAGGCACTGCATTTAGCACGAAAGCGCGCGTTCCAATCTTGCTCATCTTTGAGGTCGTGCGCGGGGCCAACTCGAGTCTGCAGATCACGTCGCCGGGTAGCGCGCGTCCACTCCTGACGCCGCAAGCGTCGACGACCGCGGCGTACGAGATCGACGAAGAGGTCCGGCACTTGATCAACCGACAGAGCATCGACGCGCCGACGCCCGAGACGCCGTTAACGACCGCGGCACCGACGACACCCTGCCACGTCCGACGACGATGACGACGACGACGATGATGATGACGGGCGGAATGGGATCCGCCCGATGCCACACGGTCACTTGGCGACGTCGAACACGGCATCCGGCTCGCTCGAGATGGACCTGTCGTCCATGCACGTCTCGGACGAGGTGATGGCGATGGAGCGGGATCGGAAGAAGGACCTCGAGGCGGCGTTTGGCGAGTCGTGGCTCTCAAAGCGCGAGCGGATACGCGCAAGCTCGCCGCACGGACACCTCCCGGGCTGGGACATTGTGTCGATGATTGGCAAGAGCAACGACGACATGCGGCAAGAAGTCTTTACGCTGCAGCTCGTCCAAAAGTTTCTCGAGATCTTCAAGGCCGCCAACCTCCCGATCTGGCTTAAAGTCTACCGCATCATTGCCACGTCGTCGTCGGCCGGTCTTGTCGAGACGCTCACGAATGCGATTTCGCTCGACGGCCTCAAGAAGCGCGACGGCTACGTGAGCTTACTGCATCACTTTGAAAAGTCGTACGGCGCGGCCGAGACGTTTGCGGCGGCTCAGACCAAGTTTATCCAGTCGATGGCCGGCTACTCGCTCGTGAGTTACTTTCTCCAGATCAAGGACCGGCACAACGGCAACATCATGCTCGACAACGAAGGCCACATCATCCACATTGACTACGGCTTCCTCCTCGGTATCGCGCCTGGCGGCAGCTTTAGCATCGAAACCGCGCCGTTCAAGCTCACGACCGAGATGGTCGACACGATGGGCGGCCCTGACTCGGAGGGCTTTAAAGAGTACGTGACGCTCTGCACGCGAGGCTTTCTCGCGCTCCAGCCGCACTGCGACGAGCTCTGCGACCTCGTTGGCATCATGGCGCAGCACTCGCCGTACCCGTGCTTTGCCAACAAGGACGTGTCGTACGTCCTGTCTCGGTTCCGGTCGCGCTTCAAGGTGGCCATGTCCAAGCACGACGTCGTCGCGCACATGCTCTACTTGATCCGCAAGAGCCACGGCAACTACAGCACGCGCCAGTACGACGCATTCCAGCGCATGACCAACGGCATTTACCCCTAACCGCGATCTAAGAACCCCGTTTGCATTTGCATCGAGTCGCCGACCGCTGGCGACGACCATGCCGTTGCTAGACAACGGGAAGCTTCGGAGGGTCCTTTGCTAAATAGCAGGAAAAGTGCGACACTGCGATCTCGCAATTTCAAGTTGGGTGCGAGTAGCCGCGTCGTCAATGGTTGCTCTGCGGAATCTTTGATCTTGACCTTGCGCTCATTGCACGTGTGCAACGCCGCCTGGCACGACGGCTGCATAGACCGCGCTTGAGCGCGATCGGGCGATGTCGAGACCAAGGTGGTGTATGTGGCCATCGCAGGTGCACAAACGAACCGATCCCCCCGCTCGTACATGCCGCAAGAGAGTCTCGGTGTCTGTATGACGTTGCTGCTTTTATGCTATCAGAAACTAAGAAATTTTCGTCACCGCGGCAAGGCATAGCTTTCTCTTGTTGGCATTACGCACGCCAAAGAACTGCTGCGCAGTGGGCGCCTTTTGTCATCCAAGACGACTGCCACTCATTCGATGGAACGTGATGTTAGCAACACGGGTGCTGGCAACTCTCAACGCATGCGACCGAGTAGCCACCACCGCACACGACCAGGTCTACGCCCGAATCCACAAGCGCACTTGGCGACGACGACGACGACGACAACACTCTCCAGAACGCGGTACACGCCCTCGAGGCGCGTCCGGTCCGATACACGAGTGTCGCCGTATGTGCAGCGATGCAGCTCGTGGTGGGTGATTGTGGGTGGCGGCATCAGATCCGAGAAATACCATCACGGCTGCGAGTAGGTAGTGAAGTAGCTCTTAATTTATTGACGGCTGTCGGTCGCTCTGCGCGTTTCGGGTATATTAGCTACTACTCTAAGAGTAGCTATGTACGTTGAGAGGCGAGAGCTCTGCGAAAAATAGTGGCCGCTGCCGACCACATCAAGCGCTCGTTTTTATGCGGTGCGCGCCAGTGAGCACGCAAGCGTGGGACTGCGCACTGAAACCAGAGTGGCGTTCCGGCCTTGTGGTGCGTGGCGACAGAGTGCAAGAAGGAGCGGGCTCGGCACTCTGTCCGACGCCGCGGCGTGTAGACGGAAAGGCGGCCTGTAACGAAACGCTCGGCAGTTTCATACGGCTGGTAGCCACCCGTTTTGTGCAAGTGCAATCCTGGAGCGGCTCTGGTCTCGTAAGGAGCGCACGTTTAGACAACCAGCGCCTCAAAGCGCCCTCTTCTTATGCTTGGAAATCCTTGGACGCGTAGACGTACGGCAGTGGTAGTTGAGCGATATATATATCCATTCGTGCACGACATTGGCTGCTGGTTTGTGTGGGCTGGCGACACACTTGCGCTCGTGGCGCCTCGACAAGCGCGCCGCAAGTTCAAAAGCGCGCAGCTGGCCTTGTTGCAGAGATTCTACCGTATACACCGGGGTCCAATGGCATCGAGACGCTTCGTGGAAGGGATGATGACGACGTGCCCCGGGGGTTCCAGCCGGCGATTCTTCAACCGGAGCGTGGGACGACGCCGCGTGTCGCAAACTCGGGCTATTGGGTCACTAATTTAATTCGAGCGAGCATACGCGGGGCGGGTGTTTTTATTGTGCATGCGTTCAGCGGGCGCTGGCAGCCCGAGATGTGATGGCCCAGCTGGAGCGTCTCGATAGCAAGCGGCGTGGCGAGCTTCTACACTGCATTATCACATTTACAACGGACAAAGCAGCCGGTCGTACGATGGCGCTCACGTTGCCCCAGTTTCACACGTCGGCGTACTCGCACCCGCTCCTCACCGTGCACGTGCCGCCGAGCATGGACCGCCGCGAGCGCCGCTTCCAGTGCGAAGAGCCCGGCTGCGGCAAGCGCTTCAACCGCAAGTTCACGCTCAAGGAGCACATGAAGACGCACACGGGCGCGCGCCCGTACATTTGCGACTACGAGGGCTGCACCTCGAGCTTCTCGACGTCCGGGAACCTCAGCCGCCACAAGTTTACGCACACGGGCGAGAAGCCGTACGGCTGCACGATCGCCATGTGCACGAAGCGCTTCTGCACGAAGGAGAAGCTCGCGCGCCACATGAAGACGCACTCGGGCATCCGCCCGTTCTCGTGCAAGGTCGACGGCTGCCACAAAAAGTTCTCAACCTCCGGCAACCTCGGTCGCCACATGAAGACGCACCGCAGCCACGTCGCGTCGTCGCCGTCGACGCAAGGTAGCAGCGGCAGCGAGCACCACGGCCAGCACGAACTCGACCACGACATCATCTCGGCGCTCTCGTCGCCGGGCAAGCAGGCCGCGCAGCAAGCCAAGTGGAAGGCCGACAAGCCGCGCTTCCCGACCATCATGCGCAGCCAGTCGGACTTTAGCGTGCGCAGCTTCAACACGCCCAACAACATGCACATTGCGGTGCCGCAGTCGTCGTCCTCGAGCGCCGGCCGCCTCCAGTTCAACCTTTTCGACTCGCCGCTGAGCACATCGAACGGATCGTCGTCGTACTCGTGGCCGCCGGCGCAGTTTCCGTCGTCGACGTACCACCACCACCACGGCGGTAGCTACGGCTCGGGGCTCACGATCACGAGCCAGTACCAGAACAGCAGCAACGGCGGCTTCAAGATCGAGCACGACCTCCTCCGCGACGCGATCCCGCAGTACGAGCCGCTGCCGTTTGACCGCACGGGGGTGCCCAAGATCTCGCGGTCGCAGTCGGACGGCGCGGTGCTTGGCCACTCGGACTTGATGAACGACTTCTACTACGACCACTGAGCCGTCGACGCCCCGTTCTTGTACATTAGCTCTGTTAGATTGCGTGTCAACCTCCACCTCGTTTCCCTAAACTTATAAAAACACCCGACCTGTACCTCTCCGACCTGAGAGCTGGTGCGTGTCGAATGCTGCCGCGTAACTCACTCTACGGCGACGCAGCGGCTGCTATGACGCAGGTGATAGGCGCCGCGGATCGCGCTGCCGCTTTCATCAATCGTTCGAGCAATTACGCAGCTGCGCTCTCGACAGCCGCACCAAGCACATGTTTCCTCAGCTGTAATACCACGTGGCGAGATCTTCTTCGGAGGACGGCACCCTTGGGAACATGCCTTGGGACCATGCCTTGGGCTGCACGAGACAGAGGAGGAGGCTCGGGCGCGCAGCGTCAATGAAAGCGGCTACGTGGTCTGCGAGCCTAAGCCGATCCCGAGATGTGGAAGTTCGTCGAACGTTCGTTCGTACCTATTTCGAGCCGGCTTGATGACGGCCACCAAGAGCGTCAAAGACACCTCGCTGCCGCCGGTACGTCAAGGCCACGCGACCCTGGTCCTGAGAACTCTGTAGCTCTGCGGATTGGATGACGTGGGACTGCGACGCGAGGTGCGAAACCGGCTTATTTGCACTTGGATCGATCGACGGCAAGTAGGTGCAGCAATCGTCCTCGCTTCGAGAGCGTTCAAAGACCATGGCCATCGAGACCGAGACACCACGTGGCGCGTCGGCAGCTGACGACGCGCCATGTAAAGGCTTTGAGAAACACCGCGTCTTTGGCCCATCGGCCGAGGCCGTCCGCGCCGTCGTGCGCCTCCAGCCACTTCGCCCGCCCAGCGCCATGCTCGCACAGCGCTCCGAGGGCAGCCTCGCGCCCATTCAGCACCATCCGCTGCCGGTAGACGACGTCGAATGCGCATCGCTCATGTGCTCGTCTGTCTAGCGCTCCGTGACGGCGCCCGCGGATGGCAAGGAGCCCGTCGCCCTCGACGCTCCCTCCAGCGTCCGTGACGATGCATGCATGCACCGTCGTCCTCACGCGATGCATGTAGAGCCTTCGCCCGCCGCGTCGAGCACCGCGCGCGATCCTCGACGACCTTGCCTTGCTCGCGCGCGCGCTGTGCCCGTTCGTGTGCACGCCTGCGCAGTGGGGCGGCCTCCGCCCGCGCCTTCTGCGGCTGCTTCAGAAGCGCGACTTTGACGCGCATGACGTCGTATCGCCCGTCTCTTCTCTCTCGCCGCTTGTCGTTCTCGTCGCTGGATCCGTGCAATGTGGCGACGACGGCGACGTGCTCCATGCCGGGCACTTGGTCGGCGGCGATAGCTGGCTCTTCGATGCGGTGACGCAATCCAAGGTCGTTGCAACGTCTCCAACGACCGCGTACGTCCTGCCACGATCGGCGCGGGCGCATGTCCTCGCGCTCGCAACGCCCGAGTCGCTCCTTTCCCAGGCCACACGCCTCGCCTCGGTGCTCGCGCAGGACCCTGCGTGGGCGGGCGTCGCGCCAAGGGACGTGTGGCAGCATCGATGCACAGCGACCACGTCATCGTTGCGCCACGCCTGCGAACCGGCCAGTGTCCACCTCCTCTTGCATGGCACTGCATCCTGCCACGATGTACCCCTCGAGGTCGGCACCCTTCTTGTCTCGAGCTCGCCGCGCGCGCTGGTGCCAAGCGCGGGGGCGGTGTGGGTGCAGCTTACGCACGCCGAGGTCGCGGCGCTCCTCGGCGACGACGCTGCTTGTGCGTACGTGAGTCGATGCGAGGTAGGCCGACGAGTAGCGAGGGCCTCACAAATGGATTGTTGAAGGTCGAGCCAGGCAGCAGCAGCATCGACGAGTTCGAGCTCCTGCAAGCGCTCGGGGCCGGCGCGTTTGCCTCCGTGTCGCTGGCCTTGCACCGGCCCACGAGCGCGCTGTGCGCACTCAAGATCATTCCCAAGAACGGGCTGCCGTCGCTCAAGCTTGCGCGCCAGGCCGTCACCGAGCGTGACGTGCTGGCCTCGGTGCATAGCCCGTTCGTAGCGCGCTACCTCACGTCGTTCCAGGACGACTGGAATCTTTACCTGGCGTCCGAGTTTGTGCAAGGCGGCGAGCTCTACGAGCGGGTGCATGGCCCACACGCCGCCGTCCTCGACGAGTCGGCCGTGCTCTTCTACGCCGCGAACGTGGCGCTCGCCCTCGACGCGTTCCACACCAGCGGCATCGTCTACCGCGATCTGAAGCTCGAGAACGTCCTGCTCGGCGCCAACGGGTACCTCAAACTCATCGACTGTGGCTTCGCACGCCATGTCATACACGCACGCGCTTACACGCTCTGCGGCACGCCCGAGTACATGGTAGGCGCGTCACGAGCGCTGCTGGAAGTATCGATGGCATCGCTGTAGGCACCCGAATTGATTGCAGGGCGTGGCTACGGTCGGGCCGTCGACTTTTGTGCGAGACAACCTTGATAAAAGGCAGTGGGCTCAACGCGGTAGTTGTAGGGGCTCTGGGGGCGCTCGTCTATGAGTTGGCGACCGGCCACTCACTCTTTGCCCGCGACGACGGGAACCAAACGCTCGTGATGGCGCGAATCCGCGCCGTGCCGACCCTCGGGCTGCCGCTCGGTCCCGAGTTTCAAGTCTCTTGCAGCCCTCGTCTGCGGTCGCTCATCCTGGAGCTGCTGCACGTCGACCCGACAAAGCGATTGGGGGCGCGGGGGCTTCAAGAGGTGGAAGAGCACGCTGCCTTTGCCGACCTCAACTGGTCGGCGCTGCGGGCCCAAGCCATCGCCGCACCGTACGTTCCAGCGCTGACGAGCCCGCGCGACACGCAGCATTTTCACTTTCACACCGTCGACGACCAAGACGACGCTTTCGAGAGCATCGAGTCCCCCGCCACCGAGCTCCAAGCCGCCTTTGCGACTATCTTTGCTATGTTTTAAGTTGCTGTACACAAGTCACCTCGGTTCGACAGGGCAGTTCTTCGGTTAGAGCAAAAGAACGCTGAGCGCGGTCGTCAACTGGCGCTTGTTCCGGTCGCGAAGACTCTCGAGGAGGCCAGCAACGCGTCGAATCTCGTCGTCGCTGAGCTCTGTAGCGCGCACTTGACGCGGACACAGCTCGTCCACGACACCCTTGCGACACGTCGCCTAGCCACAGCCCCGGCTTGCAAGAAGCACCAGAGGAAGCGACGACGTCGTACCACTGCTTGGGAGACCGCCGCTGCGTGGGCACTGCACTGGTCCTTGACAAGCGCGTCGAGCGACGCCAGCCTAGGAGACGTCACGTCACGTGCATTGCGTTTTCAAAAGCCATACGCCACATCGCGCGCCAGCTGGTCGAGAACGTCGGCCGTCGCGTTTTCTTCCTGGGACGCCGCCTCGTGTCTGCAATCCACCATCATAAGGCGCGGTTGGAGGAGGGGATGCGACGTACGGGAGGCCATCGAGCACATTTTCCCAGTGGTGCCAGCGCGTCGTGGAGCAAAGCTACAAGCAGCGTGTCAGCGACCGCCTTTGGTGCTGCAGTAGTACCCCGTGGGGGGGTGTCAAGACGCACTCGTCATGGATCGCGCATGGGGGCGCGAGGGGTACGAGCTTCGATACGCTCTCCCAGCGCCATTCCACGTGCAGGAGCGCGGCCATGAGACGCCCGAGAACGTCGGGCGCCATCGCGACATCGGCCGGCTCGAAGCGGACACCGCAGGTCTCGGCGAGCGACCGCAGTTCGTCGAGCCGCAACGCGCACGCGTCAGGCGAGAGCTCCTGCGTCTCTGTCACATCTGCAAATACCACAAGTAGCTGCGACGGCGTGAGGCCCACGGGCGCTGGCCGTTCGGACAGCGGCAAGCATGACTGCAGCGGCAAGTGCATCTGCATCGCCCGCGCGGCTTGGTGGAGGTACCGCGCCTGGTCGCTGCGCGCCATGGTCGGGTGGTCGATCCACACGCGCAAGTTGACGGCTGGAAAGGCCATGATAAGAAATGGGATCGGGGATGTAGCGGATGGTGGCGTTGGCGGTGGCGTCCGCGACGCGCGCGGGCGCTTGGCGGTCGGCGACACGACATCCATGTCGTCGACGGGCTTGGTCAGCTTGTGCATGCGGCTATGGTCGACCCAGTAGAGCGTGTCGAGCATGCGCAGGTACAGCGCGACGTTCTTATTGCCATTGATCGTCGTCGTGCGCAAGTAGAGATGGCAGGGAAACTGCGTCTGGTCGCCAAACCGTCGAGAAAAGCCGCAGAACGCGTGCTCGCCGACGTGGAGCCCAGCGCAGAGACCGAGGTCGTTCGGCAGAAGCGGTCGCAGCGCGTCGCCGCTGGCCGCGTCCTTGCCGTTGGCGACGAGCGCTGCGAATGCGTCGGTTGCGACCGCGTCGTGGCGTAGCCACGGCTGCGTGCCCAAAAACGCTTCCAAGTCCATCCGGAAATGCAATGTCGTATCCGGCCGATCGGCGTCTTTTTTTACAATCCGTCCAAGTACCTCGCGATTTGTATGGGAGCGTACGCAGCGTCAAAAGGACTCAACTTTGCCCAGCCAAGACTTCGACAAACGTCGAGCAGGAAGCGATGGTACGCGCTGCGAGCCTGCGTGGCCGATGCTCATGCTGCGTTGGCATGTACCTAGTCGCTCAATAGCAAGCAAGAGACCCTCGTGAAGAGCCTCGTCGACTTTACCAGCTGCTCGCGGTCCGAGGCCATTGCCCTCCTCAAGAAGCATGCGTGGAGCGTCTCGACGGCCGCCGACAAGTACTTTGAGGAGAACGCCAACATGTGAGCAATGCTTCCGCCTTGTATTGGCGGCTCAAACAGCTCGGTAGTGCGAACTTGACCATTGTCAACGAAGCGACGATTGCCGCTTGGTTTGATACATACGCCGGTAAGCGCTTCGGGCTGCCATCCCTCGAGCAACGTGACGTAGATTACGACGACCCGGACTGCATGCTCGACGATGGCATCCTCAAGTTTTGCGACGACATTGGCATTGACGCCCAGGACATTGTCGTGCTCGTCATTGCGTGGAAGATGCAGGCGGCGGCCATGTGCACGTTCACAAAGAAGGAGTTTGTGCGCGGTATGAAGGAGATGGGGTACGTCGCGACTCGAATCAAGGCATAATGGCATCGAGCCTCGTCGTTGTCTCTAGGTGTGAGTCGGCGAGCCAGCTCTCGGCCAAGCTCCCAGGTCTCCGCGCGCTCCTCGCGGACCCGTCGAGTTTCAAGCCGTTCTACTCGTTTTGCTTTCTGTATTCAAAAGACCAGGGCCAAAAGAGTCTGGGCAAAGAGATGGCGATCGCGATGTGGGAGCTCGTCCTCGCCGAGCGCTTCCCGAAGACGAAAGACTGGATCGCGTTTCTCGAGACGCACAACAGCCACGGCGTGACGCGCGACACGTGGGACCTCTTCTTCGACTTTATGCTCAAGGTCGAGACGTCCTATGACGCGTACGACGAGAACGAAGCGTGGCCCGTCCTCATCGACGACTTCATGACGCACATCGAGGCCCAGAAAAAGTAGTTTCCACATCCCTTGACGCCTCTAGCTGTCGCCATGTAGCCCTTCCCGATAAGCTTTTTCCAAGATCGTCCTCCTTCTACTGTAATACCGACCACCACGGACGTCGGGGTGCCATGAGAGTGGGTCTTGGCACACCCGAGAGAGACGCCGCCATCGGCCATCGGCGGGCATAAGCTATGACATGAATTCGGAACGGCAATATGTGGGCGGAAAGCTACGGGATCGGGCGTCGGCCATGCACGGGGCTGCTACAGCCCACGTAGGCGCTCTCGTCGCTGGAGGCTGGCGCGTGGTGCCACCCGACTGCGGTCTTGCGAAACTGGACGACGGTGCCGACGACGAAGAGGACGGTGGTACCGGCCATGTAGCCCCACCACGCGCTGCCAATGTCGTACGAGTAGTGCCCGGATGCGGCTCGATGGCGCAGCGCTTCGAGGTGGTTGCCGCTGGGGTACCCGCCCGCAAAGTACCCAACGCCCCAGAGGCACGCGACCGCGCCAGTGAAGCTCGTCGCGAGAATCAAGACCGGCCGCTCGAGGCAGCGCGCAAGAAGCGCACCGGCGAGTCCGAGGACCGCGATGAGCACATAGAGCATGCCAGACGGGTTGGACGGCCATAGCTTGTAGCCAAAGGATGTGTTGAGGACAAAGGCGAGGAGGACGCCGGCGGCGGCGCCGATGACAACGAGCCCCGTGCGCCAGAGGCAGAGGACCGTCGCGCCGACGACGATGCCGCCCGCAAGAAAGCAGACCCAGTGCGCGGTCGTCGCGAACGACTGCGTCGTAAAGATGGCTTCGGCCAGAAGGTACGCAAGGACCGCGCCGACGCCAAAGCCGCTGAGGAAGAGCACGGGCCGGAAGAGCCGGTAGCCGGCCAGCGCCACGATCAAGCCGAGGCCAATGCCGGCGCCCGCGAGGATGCTCGGCGGCACGTGGCCGTGCACCGTCGCGTTCACAAGGTGGTTGGTCGCCTTGTCGAAGGAGCTGCTACCATCAATCGTAAGGTTGACGGCGCCCGAGGCGGCGACGACGCTGAGAACCAGCACGCAGGCCACGAGGTCCATCGGCGAAAAGATACAAACGCATTTCGAAAGGGCGCGTCCAACGATACCGTCTGCGTTGTGGGTAGGTCCTGGGCTCGGAGGCACCCACACCATCGGAGAGTCTTGGCCGCGATCTCCACACGCTCCTTTGTGAAGCGACGACCAGATCCTTCGCCGCCTTCACGCCGACGGTAGCGACGACGCTTCAAACCAACACATTGATGATCAACGGGAGCAGGGTCACCAGCTCGGTTGGCACCAAGACATTGAAACAACCACCATGCCCAAGAGCCAGGTGAAGACGAGTGAGACGACGTGTGTTGGCACCCACGCAACGCTGTGCATCGCGTCGACTGTCGCCACCGTAGCCGGCTCCAATAGTGCCATGCGAGCTATCGCAAAACATCCTTTTAAAATTCAAAGTCGAGTAGTTGCTTCCTAGCACGAGCCGCACGGGTTTTGGCAAGTCCTTGGCGACTCCGACCTCTGGGCGCACCATGCTAGACCACACGATACAGTCCACAGTGCTATAGAAGGCCCACGATATAAGTACACATTCGGAATACATGCATTAGAGGTCCAACACTTAAGCACAATGACTTAGACGTGCGAAATCGGCTGGCCACGGGGCGGGCCGGATGTCGCGACCGCGTCCTTGCGGCGCGGGTTCGAGTGCACGATGCCAGCCGCGGTCTTGTGGAACTGCACGTACACGCCCAGCCCAAAGAGGAGAGCCGTCGCCGCCAAGTAGGCCCACCACGCCTTGGGCAAGTCGTAGACGAACGTCCCGTCGGCCGCTTGCGTGCGCCACGCGTCGAGCTCGGCACCGCTCGGGTATTGACCCGCAAAGTACCCGACACCCCACGTCGCCGCAATCGCACCAAACATGCTCGTCGAGACAATGAGCATCGGCCGCTCCAACCAGATGGCCAAGCCGCCGGCGAGGAGCCCGAGCACGATGATGAGGATCCAGAGACTCGTCGTCGGATTCGACGGGTAGATTTTGTACCCGATGGACGTGTTGAGCTCGAACGCGAGGAGGACACCGGCGGCCGCACCGACGAGGAAGACGCCGCAGACCCAGAGGTTCATGACGATCGAGCCGACGAGGAGCCCGAGGACGAGGAAGGCAATCCAGGACGCAGTCACCACGTACGACTGGCCGCTAAAGATCTGTTCCGCAAGCAGGTAGCCGAGAACCGACCCGACCGCGAAGCCGCAGATGAACATGACGGGGCGAAACAGCTTGTAGCCGAAGAACGTGACGACGACGCCGCCAATGAGCGAAATCGTAGCCACGAGGCCCGGCGCCCATGCGATGCTCGAGGCCGACGAGAAGAGCGCGTTGGCGTTCTGGTCGAACGTCGAGTTGCCGCTCGTGATGTTGGCGGCGGCGCTGATGCCGGGCACCAGCAGCGCGAGCAGCAAGCAGGCCGAGAGGAGGGCAGTTTGCCGGGCCATGCCAATTTGGGAAATGACCAAGATACCGATGTATGTATCTTCTACCTTGGTCCACTGTATGCAAGATTCTAGCCAATGGCATCGCGTCGAACAACCATGACCCGCGAAACCGGTTAACTTTCCAGTTGAAGAGTACCATGTCTTGCAGGTTAAATACCTGTAGCATCCCATACACGAGGAAACTAAATATACGATATTGCCAATACCAATACTTCTATGCTTCGATAACCCCGTCAAACATAATATTTCATGGCCGCGGCCGCCTGTGGCCAAGGAAAACACCAGCTTCGACGACAGAGCGACCTGTGCCGTCGCATCGAGAAAAGCTTGGGGCACTTTCTTCTAAAGAAGATCAGGACGACCAAGGTGACGTTTGGGGACCATGTCGTGGTGCAATATAGATGCCCACATTGAGGGCGGGACGATGTTGACGGGAGATATAATGCAGCAGCTTATGGAGCCCAAGCCTGTACGTGCTCCAGCCTACCCCAGAGGCGATTGACGCTGCATTTAAATCCAAGACACAACAGTACGACCGCAGGCTGTAATCGCACAGCGTTTCCACCAAATGACGTGGCAGTCGGTGGTGCACGCATCTGGATACAACGGTACAGTGGCGTGCGTTTAGCCAGCGGTTACAGCATCTTCGAACTTCGTTTCATTTGGTTGTCGTTGGCGTCGAGCAGATAATAGCAACGGCCATGGACCGCGTTCGATCGGCGCTGGACGAGCTCGTTCTGCAGGCCAAGAAGAGCTTCCGGAGTCTCGCCGAGGACGACCGGTCGCCGGTCGAGAAGCTGCTCGACATGCACCTCGACGATGCGGCGCTCGTCGGCCCACCGACGGCCGCGCTCCACGACTTTGCCTCGCGTACCTTCAACGTCGTGGACTGCAAGCGCATCTTGCAGCGTCTCTGGCACATGATCGAGACTGCGCCCGACCGCCCGCACGTCCTGCGCAAGGTGCGTCGCATAGCTCCTGCTTGCATGCGTGTATTGTATTAGGTGCTCGTGGTGTTGCACCACTGCGTCCTCCATGGCAGCGACGCGTTTCTCAACGCTGCGTTAGCCAAGAAGCCGCTCTTGCGCGACCTCGCGCTCCATTACAACCGGGACGAAAGCCAGCAGTACAGGTACAGCAAGGACGTGGACGCAGGCGCAGGCGTGCGCAAGCTCGCAGCCGACCTCTTTGACGTCCTCCACTCGCCACCGGCACTACACGACGCCCGGTCGGCCGCGCTGCAGCTACAGAAGAAGCTCTCGGCCTCTGGCATTGGCCTCTTATCGCCGTCGGCATCGCCGCGGCCGAGCACCTACTTTGACACTTCGCGGCCCGCGCCGTACACGGACGACCCGTCACCGTCGTCCTGGGAGCTCGGCGGTCGAGGCCACGTTTGCCACGATGTCAAGGACGCTGCCGATGCGCACTGATGACATTGTTTCAATCACAGACCTAATGCACTTGCTTGGAGATGATGCTGGGCGCGACCAGCGTCTCGGTGACGGGCTCGGTCGCGAGGACTTGAAGCGCCGACCACGTCGCTGGCTCGGTCGCAAAGATGACGGTCACGCGCTTCCGGAACGCGACGAGCACTTGGCCAAACTCCATGTAGCCCTATACATGTCGATGAGCCCAACACATTGCTGTGGAGACAGCGTACGGCGCCCATTTCGACAAAGAGGCGGTCGAGAATCGGAAAGAGGAGGCAAAACATGTCTTCAAAGACCGTGTTGAGCACGTCGCCGGCGACGTCGTCCCACGTCTCGTACTGGCTCAATGACGCGTGGAGCGACGCGCGGCTGAGCGCAGTCGCCGACGCCGCGTCGCCCTTCTTCTCGACGTCATTGGCGATGAAGGCGACGAAGGTCTTGGGCGCGCTCGAGACGCACCCGTCAAAGTGCGAGCCCGCGTCGCCAATGCCAAGAAACTCGACCAGCGTCGCGACCACGTTGATGCAGGCGATCGCAAATGGGTAATTCTGGAGGTTGCCTTCGCTGACGCCGTGCCGGATGCGGTTCATAATGGACGTTGCGAGCTTCGTGTGGTGCCGCACAAAGTAAATGAGGCAGTGGAGCCCGAGGAGCCCGCTCGCGCGCAAGTCCGAGGGCGGCCCGCCTCTACACATGCCCACGATCGAACGTTTGGTACCAAAAGATGCATGATGTACCGCTGAAAGCCGATTTCTTGCCAACGCACGTCCGTGTTGGACACAAAGACGTCGGACGGGAAGACGTACGTCCAGAGCTGCTTGAGCATCGCGTCAATGAGCTTTTGGTCTTTCGCCGGAGCGTTGCCTTCGGGCTTGACGCTGGCCTTCAAGAGCTTTCGCAGCTTCATGACGGTCCGCACACACGTGCGCCGGATCTTCTCGCGCTTGTCCATTTCGGCGTCAATGATCTCGCGCGGTAGAATCGACGCGGCGAGGATCGCAGAGTACCACGACTTGCACTCGAGCGCCGAGTCGCAGATCATGACGTGCCGGCCCAAGTAGAGCGTGTCGGTCGCGGCGTCCATCGAGACGCGGAGCTCCTTCAATGGCAGCACAAACCACGGCCGGACCAGCGTCGCGTGCTCGGGAAAGAACGTCAAGAAGGCTTCGTGCAATTTGACGTGGAAGCGCCCTTTGAGCGTCGCGTTGTGGCTCGCCTGCTTGCGCTCCATACTCCCCGTCTTGAGCGTGAGCTGCGGGTACCGTTGCCGAAGCTGCTCCGGGTCAATAACGTCGCCATGCGTGATGTGCTGCAGGAGCGCGACCAGATCGTCGCGCGCCGCGGCCGTGTCCAAGTACAACGGCCAGTTGCGGTGTTTCTCCCACGATATTTCGAGGCCGAAGCCCCACTCCGAGTTCTCATGGAGGACGCGAATCGTCTTGAGCGACGCAAAGGGCAGCGTTGTGAGCGTCTCGCCACGCTTGGTGTTGACGATCGTTTGGTCGGCAAAGTTGAGCTCGAGCACGCGCGTCTGCACGTGGTTGCGGTTGCTGCACTTGCGCACGCCGTAGTGGATTAGGAACCCGTCGATGCCCGTCTTGTCCCAGAACGAGCGCAGGCCGCCGGCTACGCATGACGACTTGTTGATACGTTCAACCAGCCAGCAACGCAAACACGCACCGTGGAACGCATTGGTCTGTGAGTCGTTGATCGCGGCCTTGATCGCAGCGATCCACGCGGCCATCTCGACGTTCGAGATGGCTTGGACAAAGTACTCGCGCTGCGCCAAGTCCACCGACGTGGCCACTTTAAACTCGAATTCGCGGTCCCGCGCATTGTTGGCCTTGGTCTTGGGGACCACGGAGCACTGCGAGCTCGACGAGAGGCGGATCGTCTTGAGCGCGGTCTTGGCCTTGCCTGCGGGGGATTTCTAACCATGCGAGAGACGCGTCAGCGATCCGATCGTGGAGATTGGACAAGGTACCTCTTTGGCGTACGTGAGGATTGGTCCGTCCGCGCTACGAGCTGCCTTGTCAAGAAGCAGATAAGAGCGTGGCACCTCGTACCTGTGGGACAAGGTAAACCACCGCCGTCGCCATGTGGGCACGACGCCTCCTTTCTTCATGAGCCAGCCTTGCTTGAGGACGTCGCCGACGTTGGACTGCCGGACGTCGGTGAGATCGTCCGAGTCGACGACCGACATCATGCCGCCTTGTACGGTCAAGCTCGCGCCAAGCCGCGCAAAAAAGTAGTGTCGGCCGAGGTTGGCCTCAAAGCTCTGAATTTGCTCGCGCGAAAACTCGACGCTGCTGGTGCTCGCGCGTCGGTTCTTGCGCGGCTCGTCCATGCCTGGCGTATACGGTCCTTGGGGGCTTCCGAGCTCGTCCGCGAGCTTCCTCGCTGACCCCGTCGGTGTCCGGACCGCGTCCGCGTCGCTTCGCCGGCGAAGTGGCAGCATGAACGCGCCGACAGGGCTGCTCTGCGGCGACATGTCTTCCGAGAACCCGGACGGTGAGATGCCTGAGGATGCAAAGCTCTCGTTGCCGTCCATGCCCACGTGGACGGTGAGCTGCATGAGCGTCTTGACCTGCAAGATCTCACCGGGTCGATCCAAGGCTTCGCTCGTCGCCTCCTACGCAGGATACATGATCATGCCCACGATCGTCCCTCTCTTCCACGCGTCCATGCGCATGGTATCGTCGTACCGAGAGGCTCATGGCGGTACTCTCGCTCGCCGGCGCGTCGGGCCCGTCGACGCTCATCGGCGTCGCAAAAGCAGAACTATATCGAGCGTCAAAAGGTGCTTCCACGTGAGTAATAAAATGCATTTTTAATTGCTTCAACCAATGACGGCGATACAAACGCTTGGCCTTTCTGGCGATTCGGCGTATTTTATTAAAATCGAATTGCAAATTTCCATATTATTTCCGCCCATCTCCGCCGAACCGACAAGGCCGACGACGACGCATGGAGTGGCCGTCGCTGCTGATGCTGCGGGACGCCGTCCAGACCGCGTGCTTCCCGCGCCGGCCAAAGGACCGCGACGTCTCGATCCATTGGGTCACGCGCCATGTACGCACTACGAAGCGACTGGGCGCGGCGAAATCGGTGTCTACTGTAGCTGGTCGCGCTCTTGCAAGAATACCCGGATGGCATCACGCGGCCCGTCGCGCTGACAGAGCTCATGGTGCGCTACCTGCAGTCGCATTCGGAGCGAGTTATGGTCGGCGACCGCGCCAGCGAGACCGACGTACAAGTTGCCGAGCTCCGCCAGTTGATCGCCGCGCGCCACACGCTCGTCCTCGACCTGATATCGCCTCACGCGTCGTCCCAGGAAGACGAGACGCGAGCGCGCGCCGAGACACAAATGTAGTGCTTGACGATGTTCTTGCAATAGCACTCACGACGAGCGAGGTAGGTTCATCCACCAGCGCTTTGAGCGCTTCTTCTCCAACGACCCTGCGTACGTCTGCTCCATCCATGATCGCGCCACATCGCATGCTCCCGCAGGACCCCACATCCGTTCAATCTCAAGCGCAAGCTCTGGCTGACCAACCTGCGACGACTTCAGAGCGCGAACGGTACCATGCTGCATGTAGAGTCGCAGGATCGATCCACGCCTAGACGCCAAGCTGCACCGGTATCTTCCCACCGACTTTATGATCTTTGAGCTTTCGCTGCGGGATGTATGGGACAAAGGCTTCTTAGACCACGCGAATTGCATCACGGCGCTGCTCCAATGGCAGCAGATGCCTCCCGACACGATGCACCAACAGCGGTTCCGCGGCAAGGTACCTCACCCTCTCTCACGCATCTCACACGCGCGCGTAGGTTGTCGACATCTTGGCCGCGCGGCCGTGCGTGGCGTCCGGTGCGCTCCGTAGACAAACGATCCTCATTTCGCCGGGCGCGGCCAATGCACCGACCTTTCTCTTTGTCCTCTGGGACCAGCAGACGCTGCTCAGCCAGCTCCTGCAGCCCGGCGACCTTGTCGTGATCGACTGCCCTTTCTTGCTACCGGTCGACGCCACCCACTCGCCCGAGCACCGAGCGATCTTGGCCGACGTCCCGCCGCACAGCCGCGTCTTTCCGCACATCGCACTCGAGTACGGCTCGTCGACCGTCCTCTTTCGGACGCCGGCGACCGTCCAGCGCGACATCCTCTTGACCCAAGCGAACGAGACCCTCGACATTCCGAAGGAAGAAACCACCAAGTTTGCCAACCTGGCGTACTACCCGTACCCGCTGCAGCTCAACCAGCTCGCGCCGCGCAGCGTCAACGCGTCGCTTCTCGGGCTCGTCGTCGACGTCAAAGTGTCGTCCGCCAGCGCGCTCCTTGCTTCGTTTTGCGCCACGTTTTACAGCTCGCTCGAGCCGCTGCTATGCGTCGAGCTGACCATCTGCGACTGGCACCGGTTGGAAAAGCCGCTGCAGATCGAGTGCGTCGGGGCGGTCGCTGCCACGGCGGTGCGCTGCGCGCTCGGCCACGTCGTGTTCCTTGACGGCGTCGTGCTCGTGGAGGATCCTGCGACCATGCGGCGCGTCGTCGGTCTCTGCGCGGCGTGGCACGACATCCTCGGCATGAAGACGTCGCTGCTAAACGGCAGCCTGGTCAATTGGAGCCAGTTACCGGGGTTTCTGCAGTCGCCGTCGTTCTACACGCCGACACTGCTGTCGGCCAAAGCGCAACCGGCGTCGATTGTGCGCGCCACGATCCTCGACGTCGGGTTCCTCACGCCCGCCGGCGAGATCGACGCGACCTGCGAGCTCGGCGGGGCCGTCCGCATGGTCCACCGCTTCTGCCGTCGCCCGGTGGCGCTCCACCGCCTTGGCACCGCGTGCAACTTTTGCGCGGAAGCCTACGTGCCCGGCCACGAGGCTGCTTTCGCGTCGTCGTTTGGCGACCTCTTGCTGCAGCTCGACGACGGCGCCGCGAGCTCATGGGTGCTCGTGCATGCGACCTGCACCGAGCAGCTCCTTGGTGTCGACCCCCACCTTTTCGAACAGTCGACGTACGCCGAGCAGCAAGCGACGCTCGCCGCACTACGTGGCCAGCTCGTTCTCGGCCTCCTCTCGCTCACGCGACCGCGGTCGTTCAAGTCGGTGCAGATTTCTCGGCGCCTCGACATGGCGCGGCGCGTCACGGGCAGCCTCGGCTCGACCTTGTACCACCAGCTAGACGTTCTGCGCTAACCAACGCAACGTGCTCGCCGTGTTGATGCGTTGTTAGACAAGACAGTCGTGGTCTCGGGCACGATTGGCAGCGTGATGGTGGCGCACGTGGCGCAGACGCATTGCGCGAGGACGGCGTCGCGCGTGACGAGCTGGAGCGTGTGGTGGCGATGGCAGCGCAGACTGCAGAGGCGGCAGAGAGGCGCTAGATTGCAGGTCGTGCAGTCGTAGTGGAGGCCAAGTGGCGCCGGCGAGGATCGCTGCGCGGATGCACACGCACAGGCGCGCGCTAGAGCATCCTGAGCGTGGACCACCAACAAGGTCTTACCGCCGCGCTCGGCAGGAAGCAAGTGCGAGACGACGGGTGGCACGATGAACTGACGGAACCGGTTCATGCGCGTGGCTGAGTCTAGACACGAGCGATGCCGCCTATCGATGGCGTCGCCTTCGTCGTACCTCGCCGGAAACGACAAAGCCCGTGGGCAAACCCAACGGCCACATCGATCGCGAAGCGTGGCGCGATGGCTTCAACGGGCCATGGGACACAGGTCGCCTGCCGCTGCACGCCGTGGCTCGTCTTGCCGTGGGCTCCGTCTCCCCACGTGTACACCTCGCCGTTGGCTACATCCAAGCGTTTGGGACATCGGCCAAGAGCGCTTTACGTACTCAGAAGCGCCACCGAGAAGCGGTCGCCGGCGCGGATCTGAGCAATGCGTCGGGACGAAGCGGCGTACTCGAATTCTTGGACGCACTGGGGTGTGTCGACGTGTTGGACGATGAGGTTGAGGCCGAGCTGCCCAAAGGCGTTCGAGCCAAACGCGTAGAGAAAGGTTCGAACGCCCAGCACGCACACCTACTGCATTCCGAATCCCTTGGAGCAAGCGACAAGGAACGTACGACGAGCGAGTGGTCGCTGCCCGCAGCAACCTTCTCGGCGCGCATACAGCGAAAGTAGGCGACTTCGACAGGAGACGTGACGTCGCGGTCGTCGCCGCCGAGGCCCAAGCACCCGCGTTGACTGCGGCCCCAGCTATACACGGTCGAGCCTACACCAAGGTCCACATTCCATCATTTTCTTCCACCACGCACGCACGCACGCACCGCAGAGCGCCAGCACATGGCTGGTCCCAGCCGCAACCTCGAGTACGCGCGGGAGGCCTTCGACACGCCGCGGCGTCCGCTCGAGGGTCGTGCTACCTAGGCATGCTCGTCGCAAGGCGAGATTGATCCAATAGAGAGCAGCTACGGTGGCCAAGTTGCCCATGTGAGTTGCGGCCCCACGAGTAGAGCTCGCCTTGTGATGTGATCGCGAGGGTAAAGTGGTGCCCCGCGCATATACGAACGACCGGCGTCGGCAATGCCACTGGCTGCGGCACCTAGTTCGCAGGCGGCGGTCGTGCCAAGTCCATCGCGTCGGTGGTGTACCGAGATGCGAGCGTCGGAGCCGAGCCCGAGCTGCCCGTGGCAGCCATCGCCCCATGCGTACACCACGCCGCCGCCGTCGCTCGATGACGCCGTCTCTATCGCCCTTGGCACCGACGCGTTTGCTGTCGCACCTACCGTCGTCGTCGTCGTCGTTTTCTCGGCCGATCGTGAGCGGTCGCACGCGCTGTGGAGCTGCACACGGAAGACACAATAGAAGGTCAACTTGTCGCGACGTGATGGTCGTACCGGAGATGGCAAAGCACGCGCGGGTGCCGGCGGCGACGCTCTGCACGGGTGGCAGTCCATGTACAGGCCGTGGCACCCAGTTGGCCGCCGTGACGTACGCGCCGACGCGGCCGCACTGGTACACTTGTCCAGCATCTACTCATTGCATCGTGCAGGATGGAATATGTGGTTGCTTGGCGCACCGTCGACGAAGAGGCTGAGGTGGCGGCCCGCGGCGACTTGGGCGATCGAGGCATGGCGCAGCGCCGAGACGCGCAGAGGCACGGTCGTGGTCTGTGTGTTGTCGCGACCGAGGCTGCCCTCAACGCCGTCGCCCCTACGATTCCGTGCAGCGACAACGTATTCAAGAGCGCGCTGCTACCAGGCAAACAGGTCGGTCTCGAGAAGCGGCTCGGCCGCGCGCCGCAGCGTCGCCGCCACGCGAAGCTCGTAGCCGATGTGACGGAGGCCAGGCGGCGCGAACGGCGGTGGGTACCGCTCGTCGCGCATGGGAAAGATCGCAGTCGTTTCAGCTCCCGTCTGCGCGTGAAAATAGCTCCATTGAGTCGCATTCCGAGCATCAGCAGCATGGCCTTCTCGGTCGTCGCCAAGCGCTTCCTCAACGTCTGGAACTTCCTCGTGCTCACGTTGGGCTCGCCGTCCTCATCGTGACCGTCTACGCGCTCACGTGCCAAAGCGACACGCGCGCCGTCCCGTCGCTCGGCTACGTGGCGTCGGCCATCTGCGCCGGCCTCCTCGTCTTGCTCTCGGGCCTCGGGCTCTACGGCCTGCGCCAGCACCGCCACTGCGTCACGACCGGACAGCGCAACGTTGCGCTGGGCAGTGTGCGTCGTCTCTTCCAACCTCGAGCGTCCAATTGAAGCGGTGTGGTTGTGCGTAGTATGTGCTGCTCGGCTTTGGCGCAGGCGTCGTCTTGACGCTGGCCGGGACCATTGGCCTCACGCTCAACAGCGCGATCCGCGATGCCCGCGCCAACGACTTTGCCGATGCGCGCGTTGCGTACTTGGAAACAGCCATGATCGAGAACCTGCACACGTATGCGTCCATGTCGCCCACCGGGTGGCAAGAGATGCAGAACGCGTGGTTCTGCTGCGGCTACTACAACGTGTCAGCGATTGATGTGTGCGTGTCTGCGATGTCCTCGCTGCTCGTATCCATGGAGACGACGTACTAGGCACATTGGCCTCGACGAAGCGGCCCACGCGCGCAGCCTCAACCGCATTGCCGGCATCTACTGCGGCACGACCAACTGCACGGCGAACGCGTCTCCGTGCCCGCAGCGCAACCAAGTGTGGTGCAGAGACGTCTTTCTCCAGAACGCAGCGACCAACAACGTCTACATTGGCTGGACATCGCTGGCCGCCGGCGTGGCCCAGGTACGTACTACGTTTAAAAGACGTCAGTTCTGGAACCGTGCGCGATGGCTAGCTCTTTGGCTTCGTCCTCGGCGTGCACATCCTCATGTGCGATGTCCGAATGCTCCAGCAACGGTCTTCGCGCATGCTCGCGGCGTTCATCAAGGCGTAGTCCGCTTGCATGTAATATATGGTGAGAAGAGGGTTAGGGTTGTGTGCATTACATCCAGCACTCGGACTCGTACGCGAACGTGGCCACGCGCGTCGCCGCAATCATCTGGTAGGCCCCTAATGCACAATATGTGTCACGGCGCCGGTGGAAACAAGAAGCAGATACCGCAAGAGAGGGCGCCAAACGCGACACCGTCGGGCATGTCGACCTTGAGTGGCACGGCATCTTGCTTGGAGAGCGGCGCGCCGTTCGCTGCCTCGGGCGAGCCCCAGTTGTACACCTACGATTTTCTGTTTCAAAACAACACACCACAAAGATTATTGCTCCAGCAAGCACCTCGCCCGACGTAGTGATAACGCCTGTGGTGTACGAGCCGCAGCTCACGTGCGTGGCGGCGACATTGGGAATCGGAATGTGCATCGGGGTCATCTGCATCTCGCCGAGACCGATGGCCGCGTCACTCAACTGGCCTGCGAGCGCATCGCCCCAACCAAAGACGCGGCCGTCGGGCGTCACAATGACCGTGTGGTAGGCGCCACAGCCAATCGCGATCGCTCGCACGTCGGGCACGCGCGTCGGAACGAGCGCGTCATCGAGCGAACCGAGTCCGAGCGCACCCGAGCCACCAAAGCCCCACGTATAGACCTAGCACATATGAGTGTCCAGTTTGCATTTCGCAGTCGTACGTTGCCGTCGACGTCGATGGCGGCCGAGTGGCACTCGCCTGCTTCAGCCGACAGAATGTCTACGTCCAAGGCACAGCGCTGCGGCAGATGCCCGTCGTCCTCCGAGCCGACGCCGAGGCGACCGCTGTAGCCCGCGCCGAACGCATAGAGAGCACCGTCTTGTGCCACGGCCAGCGTATGCTCTCGGCCGCAGCCTACCTTGGCGATCGGCGGGAGGTCTACGAGCTGCGGCAAAAGCGCTTTGCCCGACTCGCCCGTGCCGAGGCGGCCGGCTTCGCCCCACCCGAATCCAAAGAGTTGTCCGTCGTTCGTGACGACCATCGAGTGCTCGCGGCCGCAGGACGCATGGAGCGCGATTTTGTCTTGGAAGAAGGCGACGCGCTTGGGCTGCGCGACGGGCTCTTCGTCGCCGTGGCCAAGCCGACCGCACTCACCGTACCCGAACGTATAGAGGCTTCCTTGCGTCGTGATGAGCGCCGCGTGCCGATAGCCGCACGACACGAAGCGGATGCTGTGGACCATGGGCGGCGGGAACCGGAGCATCGTCAGGTCGACGACGCGCGGGCCAAACGACGGCAGCGGCTCGGACGGCGGCGCGTCATGGTTCTGCTGCATGTGACGTTGCTCGACGTCGAGGCTAAGACCCATGACGTTGCCTTGGAGGAAGGCCGACCCGTTCATGGCCCACATGGCCGACGCGACGTCCGTGCGCGGGATCACCATCGCTTTCTCAAAGAGACTCTTGGGCATGAACATCGAGTTGAGATTGAGAAAGTGTCGGTCGATCTTCTTGAACCAAAACTGCGGCGAGAGGAGGCGCGTGACGTCGGTCGACGTCGGTAGCGTCTGCATGAGCAGCTGCAGCATCGCGTTGGATTTCTGCACGTGGGCCATGTGCTCGGGACTCACGTCGCGCGGCGAGAGACTGCGAAAGACGTTGGAGAGCTTGATGATGAGCACAAGGAAGAGCATATGACCGGACGCATTCAGAAGCAAGTGCGACGTGTTGGCCGGACTACCCGTACTACATCAGGCACCACAAACAAAAGACGAAATTGGCTACCGAAACAAGACCCGCAGCCACTTCCACGCGTGCACGTAGAGGCTCAAGAGCGTCTTCCAGTGCTGCTGTCCAGCATCTTCGTACAAGAAGATCTCCAAAAAGAGGCAGCTGAGAAAATAGCCAATCGGCAGAAGCGACACGGACGGGAGCTGGTCGATCTGGCGACGCACGTCCGTCATGATGGCGCGCACTTGACGCGCGTCACGGTTCCTACTCGACCGTGTGAGAGTTTTTGAAGAAACCCAGCAGTGTACCGCGCCGCGGCCATCGCCGAGCGGAGGTTGGCATGGATGCTGCGCTCGAGACAGTACTCTTCGACGTGGTCGCTAATGCCTTCCATGGCACCCGCAACGCGCTCGTCGACACTGCGGAAGAGGTCCAGGTAGCACTCGCCCTTGCTCTTGATAGCACCCTTGTGGAGGGTCTCGCCTTGCGGACGGAACGCCGTCGTCGGTCGCGTCGTGCTGATGGACGTCTTGAAGACCGACTCGAGCTGCATGAGCTGGTGCGAGAAGGACGAGAGGTCGACACGCTCCATATTCGCCCAATCTGTTGCGACCTTGCACTTCTCAAAGCCAATGATGTCGTCGGCTTCGAGCTCCGAGAACCGCAAGGCGTTGCTGTGGGTAAGGAGATGGTCGAGGACGCGGAGGCTCACGTTGAGGCGCAAGTTGCGCAGGAGCGCCATGAAGAGCGGCGCCGGGTTGCGCTTCAGCGTCGCGTGGTATCTTGTCGCGTCCAAGGCGCTCGTCGGGACAAAGTAGGCCGCTACGCAACGACGTCAAAGAGAAAAGATGATGCAGTCAATGCGTACAAGCTGAGAAAGGACCGAGCGAGACCCAGATCGGCAAGTCGACGCCCCAAAACTGACTCGTGACCGGGTCGGGCTCTGTGAGCCCGCGCATGATGGCGTTGACAAGCTCGACGGCGACAGCACTGCGATGCATCTCGGGCTTCGTCAGCAGCTTGAAGCGCAAAAGGTGCTACGACAGAGCATGAGTCGTCGTGCGATCGCCTCGAACTACCTTGGCGACGCGGGCGACAATCTCCGTCATCACGAGCAGCTGGACACCGGCTTGGGTCGACTACATCGCACGTTTACGTCGTCGACTTGCACGGACCATCGCATCGTACCCCGGTGCAGCCAAGAATCGCAGGCAAGAAGGTCATGTTGATGCCGCTTTCCTTCATGAGCGTGCGCAGATGGTTGGTATCGGCCACGTAAATGAACGACCCCGACGACGACGGCTCGTCCTCCTCGTTGCTCGACGACGACGACGGCACGTGGTTCAGAACCGGCGCGTCTTTGGTCGTGCCATCGCCAAGCGTGATGAGGCGCGTCGCAAACTGATAAATGTGGGCGGCGAGAAGCTCCTTGATGCGCACTTCAACGCGCTCGACCTACAAGAGGATAGACAACACATGTCACAAGCGCGCGCATACCGAGCTCGAGGCCACGTCGCGTTCTTGGAGGAGACTCAGAAAGCGCCGCGCTTCCGGATCCAAGCTCAAGACAAAGGCTTCCTTCAGATGCAACGGCAGCCGGCTCGTCTCGGCGTTAAAGGTAAACACAATGTCGCCGTACATCTTGGTCGCGCCAAACTGCGTGGCGCGCGCGTTGACGTCGGTCGACATGATTTCCCGCGCAAAGTACACGACGTCGAGGTACGGCAGAGTCTCAAACTTGCTCTTGATGCCTTTCAGACTCAGATAGTGGACGAGGCCTTTCTTGCTCGCGTCCAGCGTCTCCTTCATCGTCAAGAGCTCGTCGTGCGTCAGCACCTTCATGTCGGTCTCGATACCTTGATACATTGAACGATTTAAAGCTACCTGGATCGGCGCCGACGCATCCAGTGGCACGAGGCAGCCCGCATACTGGTACGGGCGAATGTCCGAGCGAAACACGTCGGCGTACGGAGACGAGATGCGCATGAGGTAGACATCGTCCGAGACGGCGCTCCTACCACCACAAGGATGCCATCGACGGCAACGACATCAACAACGTACCGGTGAATACTCGAGAAGAGGGGCAGTTCGCGGTACGGAAGCGCTTGCAGCACCTGCGTCGGCCGCGTAAAGCGCAAATTGGCGAGCATGTTTTGAATGTGCACGTTGCCCAAGCGCATAGGGTTCGTGTCCCCGAGCGGCTGCGCGCAGACGAGCACGCGCATGTCGCGAATCTACTCGAAACAACAACATGCGAGTTGGATGATCCGACGCGATAAAACACGCGTATTCGAAGCACCTCCAAGCTGGCCGTGAGTGGAAACTTGATTTGGGCGACTTCGCGCAGCTTCTCGTCGCCGAGGCTTGCGGCCGTATTGGCGATCGTCCGAAAGACGTCGTAGAGCTCCTTGAAGGAGCTAAAGACGCGCATGTCCTGCTTGAGCGACTGGTAGCACTTCCAATGGTCCCGTGCGAAAAGCAGCACGAGCGGCGTTGACGTATAGATGGTCAGTTTGGGCTCCGTCGACTCGTCGTCGAACCACCTAAGATGCGCGTGAGCGTTTCTCAGGAAAATGGTCTTGTACGGGTGGGTGCCCGAAGTCCGCTGGTAGACAAAGGGCGATTGGTCGGCCGCATGATGGATCGCGTCGGCCAGCATGAGTGCATACTGATTGAATTGGAGCCAAAGCTGCACCGATAGCATGAGCTCGGTCGCACACAACAGAGAGGATGACGTACGCCGTACATGCGCTTCATGCGGCGCAGCTGCAGCGTAAAGTCGTCGCTGGCCTGGGATCTAGGGCCAACATGGAGCGTCGAGGACGTGCGAGGCGATGTACCGCAGACAGAACTGCCACTCTTTGTTCCAGTCCCGCGGCTTGATCTGGAGCACGAGCCTGCGCCGCTATACCGATCAGTCTGCATGAGCGGTCGAATAGTCGCAGGCTGCACGCACGGCGTCGACGTTGGTTTCTTCCAGCGCGTGCTTGAATGCAGCGGTCCACTCGCGCCGCCCAGCTGCGTTCTCGTCGGCGATTTCTTGCATCGTATTGCGAAACTCGTGGGCCTCGGCCTGTGTGTGAAAGCCGAGCGAGCTCACGTCGCCGTCCCAGTTGACGGTAAAGCTAAAGAACGCGCCGGACTTGACGATCTCGTGGCCAATCTCTGTCTACCCACGCCATGCTCATACGCGGATGCCATCGCAGCTACCTACGTACCTCGACGAGATCCATGCGCTTGCCGTTGGCGCCGCTACGCAAGGACGATGAGGACCATTCGGGGCCGGATCGCGCGGCCTGTACATCTGCGTCTTGTCCCAGATAAGCCAGCCGTCGCTGAGGAGCGAGAGCTGCCGCTGCCGCCACGGCCGCATGAGGCCATGGTTCTTCTTGTACGCGAGGATCGTCGCGATTATGGCCATGGCGCTTGGTCTTTGAGCTGGCACGAAATTACCTCGCGGCAAAACCTCTAGGATATCATATCGACACCCTCGAAAACCTCTATCAATGCATACACTAATCGCACGCCATCTAAATGAGTGGGGACACCGCCTTGTGAGCGCGACGCGGGCCACCCGGGCGCCGCACCACCTACTATAATCCAAGACTGCACGTTGCTCGTAGCAATGGCGCGACGGCGCGTAGGCGGCACCGAACGTTGAGCCACAACAATAAAGTTGCGTGCGTTTAGATGCACGACAGCAGCCAGGATCTTGGGTGAGTAATGGCCGGCGACGTGCACCCACGTCCGGCAGCGATGGGCGTCCTGGCTGCACCCTCGCACTTTGATGGTGGAAACTATCTGGCGACAGTTCAGATCCACTCTGAAGCTATCTCAACGGCTCGAGCATTTTGGATGAGGTGGGGTAGGGTTATTAAATTACGGGGGAGGAACTACAACGCTAGAGAGGACGACGACGGTGGACAGAAACGGCGGCGACTACAGGTAGAGGCCGGGCTCGGAGCTCCCGCTGGCGCGGAACGAGCCTGTCGAGCACGACGTGTCTCGAAAGTCGTCGGCGGAAAAGTGGTCGTCAAACGACCCGACGTCCATCGCGAACGACTGCGAGAAACTCATGAGCGAGTAGTGCGACTCGTAGCTCATGCGGGCGTCCAAAGGTGGTGCGATCTTGGATGCTGCTGCCATTGGCGGGTATGCGCTGCGTGGCGACACGAACGATGGCACGTCCTCAAGCGGCGACGACCGTGCGACGGGAAAGCCGAGGCTCGAACGGTCCGACGTGCGCGGCGAGTACGACCGCGACGAGCGCTGCGACCCATTCGAGTCCCGCGAGGTCTCGACGATGTAGCACGACGACCGGCGCGTGTCGTCGTCCTTCTCCGAGGACATGCGCGGAATGTCGTCGCCTTCAAAGACGAAAAATGAAAACTTGGGGTCCATCGGCGGCGACTGGCCTTCGTCGCTCGGCGGGAGCTGGCCCAGCGTATCGTTCTCTGGCGCTTTCGAGGACGAGAAGGACGACGAGTCAGCGTCCGTCTCGGACGACGAGCGCGGGGACTTGGACGGCCGGTCGTCCAGCTTGGACGCGGTCGACGACGACGACGGGAACGCGGCCTGGATCTGGCGAAAGAGCTCGAGGTTGTTTTCAGCGGCGGCGATCGAGCTCAGCGGATCCACAAACGACATGTAGCTCTGCGTGCGGGACCGGTTCGAAGACTCGGAGACCACGTGCTCCGAGAGCGACGAGAGCGGGCCGGCTTGGTCGTACGACGGCAGCGCGTCTTTCTTGCTACTCGTGTCGAGCTTGTCGGCTACATGATGAAAGTTGGGATTGTCTTCGTTCGAGAGGAGCGAGACAGCAGACGACCCGCGCTTGCGGCCACGCGACGAGAGCATCGCGATCGAGCTCAGCGCCTTGACGTCGGCCGTGTCGGGCAAGTCGCGGATGAGCTCGTTCACGTCGCGCGCGCTCTCAAAGTGGATGCTCGAGTGCTGCAGGCCGTAGTCGGAGCTCATGCTCAGCGTCGGCTTGTCCCGGAACGTCCGCGCGGTCGGCGAGAGCACAGCGCCCTTGGACGACATGCAATTGCCCATGCTGTGCCAAATTTCAACTGAGCCCAGACGCTGTATTTATATACAAACACAAGAAAGGCCAGACCATTATACTTGATTTGGGTATGCGAAGGAGGCGCCGGCGATTTAAATGCCCGTTGCTATCAGGCCATGTGAGTTACGGCGGCCAGTTGACCAAGCGACCAGGTGGCGCGTCGTCGCAGCTTCTCTTGCTCGACGTGTCGCCATCGACGAATCCTCCTGCTTCCTCTGCTCCCTCTTCTTCGGAGTGCATGCTCGGCTCTACGTTCTTAGGTGTAATACGATCGAGATGATTGACGACGGCCGACCACCCTTGGCGGAACTTCAGCGCTTCCACTGAGCGCATGTGCTCGGTGTGACGACGGACGACGACGGACGACGATGCTGGCGTGGTCATTGCTCGCGGTGCTTGGAGGAAGGGTCGACCTTGAACGAATGGAGTTGTGGTGCCAAAGGGATCAACCAACGCGCCCTTGATAGTGCATCGCGCAAGTGATGATCCACGAAACAAGGTGATGGCGTAGAAGATGCGCGGGATGCGGCGGGTGTGGGTTGAACGCAAAAAACGTGCATGGGCTGGGCTTTGACGTGCATTATATTGCGTTAAACACCTGGCCCGCAGGAGCATCGAGTTGCACACGTTGTCCTTGTGCACCGTTGTACGTGCAGCAAGTTGCAGCATTTTGAGGTTGTACGTGCGCCGTCACCTGCAATCGCGCACGTTTCACTGTGGATACACTAGCGGAGTATCCAGTGTCAATTTAGGCTTCTGGCCAGGGGACTTGATTGCAGCGACCGGCCATCGCCTGTGTGAAATTATGTGCAGAAAAGCAAAAGTATATATCGTGATCAAGAACAAGCTGTGTCCCGTCTGGAGCGCCGACGCCACGACCGCGTCTTGTCCCGATGGCGCCTGGAGGAGCTCCACAGATATATTCATGTTGCCACTCGAGGCGCCGACAGATATTGTGCCTGGACGGCGGCGGATCGAGCCCGCGTGCCTACCTCGAAATGACAGTCAAGCACTTGACTTGGTACTGCAGAAGAATAATGTCATTATTGTCCAACATATATGTAGCGTGTTGGTAGCCGCTACGTTTACGGTCCACACCAGAGAAAGAACGGCATTTTGCCGCAGTCTTGCGCCGACCAGCCCACGAGGGACAGAGACGTCGGCGCATAGTAGCAGCCCGTGCTGTCGCCGCAACCTGGCTTGCGCTTTGGTTTCTGCGTCGGCTCAGGCGTCGTCTCGGGGGCTGCCGCTTCCTCTTGCGTCGTCGTCGCCGTGTAGACTGGCGCGACGAAGTCGTTGTGCCCGAGGCTATCGAGCGCGTGGCGCACCGGCTGCGAGAATGCAAACCGGTCAAACCGGTCCCAGTTGATGCTCCACGTCATGACGCCCCGGAACGTCGGGTACGTGTTCTTGGGCTTGATCGTGTCGCAGCCGACGCCGTGCGCGAGACACGTCAAGGCTCGCGCCACCGTCGTCGGCGTCACAAAGCCTCGCCCGGCCGCCTGTGGGCCCGACGGGACGCCAAACGCGACTTGGTCGGGGCGGAGGCCGTTGAACTTCCAGCCTTGACCATAGTTGACGCGGAAGCCGTCCATGAGCATGAGCGAGCCGCCGACAAGGCAGTCGACCGTGCCTTCGTTGATCATGCGGCCATCCGTGTAGACGAACCCGCCGTTGTTGTAGTACTGGACGTGAATGATGCTGAGCTCGTTGCGGAGACCGTCAATGATCGGGAGGTACGCGCCCCAGATACTGCCGTACGCGCCGTAGCCGCCCTGGACGTACGGGTGCTCGGGCGCCATCGAGAGGTAGAACGAGTCGCCGACGCGACGGCGGAGCTCCTTGACGCCGACGATGAGGTTGTCGATGATGGGAAGACCTTGCGAGATACCAGACTCGAGGTCCAGATCGATGCCATCAAAGCCATACTTGCGCAAGAGCCCATGCACCGAGTTGACAAAGTTGTGGCGCTCCATGTCGTTGGCGAGCGAGACCGAGCCGTCTTGGCCGCCCAGCGATAGCACGACCTTCTTGCCTCGCGCTTGGAGCGCTGCAATGTCCTCGATGAACGCCGCTTCCGAGCCCGCGTCTTTATCGAGCTCGAACCCGACGTTGCCGTTGCCTTGGTTGGTGCCAAACGCGACGATGACCACGTCCCAGTCCTTGCTCACCATGCGCAGCGGGTAGGTTGGGCCGGACGGGTTCTGAAATCGTGCCAGTAGCCAACGAGGGCGTGGCCTTGCAGCGGCGCTGCGCCTGCAACAGCGAGCAGCAGCGACGCGAGAAGGGCTAGCTGCATTGCCGACGTCGTAAAAGGAAAAGTGAGCTTGCAACCGCCGGAAGATCGCAACACAAAGATCCCGCAGAAACCATCTGGTGGCGGGCCAAGCGTTTTGGGTGTTTTTAGACGCCAGCGATCTCACTCGCGAGGAACAAAGCCGCCACCCACGCTCTGACGCCTGTCTGGGCAACCACAGACCACGAACTGCAAGTACTACACCTCATGCCGCCTCCTTTCTCTCTTCTCGGTCCCACGCAAATAGGCTTCGAAAAGAAGCTTGAGGAAAGAGGTGCGTAAAAAAACAGAGTTGATTAGACACGACGACACGCCACTGAAAACGGTTGCTTGCGACTAGGCGTCGCCGTCGTCCGAGCTCGACGCCTCCGAGATCGGATCGTCGATGACCACGTCAGTACGATCGTCATCGAGAATCGGGTCGTCGATGACCACGTCGGTCACGTCGGCATCAAAGATCGGGTCATCAATGACAATGTCGTCATGCTCTGTCGACGCACCCACCGACGTCGGACCGCACCACGTAAAGATCGCGTTGGTGCCGCACTGCTCGGCTGTCCAGCCCACAAAGCACGCGTTCGTCGGAGCGTAGTAGCAGTTGGTGCACGAGCCACACGCGCTGCTCGGCGGGCTC